TAAACAGATAACCAAAATTTCATGGTGATTTTAAACCGATCCACGCTTTTCAAATGCATTATTATATTCTTTGCGTTACGACGGTCCAGGTTTTTGTAAAAGGATAGAGAGCAGTTATATTTTGGAGGTTTTGTTTCCGTTCAGGCAAATCTGGATCAAGCGGAACAGGAGGAGGAAGCGAACAAAATGGCTGAAACATTAAAAGAAAAAGAAAAAGAGAAAGAAAAAGATACTGGGAAGAAAGGAGGGGGGAAGGATAAGAAAGTTGAAAAGAAAGGAAAGAAGAGTGCAAACAAATCAAAACAAGAATCTCCGCCACCAGGTTCAGATCGTTTTATTTATGTCATGTACAAGATAAACACGTGTTATTCATTTTATCTCCAATTCTTCCTAAAAAACTTATTATAAATCTTTAATCTTCAGTACCGCCAAGCAACGAAGGGGAAAATGAGGAGGAAAAGTTGAAGAAAGAAATAAAAGACAAAGCACGTAAAGAATTCCTTGCGTCTGTTCAATTTGAAGGTAATCTCAAATTGAATGTTATAAAAATTCTTGAAGGTTTTAGTTGAAGGGTTTTCGTACCTGCACGAACTGACGTGTTTATGTGGAAATAAGCGTTGCTGTACCGTGGACGTGTCTCATTTCAGATACTGCGTTACGAACACGTCTCGAGATGACAAGGAATCGTTCAGTTGCTGTTCTGCAGGAACTAAAGGTACGATGAAGAGTTTTCACTGGTTACTGTCATGTACGTGGAACAGAATTTCAACTATACTCGACCATGGTCGAATACGCCGTTTTTCGGCGAACTCGCCTATGGAATAAAAATGGAATAAAAGAAAAATACGCCAGAAAACGGTATACTCGACCATGGTCGAATGTAGCGGAAACTTTCTCAACGTTGATGACAACACAGAGACTTGCATGCTAATTCATCTGGAACAATTTATAGTTGCCTTATGGAGCAAATTATTATATTTATTTTAACATGGATTCATAATGCATATAGATGAAGGCTGATTTAACTTACAAAGATATGGATGATTGGCTTGGAGCCAGGTTTCTTCAAGAACTTGACAGGTGGAAAATGTTTTCTATTTTATTTAGAAATATTTCATGAAATGAGACAGGCTTTGTTCATCTTAATTTCAAATAAATGCTTTTTATTGCCTTCGATATTTACATGTTTATAATACCTCGCAAAAAACAAACTACCTCTCTTGATATTAGATCAAGTTTTCTGTTTTAGACAAAACGTCAAAAAGGAGATCTGTATAAATTCATATTTTTTTATCCTATAGTATCCGTGCTATGGCAGACTTGGCCAGAACTGGTATAGAAAATCAACAAAAACTCCAGCAACAGTTGATATTGGAAGATAAAGATTTTGTTGTAGATTTGGTATGAATTGTCTAAAATTTTCACTTTATTTTACAAAAACCACGCAGTGACACAAACTCAGTAACGCCTATGATTAGCCCTGCAATACCCCTGGAAGTTAATGTTTCTTTGCTGTTTTTCTTTTCATTTTAATTCCCTCGACTCAAAGTCCTCTTAAAAGTGACGCTGCGGCAAAAATCTTACGAGTGAATGAGTGATTATTTCTGTTGTTATTTACTTTTTTTATTCGCAGGATGTGAACGTATTTCGTACGCCAAGTCTAACTCCTCCGCCAAGTCCAAAAGAAAAAACAACAAGTGATCATTTTACGGTTGTTCAACTTGAGCATCTTTATAATCAGGTAGTTAATACACACAGTTGTTAAAACTAAGGTTTTCAAAAAAATTAGTATGTTTAAGAAGATAAATTACAGTATTATCACTTATAGTTACATGGGGTATCAGCTAATGTATATATGTATGTCATGTTTGCAATAATTCTAATTTCTTCTTTAGTTCGTTTATGCTGCGCCATCCGGTCTTATTTCATGCCGAGCATTTGTCGATATATTTTTGGATCTTATGACCACTAGTGTAAGTCTATCTATTTATTTTTACCACGTTAGCCCTGGCTAACTAAGTATTGTAATTAGTAGTTTTAAACTCGCCGATAAAATCATCGATACTCTGCTGGTTCATAGATCTTTCTCACGCGGCCCCCCTGGTTGAAATTTGTTGAAACTTTTTTAAAACGCATATATATACTGCAGATGTGACAAGGGTTAATTTTCAATAGTTTGGTATGGAGATGTTGCCTGACGTTTGGATCAGTCAAACAAGTGTTCAACTGCATTCGTTAACAACTGTTATATCTGAAGACTCCGAGTTTGTTGATTGGAAAAAATTTTTAGTATTAGCGTCCAGTCGTCTACCAATGCCTTCTCGGGATGAAATATTTGATACGTTGTCGAGGTTTATGGAAATTGATGTTGAGAAGACAGGCTTTGTCTCTGAGCAACAATTTTTACAGGTGTGGTTTATATATATTGTGTTTCTCATAGTTTGTGGAGGCCCATCTTGATCTTATTGTGCATGTAGTTAAACCTAAAAAAGACTAACGATATTATATTTCATTAGCTTCGTCTCTGGTTTTCCGAATATCCCCATCGTGAAGATGAAAGTGATTCGACGTATCCTCGTCTTAAGTATCTTAAACAGGTGCGGATCACAGATTACGAAATCCAAAAATTACTGCTACTATAATGCAGCCGCTGTTTTATGGCGCTTCAAACTTTTTCTTGTTATACTTTGAAATATATGCGCGAGCTCAGTAGTTTATAACTTGCCGTTCTACTTTCAGCTTCTTTTCAAGATATTCAGTGACTCAAGGGAAACATCTTCTGTTTTAAATTATGAAAACTTTGTAAGTGCTATATTGATTGATCATTCTGTTGCATTTTATGTATTCAGTTTTCTGCAAGCTACCCAATAAAAGAGTCGTTCTAGCTATCTTCAATAAAAGAGTTGGACCACATGCATGCATGCAGCATCTTCCTTTATCCATTATAAACTCGTCTTTCTCTCTCGTTAGCTGTTATACTTTGCAATGGATGAGAATCCAATTGAGGGGATCTTGCGGGCATTGACGGTGGTGTGTGGTCAACTAATGCCGCCATCATCATTATTTCACATTAAAGAAACTTTAACAGAAACAGGAACATCGCTTCAAGTTTCAAGTGTGAGTAGAATTTTCGGTAATACAGTGAATATAATGCATATAGATGACCCCTGTGTGCCAGTAAGATTCGTGTTTCCCTGTCAGCGAAAAATCCTTGAAGATGGTCTGCACCTTGTATTCTTGTGCTTTACGCGAGTTTCAATCTGATCAGATTCGGTATTGAAAGATAAATACGGAAGTTGTTAAATTCTCTGTTGGTTTCTATAGAATATATCTGATGAACCTGGTGGTGATGCACTTATAACATTGCAGGATTTAGTTAAGGTACGCAATTTAAATTTTTCTCTCTACTCCAGATAATATTTTATTATTATCTTTTGTCACCCTGTTTGAAAGTGAAAAACGTATTTTGATTTGATTTAAAGGTGTTTCATCATGGTGAAAATGAGTCTTGTGAAAAACAACGATTTCAAGAAGCAGAATTATATTCCGCCAAACCATATTCCAAGGTATATGTTCAATTATTATAAAACATGGGAAGAAATATTTTATTTCATATCTCTGTAATAATGACTGTTGACCCATGTAAAGACTCATGCAGACACACTCGGGCAAGGCACAGCCAGAAATTATTTGTCTGGAAATTATCCGTAAAAATGTGTATGAATACGTTTCTAGCGTTTTAGATAATTTTGTTCTTATTTCACAAAAATATTTTTATTTTGTTCTTCTAGGACCGTTTGAGTGGTGTTTTCAGTGAACTTGGTGCAAGTGAAACAGAATCTTTGCCGTTTTCTGTTCTCTATCAACATCCTATTATTGAAGATTGCATCCATATATGTCAGATATATAAATACCACGTAAGAGACTGCTATATCCACGCTGTGCACCGCGAAAGCATTTAAAACAGTGGATAATAGAAATGCCTCTGATTATCTATTGTTCTTATATAATGAGACGGGCGACGTTTGACCTTGGCCTTATGGGTATTTTCCTGGAATATTTTAAACAATCTTTCTCAGTCTAAGTCGTAGAGAAAAGTCATTATTTAGACGTTCAAAGAGTCAGAACAAAAGTGGTTTACATCACAAAATAGATATTTTAAGAATTTCATTTATTCCTTTTTAGAACATCACGAATCTTCTAAAGTCCGAAAGACTTGATATCTCAATAAACGAAGCACAACAGTGAAGCTGTCTGTGGTACACCAAGGATTCTATATTTTATTTTTTTTTCATAAAGTAATTTCAATAATTTTAAATTGTACATTTGAAATACAATCAGCTGTTAAATGTGTTTGGACATATTTCTCTCAAACTGTACATTGAATCATCCCCTCTTCTTTTATCGTTGTTATCATGATCCCATTTACCAGCTTAGCGAGACCTGAGACCGCCGTTGGAATTTTCTTTTTATGCATAAGAAATTATCGAGGTTTAGCGTGCACAGACTTACTGGGACAGCCACAAAAATGGTCGCACCAATATTGAATGTATAGACGTTTCTGTAATGTAGCTAGATGAAGAACCTGCAAGTCTGCAACCTCAATCGAATTCATCGTTTCACGCTAAACACTTTTGTTCATTGAAAAATGCAAAGAAAAGAGTGAACTGGATGATGAGAGGAACAATCCTTGATCTAAACGTGAACATAGGATGCTTCACAACTTGGAGTTATTTCATCAAACTATAAGGACATCGGAAGCTAGAAGCTGAAATGTAATAGTTTCGTAAAAGGTTTCGGAAAAGTGGTTCCCAGTAAAAAGACTTATTCCAAACTATACGGTGCCTATCGTGTGTGGAGTAAGATCTAAATTTACCCCTCAGGGCCCAGGGCTTTCCTAAATTTCACCCTCGATGCCCTCCTCTAGAAATAGTGCTAATTATAGTCTCTCATGCTTGAAATGACGTCATTCTAGCACGTGCGCAATGTTAACTGGTATATGTTAGTCAGCAGATATTATAGTGAAAGTTCACAATTGAGAAAAAGGAAAAGATTGTTGTAAATTTAAACTTTTTTCGCTTCAAATTGCTCACTATCATATAGAATAATGGCATCACAAACACCGTAAGTCTTTCAATGTTCAAATCTCGTAATATTCGGACAAATTATGTATCGTTAGGAAGATTGTATTGTACCATAAAGTTTGTACATCACTTTTATTTAGTAATGGTCGATAAATTAATTTGAAGGCACTCAGTTCACATATATTATCGTAGATTTATAATCTTTTGCCAATAAATTTTTTTATTCGTTACAAGGAAGAATAAATGTATAAATCTACTAGGGGAGAGAAGAGAGAAAGGGGGCGTAATTGTAAATTTCATGTAAAATTTCACAAGGCTTTGTTCTTTAATATCCTTTGCAACCATAGGCAAGAGAAACAAGAGGAATTAGCCACCGCTATTTTAAAACAGAAAGCTAAACCTAACAGATTAATCGTTGATGAAGCTGTGAATGATGATAACTCAGTTGTAACCCTATCCCAGGTAACTTTAATTTATTTGTAGTTAGGTTAAACTTCCTCACTAAGTATGCATTACATATATCTCCATTGTTTGGTTTAGGCAAAAATGGACGAGCTGCAATTATTCCGGGGAGATACTGTCCTTGTGAAAGGAAAGAAACGTCAGGATACTGTAGGTTTCAATAATGAAAATGATTTTTTGGGTCATGCTTTTATTTTCAGTGATTATGATTTTATGTTTTTCATTGTTATGAATGTTTGTTGAATAAACTTCTCATTATCTCACCAGGGAAAATTACCTTTTTAAAATCTGACTTTAAAAAGTTTGACATGACAAAAAGCCAATACTGATTAATTGGTCAATTAAAAAACACCTGTTAAATTGCATATCTGTAGGTTTGTATTGTATTAAGTGATGACACATGCCCTGATGAAAAAGTAAGGATGAACCGTGTCATTAGAAGAAACTTAAGAGTTCGACTTGGAGATATTATAAAGTAAGTTCATTCAGATAACCTGAAGGAACAATATTAAAGTAGTTTTGTCTACCTTGACTAAGTTGGTATTAGATACTTTTCACTGGGTCTGTAGTGTAAATTTGGTGCGGGTGCCCTCACCCGTCTACCTTGACAACCTCCTCCTCTAGTGTCTCAGAAAGGAGCTTTCAGGTCAGTCTTAGCAAAGCCTTTTCATGAAAATTTCAATCAGTTTTCGAACATATTTTTAAAACTATGTTCGCAAAAAACTGAGGCAGACCCTTGATGTGCACTTCTGTTGTCAAATAGTGTCTGCAGTATCTGCAGCTACAGTAATACAAATTGCATGCATCACAGTTTCAGTGTTATTCAAGTTTGCAAATGATGTTATGATATAATTTATTTCACAATATGATTTATGGATACTCATGGTATTACCCTGTATGCCTCATGTTATAATACCCAAACCTGTTCACTTCTTGCTGTTCTGTTGCTTGTTTTTATTTCTAAGAAAGTGCAATTGAAATTTTTTCTAGCCTTCAAGCTTGTCCTGATGTAAAATATGGCAAGAGAATTCATGTTCTCCCAGTTGATGATACTGTTGAAGGCCTCACAGGGTATATTGTGTTTGTATGATGTCATATCATTGTAAAACAACTCATTTACTATTAGTTGCACTTGAAGCTTAATCATATATTACATTTTACAAAACATTTCTTCACTATATAGAAATTTGTTTGATGTCTACTTGAAGCCATATTTCTTGGAAGCTTATCGACCTATAAGAAAAGGTATGTATATATATATATATATATATATTATATATTATATATATAATATATATAATATTATATATATATATATATACAGTAAATAATTTTGTATGTTATGTTATCAATATATAATGTTGTATTCTCAAACTCAATGGCAATTGCAAGTTTGCACTAGCTTCAATGATAAACTTTGGATAAAGTGTATTGATTGTAAATAGAATTTAATTATTACAATGATGATGTTTTGCCATAAATTAGGTGACATGTTCTTGGTTCGGGGTGGTATGCGTGCTGTGGAATTCAAAGTGATTGAAACTGATCCATCGCCATACTGTATTGTTGCTCCTGATACAGTTATCCATTGTGAGGGTGAACCAATCAAGCGCGAGGTAATTTACTGTTGTTCTTAGGTTGGCTTCTTCTGGTGAAATGAATAATATGTTTCATGAATGGTACATTGTAGGATGAAGAGGAATCATTGAATGAGGTTGGTTATGATGATGTTGGTGGCTGTAGAAAGCAACTGGCTCAAATCAAAGAGGTATGACATTCAGTGCATAGATTCCTGAGCCTGATTATATACCATCATGATTTCATTATAATTTTCACCTTTTTGGTTTATTTAGATGGTTGAATTGCCATTGAGACATCCACAACTTTTCAGAGCAATTGGGGTCAAAGTAAGACACAATCTGTATTCAGTTCTATCCAATTATAGTACCCCATCATACAACTCCATGATTTAATATAGTGGCCAGCAAAACTTGCCCCATGGTCGACTATTAGACTGATGTATCATAGTGCCTTAAATCTATCAATAGGGGTAGTTGATCATATATAAACAATCTTTATCTAACTAATTACACAACATCCTTCATCATAGCCTCCACGTGGAATTTTGTTGTATGGACCTCCTGGGACAGGCAAGACATTATTGGCAAGGTGATCATGAGTAATGAATAAAGAGTAGAATAATAGGACATGTAAATGATGTAATTATATAGCAGATGTAATGCCCTCCATTGGTTTCAGTTAAAAATCTAACTTGCATGTAGTCAGGACACACTGTTCTCTACTAAAATATCCAATGTATGAGTACTTACTTAATTGAGTAGTAAAGGTGTATTGCCACTTTTTAGAGAGATCTTCATAGTTCATACTATTTCTTCTCAGGGCTGTTGCTAATGAAACTGGTGCTTTCTTCTTCCTAATCAATGGTAAATGTTAATTTTTTATGCTGTTCCTATGTTATGTATCTTTCTTGATGATAATTTCTCGGGACCTTTGTGCTTTAGGTCCAGAAATAATGAGTAAACTTGCTGGAGAATCAGAGAGCAACTTAAGAAAAGGCAAGTTTGTCATTATCATTAGCATCACCTTGGAAACTATTGTTTAGCTTCCTAGTGCAGGCATTAAATTCTATCAGAAACATGTATTTTCATAGACATTATTTAAAATATTTTCTGCCCTGAAACAACCCACCCATGGCTTTCTGAGAAACAGTTAACTGATGTCCAAATTAAAGATCAATTATGTGGTGTACAAATACTGAACTAACAGTAGACTGATGAAAATTTCACTTGTAATATTTGCAGCGTTTGAAGAAGCTGAGAAGAATTCACCTGCAATCATATTTATTGATGAAATTGATGCCATTGCACCGAAGCGTGAGAAGGTAGGTTGAAAGTCTTGCTCAGTGACTGTGGCAATGTATAAAATGTGATCAATTGCAAAAAGGACAGTATCAAATTAAGAAATGAAAGAAAACGATGATTGTAGCCAGAACAAAATAAATTAGTTTGATTTTGAAGCAACTTTTATTGCTCAATAATAACTGCCAAGTTCCAAGCAATGATTTTCCATTCTTCAGACCCATGGCGAAGTTGAACGGCGTATTGTGTCTCAATTATTGACACTTATGGATGGTTTAAAACAACGTTCCCATGTAATTGTCATGGCTGCTACAAACAGACCAAATAGCGTTGATACTGCCTTGAGGAGATTTGGTAAGTCCTCAGTTGTAAACTATCTTTGACTTTGGGTTTCTCTGAAGTTAGCTGAGTGTTGTTTCCTTTATGTCAAAACTAAATTACCCTTACTTGCACATCATTAATCGACGGTAAACGTGTTTGAATTAACCAACGCTGACAGGATGGTTATGGAAATGACAGGGATTCTTCCATTCCTTCATTCATCTTATGCTATCATTCATGGATAGTTTTCCTAATTTTCAGGTCGATTTGATCGCGAGGTTGATATTGGAATTCCAGACGCAACTGGAAGACTGGAGATTTTAAGAATTCACACAAAAAACATGAAGTTAGCAGAAGATGTCGATCTGGAACAAGTACGATCATTTTATCTCATTCCCTGGAAACAAAAATGCTAACGTACTGTTGTTGAGACCATATGTAGCAAGCAGTTTCGGGAAATATAAAACCGTCTAGATGATGACGATAACTTTGCACAATCAAGTCAAATATTTTCGCCTTTCTTGCTTTAATTCAAGCTTTATAATTTTTTTTTCAAGCTTCATTCCTCAAATTTTACTTCTTTTTATGTTGTTGTCGTTTGACTACCCGTTTAAAATTGGTTCAATATGATTGCAGATTGCAGCCGAGAGTCATGGCTACGTTGGTGCTGATGTTGCATCATTGTGCAGTGAAGCTGCTTTACAGCAGGTTGGAAAAAACTCTTTTTCATTAACTTTTTCTGTAAAAACAGCATAAAACCTTTGGGTCAATGTTGTGTAGGCTATTACAACCTTCCGATGTTATTTTTGTCTTGTTTAACTGCATTTGCAACACAACATTGTATTATTAACAGTGGTAACACAAACAGTAACAAACTATTTGTTTCAAGCAATTTCTCATTTAGTTCTATATTGTATTGTCGAAGAAATTCGTGATTTTAACTTCGCTTCTTCTCCTAAGATTCGTGAGAAAATGGATCTTATTGATTTGGAAGACGAAACAATTGACGCAGAGGTTCTTGATTCACTTGCAGTCAACATGGATGACTTCAGAGTAAGTAATTGTTTGTTGCTACTGACGTTATTCGACGTTATTTAACGTCGTCAGGATCCCAGGTTTGTTATCGTGGATTTTGAAATATATCACGAATACATGCATATGCTGCTTATGTGTTTAAACACAAAGTTGTGAATGAATGAATTGGAGCAATGGTAAGTTTAACAATGATGTTATTTTCTTCAGTACGCAATGGGCGCCTCTAATCCGTCTGCTCTTCGTGAGACAGTGGTGGAAGTTCCAACAGTCACCTGGGATGATATCGGTGGTTTGGAAAGCGTTAAAAAAGAATTGCAAGAGTTGGTTCAATATCCAGTAGAACATCCCGAGAAGTTCCTGAAGTTTGGCATGACACCTTCCAAAGGTGTTTTGTTTTATGGGCCACCAGGTTGTGGTAAGACGCTGTTGGCCAAGGCCATTGCTAATGAATGCCAAGCGAATTTCATCTCAATCAAAGGACCAGAATTATTGACAATGTGGTTTGGTGAATCTGAGGCGAATGTTCGAGATGTCTTTGATAAGGTGTGTGCAAAATATTTATAAATAGTAATGGTTATTGTAATGTTCATTGGCCGGGAAAGTGGTTGTGGCGAGACTCGTATCTGCATGCTACCCTGAGACTTCGTATAATTAGAGTGAACGTTGACTACCGAGATTGTCAAAAATATCTTCAGATGCTCTCTTTCTTGCATGGCACATAGTTTCATGATATCCTCTCCTCCTTCGCCGAGGCTGCCTCAAGACTGTATTCTCGGCTTCCATATCGTGTGGGTATGGTGCCTAGCACGGCCACTACCAGAAGAGGTAGTACTCAATATTGGGCACCAGTTCCTACAGTTCTCTATGCCAAGCTGTCATAACCTGTAAAAAGTCTCGCATGATTTGGAAAATATAACATTATAACTGCCTTCTTCAGGCTCGAAGTGCTGCGCCATGTGTTCTGTTCTTTGATGAACTGGATTCAATTGCTAAACACAGAGGAGGGAACGTTGGTGATGGTGGTACGTCGTATTCAGACTGTTGTTGTAATATTGAAATATTGAATGTTTTTATGAAAATAACTTGCATGATTATAATTGGATTCAAAAACTTTTGATATCAGGCGGCGCAGCTGACCGGGTCATTAATCAGGTTCTTACTGAAATGGATGGAATGAATGCAAAGAAAAATGTTTTCATCATTGGAGCAACAAACAGGTATGATCATTATCGATCACCAAAAACGTTTTTGAATAGAATTTAGAATGAAACAGCTAGTTTAGAATTCATAAAACAATAGACTAAAATTGCGTTTGTTACCTGCACTAAAAGATCCCTTTTATTGAGTAGGGTATTTCATAAACCCGATTGTGAAATTTATCTAGTACAAATTCATTGAACTCACTACGATGTTTTTTTTCAACAGGCCAGACATTATCGATGGAGCCATATTACGTCCTGGACGTTTAGATCAGTTGATTTATATTCCATTACCTGATGAACCTGTGAGTATCATCGCTATTGAGACGACCATGGATTTGTTTACCATGGATTTGAAACAAATTGGGCGCAGTGTTTCATGTTGATTAATTATATTTACTTTATTGTAGTCTCGAGTCTCAATTCTAAAAGCTTGTTTAAGGAAATCACCAGTTGCTAAGGTAAATGAATCTTTACCAGAACGTTCACTTCATAGGACATCAGTGATTGAAAGAATTACGTTTAAAACTCTCATTTCTGTTCAAAACATTGTCTGGTTGAATGTTCATTTGATATGGGTATCTCTTTCTTTCAGAATGTCGATATGAGTTATATTGCTAAAGTTACACGTGGTTTTAGCGGCGCTGATTTGACTGAGATCTGTCAAAGGGTAATTATGCTGTTTGTTTAGTTATTGTCATATGGTAAAGGTTGGGAAGTGTGTATGGTTCATGTATGGGAGGATTAGTGCATGGACGGTTCTAAAAAGCGTTTTGAGCAAGGATTCAAGATGGAACCCCATACAGTCATCTAAAAACAAAACTCCGCTGCTTCAAACGTGTGTTGTATGATGTATATATTGTGCTTTTAGGCGTGTAAGCTTGCTATCCGTGAGTCGATCATGATGGACATTGAACGGGAGAAAAAGCGAAGTGAAAACGCAGATGGGATGGTGAGTGATCTAACATATTGTTAACTAGTGATAATAATGCGAGCATTATGCAGACATTCAACTAATATTTGCGTGTTGGCTGAAATCATAGTCGATTTGTATTTTTAGGATGTCGAAGACGACGAAGATGTTGATGCAGTGCCAGACATACGTCGAGATCATTTTGAAGAAGCGATGAAGTTTGCTCGTCGTTCGGTCACTGATAATGATATCCGTAAATATGAGATGTTCGCACAGACCTTACAACAAAGCCGGGGCCTCGGAGGATCAAACTTCAGGTAATTATTGTGTGTTCATCTAAGCTTGTAGTTGGCCTCAACCTTTACAACAGGAGAGAGGGACCATCTCGTTTACCAAAATTGCTTGCATTTAGGTTTCCAAGTACAGTGGACAGCGGTTCAACAAATGAGCCTGCAGGAGGTGCAGGTGGAAATCAATATGATGATGGTGATGATGATTTGTATAGCTAAATTATTATTCTGTTATAAATCATACATAGAAATATGATTCTTTTTCTGTATTCATTTAAATTCGGTTAAACATAGTTGAATATTAAAATATTTTCTCTTCGGATATTTTCTCTTTGATAAGTCGTTCGAAATTTTGCAGAAACATCAGAGGAAAAACGTCTCTTCTTGCGCAGTGTTCTGAGGCCGGTTACACGAAAGTGTTTTTTTTCAGTCGCTCTAAAATTGGCCGTTGTTTGGTATTCCAGGATATTTAACGAAGTCCTGGTAGGTTATTATGGTAAAGAATATCGCCGTCTCGGAGAATAATAGACCAATTTGACTCAAGATTTGGATCAGCCTAATTTTTTCCCTCCTCTTCAGTCCTGTTTTTTTGCGAAGGGACAGAGATGTGTGCGTGTGCATCTCTAGTTACACCTCTGATAATACGTATTCTTCGCAATATTCTTCGCTTGCACCGACAAACCGGACGAAATTGAGCATTGGGAGCATGGGCTGGGCAGTTTATAACAGGTCACAATATTAGGTCAGAACACACGTCACAGATGTGAATATATCCATTTATATCCATATTCCATACTCTCTGTGTCCTCATCAGTCATCTCCACTGTGATCACGTGACCCGGACATGTCTCATTTTGTGATGGTCGATTTATAAATATATATTATTTTTATGGATTTTAGTATACTATTTGTTCTCTAACTATTTATTTTTATCTTAAATAACTTAACTATTATGTAAAAATAGCTTGAGAATATTTCATTCGCATCAAAATGGCTGACATATTTCGTTCAGCATTCGGTATTTTTTCGGGCAACAAAACTGACAGTGATTTTGTTGGCCAACGTGTAGACATTGCCTCAACCCAACTGAGGGTAAAGAAGTTAATAGCAGAAGGTAAGGAAATATAGATGATCTCTTCTTAACTATATCAAATATCTTATGTGTTACGTCTATCATGTGTGTGTGTTACATATGTCGTATATTTATATCTAAACTAGGTGCTTACGGCTTCGTGTTTGTTGCTCAAGATGTTTCTTCCGGAAAGGAATATGCTTTAAAGGTAAAATGTTTACGAAAAGCTATATCTGTTTTAAACAGATGTAATTATAAATCAATAATTCTATGCTTTATATAGCGTCTCATGGCAGCAGATGAGGCAGCCAACAACGCAATTATTCAAGAAATAACATTTATGGTATCCTTTTGTCACTTTAAAATTTATATCCTACAGTAGAATATTTAACACAGGTGATCAGATAAATCATTACCATCTTGGGATACAAAAAACATTTGTATCATGGGTAATACGTTAATAATAATTTGTAAAAAACTGAAAATGAAGTAAAATTAATACTATTTCACAATGTGTTCATGTAGAACCACCCATTAAGAATTGGGATATGAAATTTCAGGTGTCTGTTAGGGTGAGATACATCAGCAAGAAGTGGAGGTCACAATAATGATTGTTCATACAAATTTTTCATCTTCATGTTTCATAAAATAGTTGCTGTGTTGCTGCTAGGATTAACCATATATCAAAAGATTTTACATGGTTGATATATTAAAGATTGCAAACTACGTATAGCTGAAGGCCTGCATAAAATATGAGATTGGAGGATGTCTAGTCTTTAATATTTTTCACATGTGTTTGCAAGTTTCCTTACTGACCCGTTATGAAAGAGACTCCATAGTCTTCTATGTAGTATAGAGCTTATATTTGTGAAGAGCAATTATTTTATGTAAATAGTCTTTAGTTGTTCCTTTACTGATATGTCAGAAACGTCTTCGAGGCCATCCAAACATTGTGCAATTTCAAAATGCTGCTTCCATTGGTGCAGATGAATCTGAAAATGGATTGGCAGAATTTTTAATTTTGACTGAATTGTGTACAGGTAGTATACAAAGAAAACATTGTGGATCTTGTTATTATTAGTACTATTTGGTACTAGTTCTAATTATTAGTGCTATTGTTATTGTTAGTTGTTTCAAATAATAATTATGTGTTTTTGTTAGGAGGTCAGTTGATAAAGTGGTTCAATGATCGTCAAGGCAAGAGAATACCTGCCAATCAAGTGCTCAAAATATTTCATCAGATTTGTCGAGCTGTTGTTCACATGCACAAACAGAATCCACCCATAATTCACCGTGACCTTAAGGTAACCATGTGAACGTATATGTTCATCATTATCCTAAGATAAATATCAATGGCAAGCAGAAAACACATAAAAAAGCTATTTGGCCATGTTAAATCCCTAAATTTTAAATTTTTTACATTTATTTTGTACTGGGCCCAAAATTACTAAATTAATGTTATTTCATGTGATTGTTTTAATATTTTGGGTTTTTTTAAGATTGAGAATTTGTTAGTGAGCTCTCGTGGTCAGATCAAACTGTGTGATTTTGGTAGTGCCACAACAAAATCCCTATATCCTAGTGATTCCTGGACATCTGTTGAAAGAAGTTTGGTTGAAGATGAGGTGAGAATGATTACTTGTAATTATCAATTTTCAAAAAAAAACATATAATTATCCAGTAAACATTAATGAATATACCTTATCATCCATACTTTTCTTTGTTATTAGATGCAACGGAATACTACACCAATGTATCGAGCACCAGAAATGGTTGATCTGTACAGCAATTATCCAATCACTATAAAATCAGATGTCTGGGTGAGTGGTGTTTAATTTGCTAAGTTTAGGAACTTAATTATAATCACACTTTCCTAGGAAGAACATTTTTTAATATTTTGTATTTTATTTCTAGGCCTTGGGATGTTTATTGTACATGCTTTGTTATATGGAGCATCCATTTGAAGATGGTGCTAAATTGAGGATATTGAATGCAAAGTTTACTTTACCAGAATTTGATAGAGAATATGATGTATTTCACAGTTTAATATGTATGTTTTATGTAACAAATAATTTCTTAAAATATTTGGTTTCCACTTTTACACATGACCCCTGTTGATAAGCCGTAGCTGGATTGAATCCTCAGACTTGCTATACAACATACAATAATTTTTATGTAATTATATATCATATTTTTAGATAAGATGTTGCAGGTAGACCCGGCAAAGCGTCCTGATGTTTCAGAAGTTGTCACTAGTTTAGAATCAATTGCATTGTCGAGATATGTTGAGTTAAAAGGGTCCATAGTAAGTTGTATTGTAATTATGTATCTCAGGAGGATACAGATAGTAACACACTATGGAATCCTGTTTCTTCATCTTCATGTGAATATTGTTTTTTGAAATTTATTTTTAAGGAACCTTTCTTGTAAACAATGTTGTTCTAACTGTTTCTTTCTCCTTTGTACCAAGATGAATCATATCTTAGCATTTTATTGCATCTGATCTTTCTGCATTTCAACTAACTAAATTTGCACTGTGTTGTTCAGCTGGAATATTAAGAATTAAGGTTCAATGTTGGTTATGACTTACATCTATTGCAACCTTATTGTACTCACTGTAGTTTCAAGAGGAAGAATCAATTATGTCCGCAAGGCAAGATGATACAGGTATTAAAAACCTGCAAAGTTATACTGAAGATGGCTTGATTGGAGAATTTGTTTTCTACAGAAGTATCAGCACATTGTAGTGAATAAAAAATTCAATAAACTTTTTCAGATCAAGCTGGTGGTAGCAGCGCTGTGTTTGGTGGTGTTGTGAAGGGTGCAGGAACATTCTTTTCTAATATCAAGGATATGTCAAACAAAGTTGTTCAGTCTGTTGCAGGGTAAGGTCATTCCTACTCTTTTATGTTTCTTGCGCATCTTATCCTGCTTGAAACAGACAATCTTTGTCAATAATATGTCTATATAGTAAAAATATTTTTTAATTTTCTAGATATGTCAAAAGTGATCTGGATATCTCTTATATAACTTCAAGAGTATTGGGTAGGAACTTTAGTAATTGTACAGACATATGTCTTACATAATATTACACCATTGTTAACATGATTTTACATCTTTGTATACAAGATTACTCTTCAATAGTATACTATGGTAATAAAATATTCAATTCTTTTATAGTTATGCGAATTCCTGGAGAAGGCATTGAGTCAACTTATAAAAATAGCGTAGATGATGTTCAAATATTTCTCGATACAAAACATCCTTCGAAGTTTGCTGTTGTTAATTTATCCCAAAGACCGGCAAAATTGAAAGGCAAGGTAAGAAAACTGACTTTAGACTGATGCAACATATTGTAAGAATCAGTTATACTTTTATGATGCGACTTCGTTAGTTTAACAAAGACTTTCTGATCCCCTCCATAATGGTAAAACACAATATACATACGAGTCAACCCAAAGAATTGAAGCCATGATCAATGTCTAAGCATTCGTTAATCTAATAGTTGACAGGTTTTGTATGGCTTCTTAACCTTCATTAAGAATAAATGTTTATTTGTGGCAGATTTTTGACTGTGATTGGCCGTCGAAACGAGCGCCATCTTTAGAGAAAATTTTCATGATTTGTAAAAAGATCGTATCTTGGTTGAAAGTGGATAAAAGAAATGTTGTAGTCATTCAATGCCAGGTACGATAAGATCATAATTATACAATAGTTAGTGTTTGTTTCTTATGGTTTTCGCTCTTCTTTTTCCTGCTGGATTTGCAGTATTATTCCTCACAACCTCACAAGTTCTTATTTACACTGTACTCGCGTGAATATGAAGATATTTTGCTGGGTTATTTTCAATGCAAATACTTTTATACTTCCATCTTTTTTACACTTCTATCTGCATCGTTCTTATATTTCTTCAATCTTATCGTTAACAGGATGGTAAACTTACGTCGGGCTTGCTGGTCACATCGTTATTTATATATTGTCATCTTTTTATGTCGCCTGAATGTGCTTTTGAAATGTTCAATGTTCGTCGTCAAAATATGTCCACAAGAATTGTACCTAGTCCTTCGCAGAAGCAGTAAGGAATTATTGGGGTTTTTATCAAGCTTTTTTCCTCCATGCAAGAGTTAGTTTTGAATCCATACTATAAGTATGGAAAGAAGCTTTAGTGATATTGTCCTGACAATATATACGATTTTCAGTGTATGTGAACGAATCCTCGCCTTCAAAATTCCGATAATTCGAATGTATATTGTGTAATATTCTTGTAATTTTGCAAGGTGATATCACAATAGAAATAAATTAGCTTGTGGGTACACTTGTTGCAACTGATGAAGGCCCATTATTAAATACTTACGTGGTGTTGTGCCTACTTTACTGATATTGTATATTGTGTACATTTTATGTGCAAACATTAATTTGTATCTCACGTTCATTCTACTGATTTCCTGCTTTTATTTTTATAGTTATTTCAATTACATAACGCAATTAATAAACGATCCAGATGTGAAGCCTCACAAATATTTTCTTACTATAAACACATTCACCATGGAACCAGTACCTCTCTTTAATCGAGCAAGGTTTGTCAGATACATGTATTGTACACTGTATTTTAGAATTTGTATTCTTGCGTGCAATTGTGACAGGATTCAGTATCCTTTTATTAAAGTTACTGCATAGTGCATGTCCTAACTTTAACGATGTGAAAGTTATATGCATGTTTCGTTCTAAATTTTGTTGAAGAAGCTCCATGTATTCTTCTCCCGCCTGTCGCACAATGCATTAGAAGGATATTTCAACTGCAGCATAATTAAAGTTGTTATAAAAAATCTGATTTTTTTAATAATATTTTGTGTTTAGAAAGGGCTGTAGACCGTTTCTAGAAGTTTATAATGGTGACAAAAGAGTATTGTCGACTGCTCAGGAAATAGAGCAGATGAGGTAGGTTTAGATATTGACCTTTATAAAATACGCGGTTTTTTAATAGAGCGAACAATGGCACTACCTCCAGAGATGGTGCATGTCTTTGCCAGAATCGTTATCGCTTGTCATGGAAGGGCTAAATAACGAGATTCGACGTTTGACTGTTATAAACTCTGCTTTGGAAAAAAACAATCAAATGCTATTAGATTAACCAATCACGTGTACCAATACATCAGCGAAGTCATTGTTGGCGGGATGTTCAACCCAGTAGTTCAAATAAAGTTTAAGGGGGATGGCTAAATGATGATTGTCAATCTATACTGTGACTTGAAATGTTGTTTTTCTTACGTAGAGAGTATACCATTTCTGATCATCAAATTGATTGGAAACTTCGTCTTGAAGTCCAAGGAGATATAACCATATGTGTTTATCATGGACGATCTACTCTCGGTGGCAAAGTACAAGGAAAACTAACTTCTATTCCAATGTTTCAAATACAGTTTCATACTGGCTTTGTTGGAGTTACAGCCAAAAAGATGGTCTTTATTAAGTAAGTGTGGTTCCAAAAAGATGGTTCCAAAACAGCAAGGTGCATGTATATTAATACAGTGTTTTTAGTGATAATTAGAGATTATTCATATCAACAATTTTATTTTTATAATCTAGAGAGGACGTCGATGTTGTTGATGCGAATAATATGAATAAGTTTGCCGAAAATTTCAATCTTTCACTCGACGTTTCAGTTGATGAGAATCGCTGTAATAATGTCACTTATGTTTGGGATTCTGGGCCCAACGAAAAAGCAACAAGACAATTATTATTTACGACGTCTGAAGAATATCTGCAGTGTCAGGAGGATTTTGGTAATGTTAAATGTGTCCTCAATGTCTACAATAACCGACCATATCTTACTCGCAGTCATCCTTAATCGTCGTTTAAACTATTCTAAACTATAGTTCACATGCTTATAAACATTTTTTACTACTTTTGGCATATAAAACTGTTAGCATATAGTGTTGTGCTAATGGCTCTTCTCAAAGCAATAAACGTTTTATTTTTTCACCAGTTTTAGGTGATGATCGTGAAATGAGTTACAGAGAACAGTTCGAGCTTGATAAGAAATTAAGAAATGACAACGGTGATACAGTGAAGAAAAGTTCAATAAAGACGGATAATAATGAACGCTCATTAAATAAAGAAAGAAAAACTAATCAAGGTTTACTTAATGAGAAAACTGAACAAAAAGCTGGCTCATTTTTCCAGAATCTGAATTGGCAAGGCGAAGAAGAACCCCTAAAAGAAAGTGACGAAAGTGACGAGGAATGGGACGCATTACGAAGTGGAAACAGAAAAAATGAAGCAATATCTGGCGCTCCAAAAACGTTTGATTTCTTTGGCGAACGTGAATCACAAGGCAACAATAATGAATCTAGCTTTGATTTGTTTACCCTCAGAGGGGAACAACCTGTTCCAGTAAAAAGTAATTCTAGCGAGGACTTGTTAGGACTTTCTGAAGATAATAATGGCGATGAAAAGGGAAGTGCGGGTGATCATAAATCTGGTCAAACATCACCGCGTCCCAGGAAAGGTACAAGGCATTCAAGTTTGGGTGAAGACCAATTACAGCCTGATTTTGATTTATTAAATCTGTCAAGTCATTCAAAAGAAGATCCCGTGGTTGATCTTCTTGGACTGAACAGTACTGGGATGAAAAGAAACAAGAGCGCTGATGATATATTTAACACATCTCCTACAGAAAATAAACCATCTGACGATATTTTTGCAGATCTGCGTTCATCTGCAGACAATTCCACTTCATCAACCACCAGCAAGCAACCAAATTCGTTTGACCCGTTTTCTGGAGGTCAAGCTAAGAATGTTGATCTTTTTGGTAGCTTTGACACCACAACACCTGAATCAAGCGGCACCATCTTAACACCTCAAGTTAATACTTCATGGAATCAAAATACTTCGGCTTCACAGAAATTGTCCAGTAATGATCCATTTGCAGATTTAGGAGGGCTGGGCACTAGCAATGGTTTTGCTGATAAAACTCAGACAGCGAAGAAGAAGTCTCCCACTACCACCCCCCCTCCGTCAAGACCTCCGCCAACACAGCAGAAGTATGGACAAACTTTTCAAACTGGCCCAGGTGTTAAACCAAAGGCAAAAGTACAAAAGCCAAATTATGCTCCAAGTTATTCACCTTCCTCTGTGTTTGGATCATATGGTCTACGGGATGGTTATGGTAAGTTCTTCCTTATCATTATCATTCGTATTCGATATTTGAACTACATCGCAGTCATGAATTATGAATGAATGATTGTCAAGGTGATAATCAAAAGTGAAATAACCTTTTCATGCTAGTTTATTTTGTTTTAATATTTCGTGTTTCTTCAAGTATTTCGTGTAGTTCATGTTGATGTTGATGTGACGTTCTTCCTGTCGTTTCAGTGAATAAACATGTGAAAAAGGACGAGTTTAGTGATATATTAAACTCGCATGGCTTTAAACCGTCAACAGAAACTGGGCCTAGCACAATAAATTCATTACGTAAGCAAGCAGACGCTGAGGATGATCCTGTTAAAGCCAAGGTTTGTGAAAAAGAAAGATGTGAATTAGGAACTACATCAATAACACACCGTCCAGAGGCTGTGATTGTGGCTGAAGACTGCATTGATTTACGAAGCTGTCCACTTTTCAGGTCCGTAGTTGGAGTGATGGTAAAAGAAAGAATATTCGTGCTTTGCTTTGTTCACTCGATACTGTTTTGTGGGAAGAGGAGAAAAGATGGAAGAAAGTTGGGATGCACGAGTTGGTCACGGCTGATCAGGTGAGGATAGGAATACATCCAACCGTTCGACAAACCATGAACTAAACATGTAGTTATTGAAAATACGACGATCATAATGTCACCTGCATTTTTTAATACTGAAGCGTCTTATTTTTCTAGGTTAAAAAATATTACAAACGAGCAGTTCTCTCTGTCCATCCAGACAAGGTAGATGCATGAAGGTTTTAATACACACATACGTGATACGATGATATCAAATATATTGTTCACGTTTGCAATTGCGAGAGCAATTGTCTTAGTTTTGCTCAATTCATGTATTTAGGCTTTTATTAAATGTTCTGTTAATTTTTCTTTAGCTTATTGGCACTCCACAAGAGCATTTAGCAAGAGCAATTTTTATTGAATTAAATGAATCATGGACAGCGTTTGAAGAAAGTGGCTCGAAGTCACTTTATTAAAAACAAAAATAATAACACGTGATATGAAATATTAGGAAATCAACGTGAGATATTTTAGTGTGTAATGTCTGGATATTGTTGAAATGGTCGTATCACATAATGAAAGGTCACACCATTTACAATATTTTCCAAAATAATTTTGGTTTCAATTTTTTGTTCATCCTTTTTTTTCAAAGTTCAGGTTTTTGGACAGTCGTCATTCTCGTTGAGGAGTGAAAGAATAAAATTCCAAAAATTTTGAAGCAAAAGTGTATGACGATGGGAAATATTTGTTTTTAGTAGAATGGCTTAATGTGAATATTGATGATTTAATATATAGTGCAAATAAATGAATTTTTGTATTTATCAAACCATAGTTATTAGTATTAGAAATAAGACCTACGCGAGCAATTCGTAGCAAGTTTGTCTCTCGCTCCGCCCTCTGGTATACACAAAATTAAAACACACAATGTTGGTTAAATTAGACTGAGGATTTTATAGATTAACTTTCAACGCCAAAGTTACTGAATGCTTTTTCAATTCTCAAATAAGGTATCGCCCCCACTTGAATCCATAATTGCTTTCTAATTTGATTTGAAACAAAAATGAAAATACGTAGATCCTGTTTCAGGTCTGTGAGAGTGACCATAGTGACTTATCTCCGGCAATTGCGTCTTGAAACGACGCGTTCACAGGGTGTGTTCTGTGATATTTCCGCACTTCACTCCACAGCCCACACAATGTTGTGATAGTCTGATAGATAGCTAATTGAACTGTTGAAATGAAGGACAAAGAATTAAATGTAATTGACGTCATCGAAACCGGAAACAATTCTTGACTTGCATGCGAATGATGCGATATTGCCATATTTGTGCGACCATCATGTTGGTGCCACGAAAGAGAATTTTTAGCTGTGAGTTTGAATCGTGAACCATTATCATTTTGGTATCTATTGTTTGAATTGCATTCGACGCGACCAAAATGCGACCCTTAATCTAGGCCTTGTTTCGTTTTCTTTTTGCATTTTGCTTCTGTGAGGTGACGTTTATTGAATTAAATATCTGCAGAGGAAACAGGAGGTGCCATTTAAATGTGGGTGGTTAGCTATAAAGCGTAGGATCAATCTACCTAACCAAATTCAGCAAACTGCAAAGCCCCAATTTGTGTTGCATTATCTACAATCCATCTCGAAGGCGTTGGTATAATTAGACTTGACCATAATATGATACACTGCACTTGAAGCCCACGAGTCTATGACTCTTCCCATTCTGTTAGGGTTAGGGTTGAACATCAAAGTAGGGGTATTCCTATCGGTGAATATTATATAAAAAAATATGATTCAAGAAGTTATCCAACAGATCTTGTCTGAAAAACTTTCTTGAGGGCTCCTTGATATCATGATAAAGAGCATTAGTCCCTGATCTTAACCCTCTAAATATTTTAACTTAACCGAGTAATACTAACTTTAATTTTGTAGCTTGATGACAGTGATGATAGCTCAGATTGAGCAGAAAACAATATTTCAAAAGTTTTTTTGTCTTTCCATGTACCTAACAAAAAATTTGCCAGTAGGCAGCAATTTGCAGCAGGCGAGGGAAATTTGACTGCTCATGAGTCTGATGCCCCACATCGATCTTCTTAGTTTCTATCCTATGTAATAATCTTTATCATTAAAAGGAGAGTACTTTTCAACATTGCAGTTGCTTAATATTCAGATAAAATCAATTATTAAACAAAAATGGATTTTTACATGAATTTTATTGTTGTAGAAAATATCAAATAAATACAGTGCTAAGGTATAGAGCATTACAAAATATTATTCCATAGGAACTACATTATACTAATGATAGTTCATTCAGTTAAACTTTGTGTACAGAAAGTTTCCTTGTATGAATGAGCAATAATTAGTTTTAAGTCTTAAAGATCATTCTATATCTCTGTCTATAAATTTCTTTGTACATGGTACATTTTTATCTTCGCTTGGTGCAAAGTCTTTTCAGTTATTAAACTAACATTATTTTTATTTTTTTTCTCTTTCAAATACACCTATTCATTTTTGTATAAATTAATTTTTTTGTGAGTTTAAATAAATCAATGTATCTTGAAAAGTCTCCAATCATAGCAAACTGCCGCAGTCTTCTGTTGTGTTGAAATTATGCGATCATTCAGCTTATTTTCAATACTGATTGAGTTTCCCTCTGTTTCATGTAGCTGGCTAGAGTTTGTTGTGCTAAACAGGACTGTTCTTCCAGCAGCTCTGTTGGTTTCTGAAAGCAATACATTGTAAAAGGTTAGTTAAGTGTTAGCTGAATAATCTTCGGTACACCATACTTTGAGGTCTAGGATAGTTTAGACAGCAACATGTTACAGTCAGAAACATTTACAATCAAAGATAATTTTGCCACATACCTGAACTAAGACACAATGATGTATTTCATCAAAGGATTCTTCAACCATTAATGTTAATGTCAAACCACAGTCAACTTTGATTACTTTAATTCTATTCTCACAACAATATGCTTCAATAAGACGACAAAACACTTGATTAGCAGGATCTTCTGACTTGACCAGTACACAAAATTGCACATTCTGAGCACCTCCTCTGAAAAAGTTAAGTGAATTTAAGATATAAAAATATAATTGTTTGATAGAACATATTACTCTCTTATCAACATATTTTTAATTAGGTAGGGAGGATAAATAATTCTATGGATACAGATTGGTTGTTAGGCAACATTGGGTGTGCCACAAATGTTCAACAAAGACAACAAACTATTTATTTTCAATTGATGTTTGTTAATGTTTCGGTGGAAGAGAATAATTAAATTTACAGGCAAAACTTGACATTAAAAGATGGTTAGTTTTAAAGTAGGATTTTATAGCAAAAATATTTAATCCATACAATGGTGTCTATGGCAGCTTCATACTGGTAAAATTTAGAGCACACAAACATATCAAGGAAAGAAATGTTCAACTATGTGTATCGCAATGTGTTCATTCTGATATTATCAGTTAGAAAAAGAGACTCAATTTTAAATGCGTGTAAATTAAATGTGTATTTGTTAGGAAACTTGTATTCTAACTATCTTATCTAATGTTCAACAAACGTGAATATTTCGAAGAAAAATATTTGCTTACCGTCGCAAAACTTGTGCTGCTTCGTAAACACCACACACAAGTTCCCCTCTCTTCTTTGCAGATACGACAACATCAACAAACGCTTTTTTTACAGCTTTCTTGCTGTACCTGATAAACAGAAAAACAAAATTTTATTTCCAGAGTTAGACGATGAAAGTTGGCTCAGTTCATAGCTCAGTTATCCTATATCAAAGCCCAACACTGTTCAAAATCAAACAAAATTCTTCGCTTTTCACCTTAACACAAAACCATCATCTTCCTCAATTCTCTTCATTTTCGTATTTGAGTGTCCTTCTTCTTTTTCTTCTAAGTTTTAAGCAGAGAAAATCAACGTTTAAAATCTTTTACATTACAGAAAGAAACACGTCTTCTCTCGCCCACGGCCTTTTGAGTTCTGACACAATTTAACCACACGATGGCGTAACATCACTTCGGAATGAAGACATAAGTACTTCCTTTCGGGAAAGTCCCTTCTCATTGCTCGCTCGCTGATTGGTTAATCCAAGCGTTGATGAGCTCTGATTAGTTGAATGCGACACAAATTTACATACCCAAGTAAATTCCCTCGAACTCGCGGGAAACTACCCAATTCGGGCAAGCACTGGGGAAACCCGATCATGTGGCATGATTGAACACGCGACGAATGTCATGTGGCCTTTGTGGCGTGATTAGACACGGTCATGAGATCTCACACCACAGATCAAAATTTACATATAATTAATAGCCGAAAATCGTCTGTCGCAGTTGATCGACTCTTTGAAATCGTCGAAGACGCTGCTACCAAACTTCGGAAATTACGGACAGCCACGACCTCGTAAAAAGCTCCCGTATTCGATCATATTGGTCTACTATTACTTGGTGTTGTTGGTGAGACCCTGGAACCTTTCATTTTCTTTCAAGGCACAGGATTTGAGAAACAAATGCACAGACGCGTGCAAAATAAAATGTCTCCACGGTCTTGTCGTATTTTTCCTGGAACTTCTCATCATCGTTCGGAATTGCGCGCTTCCCTATCCGGCATTTCCGTTCAAGCGCTGTTCCAGCGAGTTTGAGCGCGGTCACAAGACACAACATTCCGGAAATGTGTACATATATTAAATTGTTTACATTGCAGGCTTGCAGCAAATACATTACAAAAGTAACGAAACTCAACCGCTCTGACATTACTGCATTATCACCGCACGTCCACACCTTCATCTATTTGAGACGCAACGAGTGTAGTTGTGCGCCCTCGGTGAAATTAGTTCTTCAGAGTTGCTGCTCTGAGTAAGTAATGCCCCAAATATTGCAGATTTTTATCAGTTTCAGACTTTGAGCCAGGGGAACATATGTTCAGAGCAAGAATTCAAACTACGCGTTTACATGTTTACAAATAAAAAAATTGGTAATTACTGTACAACATCATTTATTCCAAAGCCTACAAGAACGAAAAGACTGAGTTCTAAACTCCAATACCAGTTCCAATAACAGTGTGTTGTAAAAATTGTATTTCAGTATAAATAGACAAGCATAAAGACAAAGATGATATTGATACACAGAATAATATTATTAAAGCACAGCGCATTAAACTAATCTTCCAAGATGCAGTGTTCTTGGGTATTTCTTTTCTAGTTGTCTCCACTGAACAAGAATCTTGTCAGCAAAATAGTACAAGATTTTTGCTGATAATGATAACGTTTCTACTCTGCAAATACTTTCAATATATATCACTGATGCTGTTTGTATTCCAAAAACCTTGAAAAAAATTTAAAAATAAAACAATTTGTACATGGTCATGAAAAAGGCATACACATGATCTATCTCCTCAACAGTTCAAGTCTTGTGTGGAGGGATAGAGATAAATCAATTACCTTTAGCATAAATGCTGCAAAACAAATTGGTATACATGTTCCAGGGCCATTGCACAAGATCTAAAAAATAGACAAGTTACACTAAATTCCACCACAATCATGCAATCAGTAATTTCCCTGTTATGATCATTGCATGAACTAATAAAAAAAGGTTATGCTTCTTCAGTCTGGCAACTTTCAGGCTGATAGATTGAACTGTATAACCACATATCAAACATCTCAGCCATATTCAGTGTGTAAATGTATAAAAACAAAAAAAAAGGAGCATACCAACTGAGGGTTATGTCTAAATACAAGTGGAAATGAAAATATGATGGATTTTAATGTAGTTATAACAGTTGAACTCCATGATTGGTGAACTTCACGACTTCGTGGGATCTTTTCAATTTTATACTAAAGATAATACAAATTTATTTGATATTGAATTTCATCAACATTGTATAAAGTGCAAAATCATTTATGAATTGATTATTATAATTTCATGCTCATGCAAGTCTTTAATAGTTGTGAAATGTAAAAATGAGTGCGGAGGATTGTTAAGTGGGGAGGGGGGCAAACATTCAAATATTTACGTTCAGCACTGTTAGTTTATTTTGAAATTGATTGTATTTATGGGCTGCTAACACTTAAAGATCTTCCACAGCCTCTGATGAAAGTATATATCTAGCCAGTACACCGTACCTTGCAAAAGATGTAAGCTAAATCCATAAGAGAAGTATACCTTATTTTTTTGTTCAAAATTCTCAATTTTCTCTGAACTCATAGTGTCAGTATCTGCCACAACATAAATTCTAGGATAATAAAATCTTGACAAGCCTTTTAATAACAACAGCATTTCTTTAGTGTGGCCACCTGAGAAGAAATATTTAAAAATGAGGCTTTTTATAAAAAATGCCAAATATAAAAATTTTTTTAGAAGAAAACAATCGAAATATAAAATCCACCAAGGATATAGTTAATATTCCTGTTGGATCAATAGCTGGCTGACGTTGCTCTTTATAAAAGGTAATAAGAGCTAGTTGGCTAACTGGGGGAGGAAGTTGGCTGGTCACCAATCAACTGACGCATAGCTGACAGTGAAAGCCTGACCATTGATCAACTATGCAACAGCAACACCGCCAAAACAGACGTTTTTACTGTAATTTAATATCCATTACCATTATAGTACATACAGTAACAGTGTATACCTGATCCAGCAACTATCATTGTTTTGACGAATCTATCAACCTTCTCTTTCTTTAATTCTCGTTTTCTAACTAACACCCAATAAATTCTAACAACAAATATACAAGTAATACTACAGAAAACTGAGAAAAGAACCAACATTTTGAGTAACTTCAATACATCGATACTCTCTCATTACATGAAGTAATACCCATAAAGTGCGCCGCTGCATCTAATCATGCGGGCGTAAGTCCAAACTCCAAATTTTACTGCAAGACATAAACAAGAAATAAATAAATCATTTTGTTTTTAAAAAGTGAAAATAAGTTTTGATGCTTTGTTGTTCTTTACGAGTTTCTTAATCCATTTTTTAGTCAAAATACAAGTAAGTTTGTTTCATTTTTCATCCCATTTTGAATTATTGACGTCGTATAAAAGTGACTGTGAATCGTATAACTTGTATTGGCATGTGACAGCTGTTATAGTTACAAGAGTTCACTGGTACTGCCAGTGATCACTGCTATACTGCCAGTAAGTCTTCAGAATTTGCACATGCCACAGATTGTGAAATATTTGCTATAAATTCTTTAATATTGAACCGAATTATTGTAAAATTAATTCTTTTTCAGTCTATTATTTTCATTTAATGATAAAATTGTTTAAAAAGAAACATTGCCAGTGTCAAACAATATAAACGTACCTGTCGATAGTGTCAGATCAAACAATTACTTGAAATGAACACATGGCAATTATGCCATTGTCCTTACCACAAAGCCTGACTTAGGATATTTATCCTTCAAACTATTGTACAAGTTTAGGAATTCATTGAGAAATATAGACTACTAGTATGAAATTTTTGGAGATGCAAAATATTTTGGAAACTTTTATCCATAAATTCACATCCATTAGCTTACAATTTACCTGGATGTACCTAACCTACTCTTTTCTGAAATTTACTACCAGGTCTTCAAACATGTCAATTTTAATCAATGTCAATTTTAATCCCTTAATTTTCTTTTAGGAGACAAAACATGACTGGTAATGATGTTGTATTTTACTCCTATATATCTGGTCTTAGTTTTGTAATTTTTCTTGGATTATTTTTATTTTGTCCTTGGATTTCAAAAATATTTTCATCCAAATATATGCACCTTGCTGCTAAAGATCAAGTAAATTGGGACACAAGGTATGTTTTATGTCATTATATCATATGAGTATATATAATTAATCCAATCAACAGGTATAATTATTCTAGTTTTGTCTAAATTTGCATGGTGATATCACAATAGAAATAAATTAGCTTGTAGGTACACCACATATAAGTATATATTTGCAAGTGATGAAGCCTCAGTTAACAGACCGAAAGGTTTGCAAAATTACTACCCCCTCATTTTATCTCCATCAACTAAATTAAACCAAAATAAATTGTAGCTTAGGAGGCCCTGGTAAGTTTTTGGACTTTAGATTTATTGCTTAGTGGTAATTTAAGCTTTTTATTTAGAATTGGATCAAATATTCATGCTGTTGTCGCCACTGCAATATCGTTATATGCATTTTTCTTTGATCAGTCAACATTGTTGGATCATTTTTGGTATTCTATTAATTTCTTTCTCTACAGTTCAACCCAATTGTTAGTAACCATGTTAAATATGGTACTAATGTTTATCAATAAATCTTTCCAGTACTGATTCTGTTATTGTGAGAAGTGGAATCTCAATTACCTTTGGTTATATATTGGCAGGTACTAGCTGGTTTCATATAACATCATACTGTGTGCATTATATGAGTTACAAATATCATTTTTCAAAGTACTAGGTAGATAAAATAGTGGTGTGTGATGATTAATTAACAGAATGGTTTTTGGCCTCTTCCAGATTTCCTGGTAATTGTCTGGTACTATCGTTATTTTCAAGATAAATTCATGGTTATTCATCACATAATGGCGCTGTTAGCTTATATTTTTGTAATAGTAAGTTTTTTAAAGATGTTTTTTAATATAGATATTTGCATTAGGAATATGCACAGAACAGTATTCCTTAAATGGAATTTGTAACATGTGAGTTTTTCTAGGTCGATGGCTACATTCTTTTCTTTGCCAATATTCGACAAATCGCAGAGTTATCAACGCCTTTTGTTAATCAAAGGTATATTAATACATACCAACAATAATACAATATGTACTTATTGACCTCTTTGTCAAATCTCTTTACATAGAGAGACTTTACTAAAGACGTCAAATTTATGATTGTACTGTGTCTGGTACAGTGTTAAAATTGAAATACGTAATTACGTACAAAAATTAGTCCTGGTGAACAATACCTACGCTCTTTACCGAGTCTTACATTGGCAAGTGGCACAGTAAAATCGCATATTCTAGGGTACTTAGACCGCACGTTGCATAATTTTAGCATTTTATTTGCGAGGTGGTAATTTTAACATTTCAAGACAAAATTACCAGATACTACAATTTTATTTTTCATTTGTAGGTGGTTTTATGACATAACTGGTCAGCCTCGTAGTTCAAAAGCGTTCATCAGAAATGGTTTGCTTATGATACTAGCTTTTTTTCTTGGTCGTATTATCTTCATTCCTTATTTTTACTACAAGACATTTAGCGTCTGGTTTTATCCCCAGAGACTTGCTCTAGGACCTTTGTTATCACTCATATGGATTCTTACTGCGGGAATTTTAGATATCATTAATGTGTATTGGTTTTCAAAAATGCTAAAAGGCGGAGCTAAACTGTTAATGAAATCAGGTGGAGAAAAGAAATCGGAGTAAACGCAGTGAAATATCGGCCGTGATAGTAGGTCTAAATGACATGTGTTTTTAATCAATGCATTGATCTCATATGGTGGTGCGCATCCAGACCTGAAAATACCTTCCAATCGTGCGGAAAATCCTTAAAGCAAAGCACTGTATACAACACACTTCATTTATCGGCGCGGCACAGATAAAATGGGTACCCGTACCAAAATCATCAGCCTTTTGTTAGCTTCAACACTAATGAAATTGGTTACCAATTTCAACTGTGCTGTGCCAATAAATTTAGTGTAGCGTAAATACGGCTCAAAATCAAACGTGTTGATCAAACGGCTAAATCTTGTTCATTATTTTAAGAGCAATATGTGATTCTTTTATAATAAGGCTGCAAGTACATAAATTATGATATTGATGTTGTCATTTTTTTGTCATTTCACAAAATTACGTCAGGTCAAGCTTACTATCCTCGGGTTCCAAAGATTTGAAGGAATAAGTCTACAAACTCATTTGTAGAATTTAAACCTAAATAGAACTGACATCAGAGATATTAAGTCTCATATTATTAAATATTATACGTTTTTAGTTTGGTCGCAAAACCCAGGCGAAAGATTCAAAAAATTTTCAATTTCCAAGCCAAACATAACCATCCATAACTACCTTAATTACTAATGCTAATGGTTAATTAAATCAGTGGCTGAATTCTCTCCCCAGTCTTTGTGGTCAAATTTAAAATGGCGGTTTAGTTCCCATATGCAGGGTTCGACGATTTGACAAGTTGAATCAAGTATAGTACACAGTGACACCGTCGTATGCTGAAAGAATACATACTCGTTCATAATTTATCTCACTGGAGTCCTTTTGACAAGCTTAGAAGTTAGAAATACACGCAAGTCAAGACTTGAATATGGCGTAGCAACTGGCCAGTCCCATCGAAAGAGGTTTCTTTTGTAGATGTAGAGGGAATGGTTACGATATCTACTTTGAATTAAGGCACTTTCTAATGCAAATTGCAAAAGCAATATAGACCAATTGATAGGGACAGTCTGCTTTAATATGTTCTATATATAAATTTATATATCCCTAATGTCTTTAGACAAAGATACCTACAGGTTTGATTAACTGAAAGCAAAGCATGAATAAGGAACAATCTGGATTGCCTGTTGCACAACATTCCGAAAATGTTCCACTTGCCCAGGAACACACAAGTGCAACCAATGAACAATCTGTTCAACTAACTGACAATGTTCACCATCAGTCTGCTGCTAGTGAGGAGAGACATCAAGAGCCAAAAGAACTGGAAAATGAACGAGAAGAAGAAGCTGAAAGTTATGTACAACATACTCCAAAGATAAATTGCCCTGAAAAAATTGTATGTTGTTTCTCTTTATGTAATTTTTTTATATGCTCTGTGTTGCCAAATATATAATATAATTAATTATATTAGATCTATGAAATCTAAAAATTTTTATCAATTGTGCATGTTACACAGAGCCAATCTTTCATTGAGATGCATGCTTAATATTATTCATCCATTACCTTTAAATATCATTGAGTCAATTAAAATTCTGAACACTTGAAACATCTGCAAAATAGAACTTAATTGCCCTTAAAATGGCTAAAATGAGGTGTATTATAGTTCTATGTTGTTTATGTGATTAATGCAGGACAATAGAAATTAAAACTGCAGGTTCTACACTGCCACAATTTTTGGAGCAAAATAGTTTTAATCTTTGCTTATCAATTTATAGAAATTCCAGTTGGTCAACATTACTGAATGTACAAAAAATGCATTTTCTAAGCTTTGTTTGCATATTGCCAAAATAATCTGTTTTTTCCTAATTTTGAAGGTTCTATGTTTTGATTTATCCTCTGAGATGAATGAGGTCATATCTCGACAGAACCAAAAAGACAGGTAAGGAACTCTCGAATAGGAGCTATTGCTTAATCTAAACAATGCAAAGTGATTTTTGTTTTCATAGAAAGCACACTAAAATCTTGCAACAATAGGGATTCACTTTTAGCAGATGACAAGAACAAATAGAGTTATCTTTCTATAATTTTGGTTCTTTATTTCATATTATATATAAGAAAAATCAAAGAGCCAGTAGTTCCAAACTTCCAGCACAGTTTGAAACAGTAAAACCTTTCATCCATTAATTAACCAGGTCTGTCAAAATATACGACATCTGGAAGAAAATTACGCTTGATTTATTAGTTTAGCTGGTATAACTAAATATAAGCAAGTACACTTTGCACTATGATTGTGTGGCCAGAACTTCAAGCAGATGCATGTATAAGCTAGATCAATTCACAGTTGCCTTCTCTCTGTGTAGAACAGTATTTGAACAGTTGAAAAAATCAGTGGAGATCTTTGCAAAACACAAGCTCAGATTCAATAAAAAACATAAAATGGCAATACTTACTTTCGAAAAGGAAGCTTTGTGGGTGAGTATGACACACGAAGTATTGAATCACCTGCTAGTTCATAATTTTTTACATTTCCCAGGTTTTAAAAATTCGCGTTAGAGAATTCTCGTGTTTCCTGATGAATTGGCGGTGAACAACATTTGTATATATTTTGTTTACTATTTTTAGGTTCAAGATTTTAGCAATGATTTGCATTTAATATCAGATACTATTGATAATATCCGGCCAAATCAAGAATTTTCACTTCCTCAATTTGGTATCCTTTTCTCTGTCTGCAAGAAAGCAGGGGCAGACCCAGCATTTTAGCTGACTGATGCGATGTTTTAAACTCCTGCTTCAACACCTCTGTGTGGTCTATATTTCGGTATATTCGACCATGATCGAGTATACCAATGTTCCGGTACATTCGACCTTACCTTAAATTCGGAATATAGCGGAATATGGTATACTCTACCATGATCGAACAAACCGAAAAACAGTATACTCGACTATGGTCGAATATGGCCGGAAAACGGTATACTCGACCATGTCCATGGTCGAATGGTTTAATTCAGTTTTGTGTTTGTGCATTCTGGATCCGCTCCTGCAAGAAGGACGCACCATTACCATTGGTTATTCTTCCCATATTACTTTCCTTAACATAGACTTATAGATATGGCGTCACTGTTAGAAACAATGTAAGTATGAAAGAATAATCTTAAATCATGACCTAATACTCTCCTGATTGACTCGGAGAAAGGTTCATTGGTTGAAGCTAAAAACAGCTTGAAAACACCGAAGAACGCTGTAATCCCATTGTCATAATAAGATTGAACATTACACTTCTGTAGAGAAAATCATGTGGAATTGCCACAAGTACCGAACGAAGTTGATATTCCTCCTGAATATGTTGTTCGAATTATTTTGATTTATGGAAGATCTCACAGTGAAATACCAACACTATCTCGTGAAGCCAGACGAGTAAGATCATCTTTTTATCCAATTACACAGATCTCTAGAATATTAATAGAAGCAATCATAGAAACCTGCGGAAAACCATTTTGTCGGATCAAATTCACTTCCTAAATATGTTTTATAGTCTGTTCACTTGCAAAGTTTGTGGCAACAAATCAACTAAAGCCAATGAAATATTGCTTTATCAATAACAGACAGTCTACATTTCGTATTTCAGAAGTGAATTGATTGATCGGACAAAATGTTATCCTGTGAACAGGCCTTGCACTGGCAGGAAGAGGGCGAGGCAAAAAGCCGGGGCCGATTGATATCTCAGTTAACACCAGTCAGGCCCTCCTCGTCTGGTGTAAAGGGAAGGCTTTTTAGACATCGCGACCTAGATTTCGACGTTCTATGCGTATGTCTCGATCGAAAAATGCTATAATTTTGTTTCATTTTTAGATATTTGACCGGTTCACGTCTTGTCGTCTTTTCTTTTTTGATGTTTTGTACATCCATCAAATTCCTGGTGGGGATAATAAATGTGAGGTAAACACAATATCGCGGTCGAACCGTTTTCAGTATCTTTCCATAAATTCTTCTGAACTGCCGTGTATCGTGATTGTTTTAAATAATTACTATTTTCAATTATGCTATATAACAAGCTTGTGAAATACGCTGAGTGAATATTTTATCCTAAACAGTGGTTTAGGATAGTGATCTCCACTAATGATTTCACTTCAGTTTCAAACCTTTACTTTCACATTTACCCTTCTGATTTATTCGTTTAGCTAACAACAAATTTGTTGATGCTACATTCATTTATAGTTTTATACAATCTAGCATTTAATTTTATACACTCAATCTAGCATGGTTAAACCATTGAATGGGTTAAACACTGAGAATCTTCTGTCTTTGAATTTTAGGAAATCTATGAAGCACTTTGTAAACTGGATGAAACTGAGGAATGTTTTGTATTGGAAGTTAGTACATATGCTGCTGTGAGGTTACATGATTGTACAGCTAGACTACTTGCTCATCCCCTACAGAGACCCAGGCAACAAGATATTGAATATAGAATTGTTAAAAGCGATGTTGAGAGCAGTGATGAGGAAAGTCAATCATAAATTTGACATGGGAAATGCTGGAATGTAAAACATTACAGTAACTTACAATAACATAATTATTAACATGCCTCATGATAGGTAAGTTAGCTGCCGCACACAAACCACAGAATGACTTCAAGATGTAGACAGTAAAAAGTTCGGGTTAAAGGATCAAATAAATAATCCAACCTCATATTTATGTACATTTTACTCAGCAACCCCTGCAATTTTTCTGCAGTATGTTTAACTGAAAAGGCAGATTGAAGTAAACTAGAATGCACTATGGCAATTGAAGTCATATTGATTGTCCAGTCATTCTGATTCATACAACAAATGTAAATTGTTACTGTGGTAACAGTAACACACAAGCTATTTTAAATAATTATGGACAATATTATATCAATTTTTGTGGGGGGTAAAATGTTGGAATTAACTAGTAAATTTACTTGGTGCCTATAGCCATAGGGGATTTTTAGTGATAAGTCATCTGTTTTAATTTATTGTGTTTACAAATAACAATATGAGCAGAGGATGAGTCAGCCGCTAAGAACACATGATGCCACTCGCATTGCCGCTCAGCCTTTGTACAAAAGGTTATCGAAACAATTAACCTTACTATTTAGCATTTAAACTTTCTACCAGATTGTTTATCTACAATGTTCTTTCATTTTCCAAGGTTCATACCTTGTTTCCCGTAATAAAAAAAGCTTACCCATTACTTTGAAATCAAAGTTCAAACAAATTGATAGTTTATATACGTACTTTTAATACATATCTTCAGCAATTCTCATATAATCATAAATTAATACAATCTATTTATCAATCAAATTAAACATGCATATACTGTGTAATAGCTAAATTTAGAGGCATGTAAACCAGAAATAAAAAACATTCACAGACATACAAATAATGGTCAATGTAGGTGCAGGAAATTATAAAATTCAATATAGGTATAAATTTGATGTTAACCTATTCTAATATGGTGGTTAATGCAAATTATTCTGCTTTTAAAGGGCTTTAGGTTGAATTGAGGGTTTTTGATTAATTAAAGACATATTTGTGAGATGCACGTATATAAAAAAAAAACAAAAAAAAACAGCACAGTTGTTGGAAATATGTCTCATTGACAGCACTGTTTAGTATAATGTTATACAATATCAGAATACTGTATCAGTTATTTAAGTGAAAACTTTAAGAAAAAGCACTGCCGCCTACATCTCGTTTGAAAATATTTTCAAATATTTTTAAAAAATATATTGACACCAGAAATTTCTCATACCAAACAGTCCTACTGTGTCCTCTTAATTCTTTTCAAACAATTCAATAACAAAACTAATTGATGAACACGCTTTGTGCAAAATGAAATAAACTTTTCATTAGTTCATTAGAAATTTTATAATTTACCCATTTAGTAAATTATTAGTAGACTGTAGTTCTAATAAGGAATTAGAATTTCTAATAGGACAGCTTGATACTTGGTACTACAGTTTGTGTTTCAGTAGGGAAGGCACAAATAAAACATTTTGATTCTGGTTTACACACCTAACTAAATAATAAAGTTACACTATAAAAGCATTATGAAACATGCTTTATACACATAGTAATATTATGCATAATTACCTTTTTATCTTAGATAAAATAAAATACAGTGGTCAACTAGATGCACCACTTTTATAACTACACTTGACGAAAATATATTGTTAAAATAATAACATATCTTTACTCACAATATTTTTAGGTTGCTGCTACTGGGAGTACTTCACAACCACTTTTCATGTGATCCATAACCTGAAGTTTTAAATCACAAACCTGCTGTCTCAAAATGGAAGCAATATTACTTAATTCGTTATGTCTTTCTTTTAACTCATTTACAGTATCTTGCAAGTTAGATTCCCTTTCTAGTTTACGTTTTCGACATTTTGATGCCGCCACACGATTTCTGTGTTTCTTTCGTTCTGTTTTAACTTCTTCCTGTTGATGCAAGTCGATAGGAACTGTAGAAAGTTGAGTAAAACTTGTCGTAGCAACCGAGGTAATTTGGCATTGTTCTGGCGCACTTTGAGAACTACCCTGTACTGGTTCCACCAATAATTGCGCTGCTGTTATATCATCCTGTTCATTGTTCCCTATTCCTGTTTTCACTCGAACAACCGAAGAATTTCCAACCGTTCTCATGTGATTTGTCGTTGTTACGGGCAAAGTTAGGCTGGCTGGAGTTTTTAGTTGAAAACCACTGCTTGTGTTGACAAAATTTGTACTTGGATACAAAGTGTTCGGTAGAGTGGAATTGCATTTTATAAACGGATATGATGACCCATTTACTGGTTGATGGTTTATCCCAATTTCATTTTCAAGAGCCGTTTTTGTGGTAGTGTTATTATTGTTAGAGATTATAGTATTTAGTGTCGAAGCAATGGGCTCGTTGTTCGACTGTGTTGTAGTTTCTTGTCTCATTTTATTGAGAGCATCTTCAAATCCTCGTACATATTGTTCTTGCTGTTCTTTCACAGTAAGATCTGAAGCTCCTTTTATTCGTCTGTACTGTTTTGGGGTCGGAGTAGCGCTGCCAGCAGTAGCTAGGATAATTCTTTCGAGTTCTGGCGAATCAAGCTTCAACTTTATCAAGTCAGGTGAAGTAAGAACCGCATTATTATTGTCTTGTTTTTTAACTTTGCTTGTTAAATCAAGCTTCAATCTTTTCTTGTCATATACTGACATCATGAAATTATCTTCGCTCCTAGTAAAATCTCGTCTTTCTGTATCAAAAAAGGATAAAATATCCATGAATGGCGAGCAACTTGCTGCCTGCTTTCGAGCAAACACCAAAATCGATATATCGTTTTACCTCCGACTTTTATCGGATGAAAGCGGAATTTACCGATTTCGCTCGGAATTCGCTTTAAGAAGCTCGTGTATTTTTAGAATGTGACTTACCTATTTTTGATTGGTTAGTTAAAATGGGCGGTGGTGTGCGTTCTGCAATATGATAGGCTTTGAACGGAATATAACGATTCTATTATCAAGGCTGACGACATCGTCTAAATATTGTCTGGGAAAATGTGATATTGTCATGGAAACATCGTTTGTTATTAATTTATTACCCGGAGTAGTTTCGATATATATTGCAGCATAACATAGTAAATGCATTTTGCGTCGTAAGGTAATACACACTGAGTGGTAATGCAGCAAACCGTTGATTATAGACTTAATACCTCTCCACTATTTAGAGTAACAGAAAGCAGTAGGATTATTTCCCTTTCGCGCATGAAAATTTTTATTACTTGCATGTCGATTAGGTGTTTGCCCGGTCAGCATGAGGTCCTGACGTATGCAAATTTCAGTTTCATACGGAAGTTTAAAATTGGATGGTAAAATATTATTTTTAAACAGCTAATTCCGCCTTCGTGGTCATGCTAAATGATTAAAAAAGCTGGGCATTGACTAATGAAAATCCTTTTTTCTGTTTGTATTCTATGAATATTTTTCGGTAATGGTTTTTCTGCAGTTATTACTCTTTTTTGTACCAATTTGTAACAAACCTTTCTAACTGCAACTTGGGTAAGATTCACGTCTTCCTATCGGGGTTCGTAAAACTAGAGAAAGGGAAACATGAAATGTTTCTCAACCTTTATTCCCCAACTTGGAAGTAAATACCATAAATACGTAAATATTCAAGTAAAATATACCAAGAGACGAAAAGATTGAAAGAGCTCGCAAAGCAGCAACCGCAGGTAAAAGCAGTTAAAGCACTGGGGAGTGTGGAGTGGGGGCGAGCGGCTGCCACTGGACGCTGCACTACGGCGGGAAATTTAATACTTCTTTCCTTTATTTTAACAACTATGTACGAAGACAGTACGAATGATAAGAAGCATTGTTTTATTATTTCTTAAAATATTGACTAAATAGGAAACGTACAAAATATTTCTCATAGCTCTAAAAAAATAACGTTCTTTATTAAATTACCGGTTTACCGAAGAAGGTGAAGGGCGATGATTTCTAACCCCTTGAAGTCCAGCACCAAGGTAACACCAAAAAGTTCAAGATGGCCTGGAGATAAAGCTAATATATCATCAGTTGATTTAAACGAGAGCGATGTGGGCCACAAACGAATGGTGAATTATCTGACGTCTGATTCTGAAGAGGAACAGGATGAGGTGCTTTTTGAATACTATGTTTTACTATGTTTTATACTATGCCAAATTCATGATTCACAATTATTTAAATATATGAGCACCTTCAATATGGGTGCATATGCAAAGTGTTAACACAGAGTTTGGGGGTATTCAGAAGAAATGTCCTTATTGCCAAGTTTTTTTTCAGGGTAACCTAGAGTACCAAAGTTTGGCTGTCCCTATCAACTAAAACTATCTGTGACTCTGACTAATTTTTTCCACCTATACAGTGCAACAAGATTAAACATTATTTTAAAGGTGATAATGAGTGCAATATGGTCTGGTGGAAAACTTGGTAGTGCTTATTATGATGCTGGTTCTGCACAATTGTTTATGCAGATGGACATTTTAGAAACACAAGATTTTCAGTTTCTAAAACGATGTAAGTATATTAGTCTCAAAGACATAAAGCTGACCTGACCCAGTCAATCAAATCAACAAGAAATCCGGCCATAGTCTGAGGTGGCAAACTTGACTAACCAGGTTTGCTCTGACCCATAGGTTCCTTATTAGAAATAGTTTTATTTTATGTATGTTATTGAACATACAAATTGTCATGTACAATGCCCAATTTACAATCAGATTAATTAAAATTCAAAGAACTTGCAATTTCTAGTAATTATGCAGGTGAAACCCACCACAGTTGTATCAAGTTCAAATCAAGATGAAAAATTCCTTAAAGTGTTACAAAGTGAAGGTAATTACTAGAAAATACCCAGTCTATTGTGGTATTGCCTCTGAAGACATTAACCTATAATCCCATGCAATATAATATGTGCCACCAAGACTTTTCAATCTTTATGACTTTATCCCCCATCCCCCTATTTCAATGTTGCATTTGGACAGTTAAAACTAAGGCCTCCAATAGTGGAAACTATCACTATCCAGTATCCAACATTGAAACAGTATACAGTAATATTAGACAGGTATCTGATACATATGCCAGTTGCACTAAAGTTTCATATGTTCCACATTATGACAAATTAACAATAAAACATTCAACAGATGTTGTTTAATGAATTAACACATGAAAGTATGTATGTAATTAACAGAACACAGAATTTGAAATATGTTGTGAAAGTTTCCTTTTTACCTTTGACACATTCGAATATCCGTCAACTCTCTAAATCAGGCAACATATTTGAGTACTGTTGCTGCAACCACTTTACGCTGGACTTTACCCCGTTTTATCATTCGTTTCACAAAATTTCTCTTCATTTTTGTTCCGCAGTCCTCGTACAATTTTTAACTCCAAAGTAAAACCGAAATTTCTTTACGTTAGTGCACCATATGGAATATTTAGTAACTGGGCAAACCCTATAATCAACATGCAAATTTAGATCAATGAATTAAGCACAGTTAATATTTTAGGGAAAAGCCTGCGCGAGGGTAACCCTCTGGCCGGGAATAACCCAGGTCATTGCAGTTATTTTACTGACTGTTGCATGACCTCAGCCGTATACGAATACTTGAACCTAGGTTGATTTGTGGGCTGTTCTCTTGTGCCAAAGTCGTATTACCCCTTGCATACGTACGTAAATGCTGCGCGTTATTCCATTATTACTATACTCTACCCACATACCAGCCGGGTTGTTTATTTCTCCACTGACCAGAATTGCTTCGTCATCACCGCAGATGATTATTTCAGTACCTGATTATTTCTAGCTACAGTATGGTTCATTGGTTTTGCTGAGTTTCAGTTATACGTATGGGCTCTGGCATTAAGGACTGCTTTCCACTGTCGTATTTTTTTACGCACGGAAAATTTTGAATTCTAGAACTAAGTTCCTTCGATTTATTCGCCCGGCTTCTTCAAATATGACAGAACGGCAGTGTATTCTGGTTTGGTTTATACCCTGTTTATTGAACGTCTGAATTTTGGCCATATTCCGTTTCGTATATCTTAATCAATCTGAATGATTTACTATATGACGGTACAATTAATATATCACTTTTTGTAGATGAAAACTCAGAAAAAACTACTGGAAATAATATACCAATGGAGATCCTACCAAGTATTGATTTTTGTAAGTTTTTGATATATGATGCGTCACCTGGGCTTAATCCAGTTCTCCACATTCATTTATTTAGGTAATGTAGCTACATATGTCATTTATTATTACTTTAGTCAGTAAAATATTAAGCTCGCATCATTCACTATATCGAACGCAATTGCCACCCAAATAATTCATGCAACATAAGAAATATCTCGGTTTCCAATTACCACCAGGCAAGTGATAAATGTACACATATGATATATCTCAGTTTCAGAATGAAGCATGGTAGTGTAATATTCCGTTTTGATGGTCGTCAACGGTAATATTTTTTCGTAGCGTTAGAAATCTGTAAAAGACGAATTTTGGCCCTGAATGTTCTACCAAGTTTGCCCCAACATTATACGGAAACTGAGCGAATGATGCACCTTGGATCAATCGTACCATTTGAAAATACTAATATGGTAAATTTTAATAAATGCGGCACTTCTCAGAAATTTGATTGCAACATTTAGGAGTAATCGGGGGTTGAACGTCTAATGATCACAGACTACTTCGGTGATAGAAGGAATGAAAAATAATCTTTAAATGATTATGAAATGAATATACATATAAACTCCTTACTCTTTATTTTGTTGATTTTGTAGGTAAAAGCAACAGGAGCATTGATCAAATATATCGACAAAAAAAGAATTGGAGTTGAATTAGAAGATATTGAGACCAAAGTTCCCATTCTCGCATTAAAGACGTTTTCATTGTAAGCAGTACAGGACTGTGATAAATAATATTGATGAGAGGCACGCCTGTATACATAGAATCTAAAGAGACCATAATGATAACTAGAGGCTAGAGCGCGGTTTTTCTGACCATTCTGTTTCTTTTAAACAATCTAGAGAGGACGCAATGATGATTGACGAGAACACTTACAGGTGAAAAATGTAGTTCTGATTATTATCAATATCATGCACAGCGTGATTTTATTTAGTTTCTTTTGAACCTTTCTGAATACAGTTAGTAGTATGATAGAATTGTTTGTTTAATATACGATTACTTCTCAAACTAAATGGTTCGCCCAATTTTTAATTGAATTCAGTGCGCTGCAAATCTTTCAAAAGGAATCCCATCCGTCAGCTTTTAAAGGCGGTTCAGGTGCTAAAGAAGGTCTCTCACTTTTTGGTAAGCCTACACTGATCAGTTGAAGTACATGTAGTCTGTCTTTCATCTTGCCAATCTTTCAATTCTGAAGATGTATACACAGTTGTGTCCTACAGATTATTTTCCCTTTCTAAACTTACATTTCTGGGGCCGGTTGTATCAAGCTCGTTTAGCTTAAACGGTGGATAAGCTCAAAATAGAAAGCAAGTTTATCGTTTTAATCAACAAGCAAACTAAATGTTTTTAACCATAATACAAAGATATTGTTTACAACTACATATTCAGTGCATAATATTCAAGTTCACTCATTCAAGAGAGATGTAAGAGTGTTATTTAATTTTGACTTATCCACCGTTTAAGCTAAACGGGCTTGATACAACCGGCTCCTGATATGGAATATTAATAATCATCTTTTTAGGCATGATGAATATGACCAAGTCTGTTATTGGTAGTCGCTTGTTAAGGTATAAACACTTCAACTTTCGACATGAATTTAATATAGCTACCGTATATATAGTGAAATTGTTAAGTTTGTTATCTTTCAACTAGAGTTTGGTTTCGTCGACCAACGACCAACATGGACGTTTTAAAGCAAAGACAAAAGGCTATAGCATTCTTTCAATCTCCACAGAATGCGGAAAACACAACGTCAATTCAAGAGTGTTTAAAACATATTAAATGTATTTCCGTAAGTTAGTTTGCTAATACTTTTTGATAGCTTTGATGACTGTTTTCGCGCGAACCGGAGCGAATGCGTGAATAACAAATAAAGATGGATATAGGGCAGATTACGGCTATAACATTACAATCTCATCCCTGACCTGAATCCTGCATGAGCTCGTATATTAGAAACGAAATACCTCACGTACAAAGCGTAAATATTTCTTTATAGCGAACGTTAGTCAGGATGGCTTCCGCACAAGCATCGATTGGTGATTGGCAATCCTTATATAAGGTTCTGACTCCATGAAATGTGTATCGATCATCATTGCACTTGCTTAATTCAGTTAGGAACATTTTATCTTTATACAGACAGTCTACAATGCAATATACATCTCCAACATGTGCAAAGCAATACCGGATGTACAAATTGCTCAGAAGGTAAACACTTTTATTGGAATCTAATTTAAAAATAAGGATTACAAGTAAAACATATCATTAATCTTATTCCTTCAGATTGCCCGAGACTTTTCTGAAGATCTTCACAGGATTGCTTCTTTGATTAACAAAATTGTAAGGGTGAAAAAAAGTTTTTTTAAAAACTGAACATCCTATTTGGGATCATACCGATCCCAAATACTGTAATCATGTTTATAATTTGTCCTTGTTTGCATCTTTGCAAGGTTGATTTCGATGATTCTACGTCCCAAAACAGATTTGTAGTTAAACCTGGAGTCGATGAAAACCTTGATGAAAGTAAGACACCTGTAATTTTGTTCTAATCTGTTCTTGAATCTGAAAAAATCTCTGTAGCTTGTGATTATCAATACTGCATGATGCATGATTGCAATTTGGTTGGTTTGTATAAACTTTTAGAGAAACGAACATACAATGGTCTGCCAGATTTCATGACGAAAGTTGCACAAGAAGAACTCAGCAAACTGGACGCATCAATTACAGAATGCAACATTTTATACCTGCCTCAGGTACGCATATTCGTGAACGTATCATTGGCATACTGTCACATGCAATAATTAGGCGCATAATGACAATCTCATGCAGTAATTGAAACATATTGAGCTCGTAGATATCTATTGCATGGCTTCTCTCTCTGTTTGGTTTTTCCCCTTTCACCATGACTTCTTTTAGTATCTATTATCTATTCTTACAATATTTTAGCTTGGTTATCTTTTGGCCATCCCTAGAACAGAACAAATGAAGGAAGAGAAAGATTTTGAGATGGAAGGATTAGATTTTGTTGTTAGTCTTTACTCTCTTAAGAACATACTTCACGTTTTGGCGTCGTGTTAACCAACATAAGAAATAACTTATTCTTGTTTTAGTTTTTCTCAGATAATACAGCACACTACAAGAGCGCTAACACCAGAGGTATAAAAAACTAAGAACTGTGAGATTTTGGATATCTCATTACAACATTGTAGTTAACCTTGCTTTCCTCATCATTTGTAGAACTGGACCGTCTCTTAGGCGACACCTTATGTGAAATAACAGGTATAACATATGGTTTACTGGAATAAAACTTTTTTTTCCTCCAAATGGGGATTGCATTTCTTACAATGGCAGAATCAGCTCGATAACTGGGAGGATTAATTAATCCATACTTCGTATTCCACAGTACGGTAAATACGTAACCTATAGTCCTATATATGTTCCAATTATCGTGCAGAGTCACAGTCCTGCTCTCAGACGCTGTTGATTTTGGGATTTAGCTGAAAAACTCATAGTTACACCTCAATGTGTCTCAATATTTTATTGCAATATGTGATCGAATATTTTTTGTGTTTTTATATTTCCCTATAGATCATGAAACTGCTATTATGCACAGATTACAAAGTATTGTGTTGGAACATACTGATTTACTTCTTAAAGTTATGGAGTACACAGCTGAGCTTGACTGGTAATGTAGTGTATGTCAGGATATTAATTATCATTATATCAGGGTGTATAATATATGGGTATAGAGGTAATTATCTCTACTAAATGACAACTATAAGGACAACTAAAGGACAACTATATAAAGGACAAGAAAAGTGATTTACAACACGTCTCGAGGAACCAATATATGTATTTTCAATTTTAGTTTAATTGCTCTATCTGTGCATGCTAAAGAGAACAACTATGCGTGTCCAGAAATGACTGAAGAAAATCTTTTGAGCATTAAAGCAGGAAGGTTTGTGAAATAGCTTTGCAGTCAATTGAAGACTTAAATATGCTATACTAAAAACTATGACCAGCCGAGAGTTTAAAAAAGTAAAATTAAAAATAAATTTCGAATAATAAGTAGGACATCTTGAGAGTCAAAATATGGACACGTGCGCGCTCTCTCTCTCTCTCTCTCTGTGTTGTATCATAGACAATCCAAAAGACAAAGATTGTATGCGTTGTAAAGTATTGTATATTTCATTCTGTATTGATTCATCTTTTTACTCTCAAGATGTCCTGTTTATTCGGAATTTGTTTTTTACTTTATATGCTCTACTATACAGGTGGAAATAATTAAGATGACCTGCACTGTCAAACAATGAAAGTTCTTTTGGATATATTTACCGTATTCCCGCACGAGGAAATTGATTTTTTTCATTAGACACCCTTTGCAAGAGATTTACGTCACTCCCTTTGTCGCAAATGACACTCAAGTCGATAAAGAAAAATCCCGGATGAAAATATTAACTGGACCAAATGCAAGCGGGAAAAGTGTGTATCTGAAACAGGTAATGCCCATGATGAAAAAATTGTGCTCCGAAAAGTTCGCTGAAATATTGCTACATATGTTGGATCTCATTTTATTATAGGTCGGTTTGATAGTATTTTTAGCACATATTGGTAGCTTTGTTCCTGCTGAGTCAGCAACTATTGGTATAACTGAGAGAATATTTACTAGAATTCATACTCGTGAGACGGTGTCAGTGGGATTGTCAACATTTATGATTGATCTAAACCAGGTATATTCAAGTCAATACAAGACTGCGGTCCTCAGTCAGTGCTTGTTCTATTCACTTGACTACTGAGCAGCTATGAAGTGCACAGCTGGTTAAGCGAACGTATGGACCAAAACGTTTACGACTGACCCACTGATTTTTTTTAACTAAACCTACGTCTGGTGGCGGTGCATCCTCGATTTCTGATTGCATAAGAGAATATCCCGAAGACCCCGAACTGATAAACTTAATTTGCATTGTATTTAAGCTTTGCATGCTGCTGAAGTTCTATTCACTGTGTTAAAAAACTTAAAAAGCTCGATCAGCTAACACAAGATGATTATTTTAATGTAGCTATCTACTTTCCGTACGTTTCAGATGGCTAGTGCTGTTCAATTCGCAAGTGAAAGATCTCTTATACTCATTGATGAGTTTGGAAAGGGGACAGCAACGGTCAGTCATTAATTTCCTATTAAACAGAACACATGCATGTGTCCGCAATCCACATGCATACACAAATTTATTTTATATTCCTGACATAATTGAAAGCGACTTATTTCCTTTCAAATATGAAGTTTGACATAGTTATTTCAGGTGAGAATACAACGGGATAAAACTAAATTTGATTATAATGATTTACCAGATACCTTTCTAAACTTTATTTCGCTGACTTGTTTAATACTATTTTAGGTTGACGGGCTATCGTTGTTAACAGCGTGTTTGAAATATTGGTTATCTGCTGGAAACCGTTGTCCTAAAGTCCTGGTGTCTACTCATTTCCACAGCATTATCCAGCAGAAACTATTGCCTCTTACTCCTCTCCTACGATTCCAGGTAAAAATTAATTTATATAAGTTTAATTAGAGGATTAGAAGAGTCTTTGTGGTATAGAGAGGATTTTTAGGACTGCGTTCAGTACGGCTAAATTCGGATGGCATACTTATAGGAAGCCTCAGTATATATAGACTGTTTTTCATTTACAATTGCGTATATAGAAACGCTCATAATGTGAGGCTTAACAAAGTTCACTGCTCTACACATAACATATATATCTTTTCAACGCTCAGATTTCACTACATAATTTCATATTCAGACGATGGAAACAATGCAGAATGGTGATGAGTTAGTTTTTTTATATCAACTTGTTGATGGATATACGAACACAAGTTACGCGTGTCATATAGCTGCTTTAGCTGGTATCTCAAGTGATTTAGTACAACGTGGTCATGAGGTGCGTGTTTATTGTTTTTGATCGGTTTAAATGTGCTTCAGAGTTCAGACTTGCTGACCAACACGTTTCCGAGGGAAATTTGGTTTCTAGCTCAAGTGGGCTAAATACATGGATTAGATTAATTATTCACCTTTCTTTTAACCATGCATGCATCCTGAAAGATAACGCCCTTTAGTTTGTCAAAAGCCTATATATTAACGAGAAAAAATGCGTTATAGTTATCATACGACTCAACGCATATATTTATTTGCATAATGCATGCATATAATGTGTTGAAAACTGATAAATGTGAATTATTCTCTATTTATCTTTTCTTAAGATCCTTGATCTAATTCGAAACAACAAGGCGGTAAAAAGGAAAGACAGTAAAAAGAACGAAGAAGAAATGCAGAGGTTTGAATATTAATTTGTGTATTTTGCCAGCATGCATGTTGCATGCGATAATCTCTGGAGATAGGTCCGGCTTATTGCAATCAAATTTAGGCTGCATGTTCATGTATTTATAGCAGATATTTGATATGAATATTTCAGTATTTCCTCCTAAGGTAACCGTGGTTGGTAAATATATTTGTTATAAAGGAGTATTAAGATGTAACAATTTACCGAAAAATACGCATTGCGACTTTCTTTAACTTCCACACTTTTCTCGAAACGTCGCACTGTTCTCTATAGCGTACTGTCTTCACCTTTCGTTGTTACTTGTTAATTAATTAAACACATCTGATAATTGATCTGATAATGCTTTCTAAAATAAGAGATATAAATGTTTCGGTTTTACATCGACCTGTTGCAATAAAACAAGCGCAATCTGCACTTATTTCATTCAATCAATTGTTTTTTTGCCGTAGGTAATAAAAGATCATAAAACAAAATTGACATCCTTATCCGGTTGTAGGCGTACATTATTACGTATTACTGTGGTTGCTAACTTCCTGGTTAAAGTGTTTGGTGCATGACTTAAGTGGAAGATTTCTGATAAAATTCCTTTGATAAAAAAGTATTTTACTGAAATTATACTTGGTTATATAGTAAAGCAAATTATACTTGCATGGTTATATGGTTATAGTAAACCAAGTAATTTGTTTATATGGTTTATAGGAAACCATATCTTCAGCAGAGTGTTTCTATTGCGCCACACGCATGGGACTAGACATGAGTACACGTTCATTTATAAATAACTCAAAAGATAAAATACAATTGTGAACAAAATGTCATCAATCCAAAGCTTTATAGTCCATAAGCGATGCTATTCATCATTGTCAATTGGTTAAGACATACCTTTGACTAAAAGAATTTGAAACATTTCTAACCTTATGACCCTCATAAGTAAAACTCAAGCTGTTTCCTTTGCCACAACTTCCTGGGAAGACCTAATGGCTATATAATATTGTGTTGAAATTTCATCGAAATTGGTCCTGAAATCTGAATAACATGCATGATATATATAATCGTATATATATATTTAATACTCCTCTGTATTTGGTTTATTTTATCTTTGAAGAAAATTGTTGTGTTCCCTTATTACGACAGTCGTACCAATAGGCAATAATATTGATCTTCCTGGAATTGATCATATGAATTGCTAGAAGTTAGCAAAAAAACTTTGAGATTTACGGGACGCTTCTGTTGACACGACTGCACTGCACACTCCCTTTTATTATGTTCCAGCATCGCATGGGAAATCAATACTTCAAAATTCGAATAGTTGTTATTATTATTATTTTAATATTATAGAGGATAGTGGTAGATATGTTTAGGATTATCTTTGAAAGGGAAAGTGATGGAATGGGGAACATCAGGGAAAATTCAGAAGAAATATCAGTCTGGGAATATCGGGGAATAACCATTTCCATATTACACATAATTAAAATTAAAGATTACATATAGCAGAAGGGTATCTTGACAAAGTTTACTTAGAGCTACAAAAACAACATTTCTTTTATTACAACATCATCGGTTTGATTTCCTCAAGAAGGTGTTGCTGACTGCATACCCAGCTAGCACAATCACGTTGTATTAACGTTCGTCGAACGTTTGGACAACGTTCATTTTTAACGTTGGGTCAACGTTTTTTTGTAAACTCGTAGGAACGTGGTATTAACGTTAGGATAACGACATAAGGTATATACATCAGCTACTTTGCCGTGTTCACGACAATTCTATATTCATACGACTAAATGGAAACCAGGATTTATCCATGTTCTAATTGTGTTTTATTGTTCTAATCGTTTTTTTACCGGTTGCACCATGCACCTTCCTCCGCAGAAATGTTCACCATTTATATTTTCTGCAGATACTGTGGAATCGTTAATGAATTCTTGGGACTAGATTTTGAAAGTGCAGATGTCACATTATTTATGAAAACACTTCTTACGTCACAAACTGGACAAGACCAAAACCGCAAGTAGCTTACTTTGTACTTGTTAAATAATTTATTGATATATTTTTTTACTCCTTTTGACGTTTTGGTGAACTTTTAATTTCAAAGCCCTTTGCTAGAGGAGGAACAGAAATGTCTGACACAAACAAAGTGATTTATTAACATGTAAATTTATCAATCCAATTGCGTTTAAAAATAAAACAGGATTACAGGATGGTGTTAAAACGTTAACAACATTTGAGTTTAAACAACGCTGGAAGAAAGCGGATGTGAATGATTTGTAATATTATATCAGTTCGTAACCATGAGGTCATTCCGGATATGAATTAGATATACACCCAGAATGATTATGTATAAGTACAAGTGATAAATATGTTTGTATTCAGTCTGCTCAGCGTTGCGTGAGGAAAACATATTAGTGTTAGTGTAGCCTAGCGTGGGGATTGTATTACATATCCAGTCATTAAGCGCGTGCCGCGTGCAAAATGAAAAAGAATGGTATACGATCAACAATTTTTAATTATAAGTTCGTCGTTTTTGGTTCCGCTGCTGTGGGCAAGTCGTCTCTTGTCAGAAGACTTGTTCATGATGAATTCAGAGCTAAATATACTCCAACAGTTGAGGATATTTACAGATACTTCTTGCAGTCAAATAATCGCCTTTGCAATTTAACCATCGTGGATACTGGAGGAACACACGATTTCCCAGCAATGAAAGAACTTTACATCAAAGATTGTGCTGCTTTTATACTTGTGTTATCTGTTGATGATCAGAAATCATTCGAACAATTTCGGAAAGACGTTCAAAGTATCCTGGTGTATCGGCCTACTGCGAAAATATTGACAGTGGTAAATAAAGTTGATATCCAAAATAGATCATTTTCATCTTTACAAGTGATAAGGTACATGGAGAAACAAAGAACAAGATATCCACAATTTCAGTATAAATATTTAGAGACATCTGCTGAGAGAAATATGAATGTTCGTGAGATATTTTATGAAGCTGTTGAAATAATAACACCTGGGTTCAAAGAACAAAAAAAATCCCGTCATACTTGTACAATCTTATGAAAACAATCACTTAAATGCAAAAATAGTGCCAGTGGCACTGTTCTGGCACTGTATATATACACGCAAATACATGACATGTACTGCTTCGTACAATTTGATTTAATTTACTCGTATAGTTCAGCATCAACGCAATTTTATTGGAGATTAAGATATACAGTGTAAAAGTAATAAAAAATATTGCCGTACAGTGTAGAGATCATTTTAAGTATGTTCTTCGTTAAAATGTGCTGTAAATCTGTAAATATGATGAATTGCTGATGTATTGGTATTTGTATGTTGTGCAGGTGTGGTGCAGAATAGTAATTTGATCTAATAACCCCATTAACATGCCTGAACATGGCTTCTATTGTGAAATATTGTATATTTTGTAAAATGATGTACATTTATGATTGTATATATAAAAAGGAATATCAAGTTTATTAAATGAACAAAGAAATGGTTATGTGCTCGTTGTCCACATTTTTCAGATCTACTTGTGAGGCATGTGTTTTTCATAATTTAGGCCCGCACAATGACATTCTCTTAATTATGGCGTTAACATCACGTTTTGAACAAAAAGTGAATATGTTTTGTACGATTCCTTGAGATCCCAGAGTGAATGCTTGATTAAGCCAGTTTCACCTACGCTGATCATTGTTTTGCACGATGTGAGGGGTCAAATAAAGTCCCCCACGTCTGCGACCACCCACTGCGAGTTTGCTGTTTTCACTAACTGAAAATCTCTTTACACTTTTTCGTGAAGGAAATTATCATTATTATGTCCATGAAAATCTGAAAAGACAAGTAAAGCTTTTTGATTTTGTACAGTTCAATGCAGCCAGCTCAGTTCAAATCTTGGAAAATTTATACACATGGCAATGATGGCATTCTTAGCGATTCGTGAATTCTTAGAGTTTTGAGGCTTAAAGTAATTAAAACACACGTCCAGACAAGATACTTATTGTTTTATAGAAAAAACTGCCACTTATAAGCTGGAACATGGGCGCGCGCGTGTATAGTTTGTTTCTGTTTGCAGAACATTGGTTCACATTAATGGGTAATTTTCTGCAATGTTTTATTGCCTACGATCAATGAGAAAACTTTAAACTAAGGATCAAAATAAGTGTGTCCCTGACTCCCTCGCCTGCTTCATGTTTGGCAAACGGTGATACTGAAGCGTGATCGTGTGCCAACGATGACGTCAAGGAAAGACTCGTGTTACTAATCCAACGGTAATCCTACACATACATCAAATAAAATTCTCGAAAGACAAAATATGTAACTTTTCCGTTCACACTTTGCAAAGACAATTGCAAAGATAACTTGTCTTTGCTATCATCATCACTGGGATACCTTTATTCTGCCCACACGTTATAGCCTCGTGGGTGGAGAACTCTACCTATCAGGCTCACGCTGAAACGAATTGTGACACATGAGATCGCTTTCATCGTGCTTTCATCGATAATTTTAAATAGTTTTCAAAGGTTTTCACGCACACTTTGTGTATCGCGTTTTAATCAAAACCCACAAATTTACCAATCACCAGTCTCTTTTGATAAACCAAGCAAAATTTTAGTTCGGAATGTAAATATGGGGTAAAATCCATCAAGTGTGTCCTGGTTGATGAAGACAGGACTAAGTAATATTGTGCTGCATCCCGTGCAAATATGGTTGTTAACAGTTGCAAGCTGAACCGCTTGAGGGAGAACTATTTTTTAAGTTTTAAAGTTCCGCAATAAATTTTCTACTCTTAGGGAAAAAGATTAGGTAAGATATATATTCTATAACTCAAGTGGTAAGAAATATATCTGTAAACTCAAGTGGTAAAAAATATATCTGTAATTCAAGAGGTAAAATATGTATCTATAACTCAAGAGGTTAAATATATATCTTTAACTCAAGAGGTAAAATATATATCTTTAACTCAAGAGGTAAAAAATATATCTGTAACTCAAGAGGTAAAATATATATATCTATAACTCAAGAGGTAAAATATATATCTATAACTCAAGAGGTAAAATATATATCTATAACTCAAGAGGTAAAATATATATCTATAACTCAAGAGGTAAAATATATATCTATAACTCAAGAGGTAAAATTTTTATCTACAACTCAAGTGGTTAACCCAGTTGTTGGTACTACCACTATCCGCCACTTTCGAAAATAGGAAAAATAAAAAATATAGCACGTAGCATTACGAACTCTGCAAGAGGAAAGGTTATAAGTGCATAGTATCAACCGTGAGAATAGCAGCTCAAATTTGCGTGGTAAATGGTAATTTAAACGCGAGAAATTTTTCGATAAAGTGTAATGACAAATTGGCGAAAATTTTTTTGCGTTCAAATTATCGCGACAATTTACGCTGCTTTTGAGTGAGGTTCAAGAATCAAGATGGCGAACAGAACAGTGACTGATGCTAAGTCAGTAAAAGGGACAAATCCGCAATATTTAGTTGAAAAGATTGTTAGAACTAGAATATACGAATCGAAGTATTGGAAGGAACAATGTTTTGCTCTAAGTGGTAAGTTAACACGCGAGAAATCTATTACGTCTATCTACTGCATCTATTTGATTGTATATAAATCATTATTATTTGTTATAAAATTATAGTATATGTTATTAAAATGTTGTGTATCTTTGTTGACTGGTGTATTCAAATAATTTTTATTCATTGCAAATATCAATAGAACAAATAGAATAGTGTTTTAAAAATCTTTGTTATCCATTGATTCTTAGCATAAAAATTTGATCTTATGTAATATAGCTGAACTCTTGGTTGACAAAGCAATGGGTCTGGAATTCATTGGTGGAACATATGGTGGAAATATTAAACCAACACCATTTCTTTGTCTTGTTTTGAAAATGTTGCAGATACAACCAGAAAAAGAAATTGTTGTGGAATTTATCAAAAATGATGATTACAAGTAAGAAAGTAATTATTATTATTATTTATTTAAAATGGATCATTGATTTAGCTAATAGCCATGTTTCAAATTGTCATGTCCTATGTGTGAGGTCATAACCTGTGAATCGACTTTTTTCTTGCAGAAGTGTTTTGTCTATTTTAGGCAGTTGTTATACCACATTTGATGCTCAATGATAAAACACTTATTGAATTCGGTTTTCACATGATATGAAGAATTATTGGTTTGTCATTATCAACCTCAGACTTCAGCTTCGGTTGATAACCACAAACTTTGGCTTGATAATTCTTCATATCATGTAATATCAATAAGTTTTGTGTTTATACCATGTAGAAGGTCTTCACTTTATACATATTCTACTCTAGATATGTTCGTGCTCTTGGTGCAATGTATATGAGGCTTGTTGGAACATCACTTGATGTCTATAACTATCTTGAACCTCTTCTTAATGATTACAGAAAGCTCAAAGTTCAAAATAAAATGGGAGGTAGGCAAATAAATAACACGGCAAATAATTAGATTTAATATACAAAAGCAGTATCTCATATGCATGGTAATTTTTTTGACAATGAAAAATACAGTTATATATAATATAAAATTTATTCAAGAATGTCTACAAGATGCATCAGTAGGTTTCAAGTTTCAACCTCTCACTGTGCATCAAAGGAAGCATGTTTCAGGACTGCCTTCAGATATTTTGAAGTCTAAAGTTTTGAACTAAAAATTAACAATGGGTGAATGTTGGTAAGACAGGGAATATATATTTATTACCCTTGTTCACTAAGTAGCATTTCAGAAAAACATGGAGCAAAAGGGAGCATTCATGCATGCTTCCAGCCATAACCTTCTAATTTAACATGTTTAGTTTTTGAGCTTACCCATATTGATGAATTTATTGATGAATTATTACGAGAAGACAGAGTTTGTGATGTTATATTACCAAGAATACAGGTAATGAATTTTTGTTTTAATTACAATTTTTTCATTAGTGGGCTTTCTACACACATTACAAAATTGCCTATGAATGTTGTTTTTTGTAAATATTTTTATGTGAATTTTTTCATTCACTGTTGATATACTGCATTTGGATGAGAAGAAGACACAGATTCTTTTTTCTTGACAAAATATTTATTCTACATTTAGAAACGTCATCTTTTAGAAAGTAGTAATCAGCTGGAACCAAGGGTAAATATTTGTGGATAAGTTAATAAGCGAAAGATTTCAAAGTTTATTGAGCAAAAGCAAATCTCAGGTTTTAATGAAAGTAAATGACTCGATTAAAAAAGGTGTGATGCATTTCAAGCCGTATAGTATATTATCTTTTACAATTTAAAGCGAAGTGCTTTAGAAGATGATTTGGATGATCTGGAATCAGAAGAAGAAGATGATGAAGAAGAAGAAGAAGAAGAAAGAGTAATTTTCATTTTGTTATTTGTAACACAAAATTAGAGTTTAACAGCTAACGTACAGTCAATTCGTGTTTGTTCTAGATACGACGTCACAGATCACCGACACCCGACAGACATCGTAAACGTCGTCGTTCACCAAGGTCAAGGTAAACTGAGAAAGAAATTATGAGAAAGAAAGATTATCCGAGTCACTAACATTTGTGAAGTGTTCAAAATGTCTGACTAAGAAGCTTGATATTGAATTTTTTTGTTAGACGAAGTCATTCACGTTCTCCTCGACGAAGATCAAGATCTCCTCGCAGAAGAAGGTGAAATATTTGAACACGAGTTGTTCCAATGTAGTTTTAAACTACGATATAACCGCCAGGACACGGACGTTCTCCGTGATCGTTTAACTGCAATAGATATTCCAGCTATAGAATCAAAACGATTGTGCATTATCAAAACGATGTGGGATTTTTTCTATTTTTTACTATCATTAGTAAAATAGCCGGGGTTTTTCATAATATTCTGTCTTTATCGTTCTCTGTGTTAATTTTAGTAATTCCCCTCGTCGTCACCGACATCGAAGTCGAAGTCGATCCCCAGCTCGCCGTCATCATTCGCCGTCACGTCGTCATCGTCGTCGTTCCCAGTCCCGTTCCCCGTCACCTCACAAGTCAAGGAAATCTAGCAGACGAGAAGGAAAGTCAGAAGTAAACCAAGAAAGTATGGAAATCGAGGAAGCCAACGCACTGAGAGCGAAACTTGGACTAAAGCCTTTAAAACCGTGACGATTATATTTTTCTGCGCCATCAACATTCCACTGTTTGTGTTAGTCTTAATGCGTTACTTTATGAAATGTTCGCACATTTTATGCAACTCTACAATTCAGTTAAAATACCAAATTCCCTTATTCAGTATCAGTAAGGTTTTTTGCGTGAGAAATGTTTATACATTGGGAATACATTTACTCTCGTAAGTCAAAATACTGAACCATAAGGCTAGACTTTGTTGGAGCAATAACTTTACTTTAGATGGACTCTGAATAAGAAATATAAATAGAAACCCAACCATTCAAGAAAAGTCATGTTGTCGTTCAAATCTCACGTTTCTTGTAGTGATGGGCGATTACCAATTACTTGGAAATAATCGATACTTCATAATGCGTTTTTATTACAGTCCTTGCACTGGTATTCTTTCTTTTCAACATTTATATTGTCATATAACCTCCTCAACCTTTTATATTGCAACCATGCAAATTTTGATGAGGGGTATTTGCATAGAGCGACCATACAAAACCATGCATCGATAATTCATTCAAATTCGCAAGTCAACAGGTCTGTTTGGAATGAGCTGCAATTTCTCATGCTGAGTTGGATGATATTTTCAGACTTTTGAAGGGCGATGGGCTTTAATGAAGGACTGGATTACGGAGGGTAAATTACGGTGAAGATGTGGGTGAGTTAGTGAGTGTGAGACTTGTAATTTTTTAATACTTCATAAAACAAAATATTATATAAAAATGTGTTTAAAAATATTATTGATGTATTGCATGGTCAAAATGTTTAAATGTTAGAATGTTTAACTGTTAGTTTTTCATGCAAGCAAGTAATACTGTAATGCTAATTGTCAGGTCACGCCGATGTTTTTTATTTTATTTTATTTGTTCCATGATAACAACCAGAATGCCAATATGTCAATAATCTTCATTAATAATTAGGTGTTAATTGCCAAACAATAACTTTTGCTCTACAATATTTTAGCTTTATGTTAATTTAAATGATGCGAACTTTCCTGGACCACGTTTTTTAAAACCTAGAACCTTGAAAACGACGAAATGCCCGAAATGTAACTTTATGATATGATTATCACAGTCAGTGACTGTCCTACATTCTAATAATACCCACCAGGGTCAGGTACGAGTGTTTAATACCACCTGCTATGGTTATTTTTTCTATAGAAATAGAGCCAAAAAGCCCAGAAACACTACTTTGCGAATTTTGAAGTTCAATCTATATCTCATCGCAAACTAGAGGTAAGCTTAGAATGATTTAAAAAAACACAATAAGTTGGCGTGGGATACACAGATCAAATATGACTGGTGAAAATAGGAACTTTGTTGGCTTCGACTCATTCAGAAAAGAGACATTGACCTTGATTTTTTAAATTAAAGCATTATCTTGGTATACTCGTTGCTAGGTTACAAAGACGTGTCTACGCCAACGGTGTCATTAATGACCCCCAACACTAGACATTATTTAGACCTAATTTTGGAATGCTTGAAAATTGTAATCTCTTTAATCCCCTTTCACCTGCCGTAGCCTTCGAAGATCATGCAAGTCTTTTCATTTTCCAATTGCTAAATATTACCAAACGTTACAGTAAAATATACTTTCAGGAAGAAAACAGAGTGTGATAAAAGTGGTTTGAAGTCTGTATTGCTTCTCTCTGACTCTGTTAATTAGTTTCAGTGATTGCCACTCTAGCGAGTTATGCACAATGACAATATTATTCCTGACTTCATAATGATGCTTTTAAAACCTGTGGAAATGCAACATCAAACTTCTACTAAGTCAACTTAGAAGCATCCACTAAATTCGCCCAAACATTATTTTTCATGGCGGCAAAATGATGGCAGTGCCATTCCTAGGACCTGTAACGATATATTCGACCTTGCAATGAATGCGACACAATGGAAGTTAAGCAAATAAGCTTTAATCACCACTTGTTAGGTATTCATATGTCAGATCTGACAGCTTTGTGATAATATTCAATAGTTATAGCGTGCGGTAGACAAAGTCCTTACCTAAAAACGTGTTTTCACATTACTTATTGATTTGCACCATATATATTATTCACTTATTCGTTTTAAGAGTGGCCTGTGAAGTTTGGAAAGAACCAGCTGTCTTCTGGTAAAGGACTTCACGTTAATAAGTAATCAGAAGATATCCAATCGCGAGACTCTTGTCAGTCTTGTGCTGGTCAATCCGATAATCCAAAGGCTCATCTTTTCAGGTATGGTACAATCATTCTTATGTCTTGGATTAGGGTTTAGTAAGTTAACGAGCAAGTGAACATTTATACTATCTTGTTCTTAGAAACTCTTGGACGTAAACTAACATGATTGAAATACTTAAATATAGTTCTTGGTTTAATGTAGTTCTTGACCAAATCAACGTCGAATCAAACTATTTGATTAGAAATTATTTGATTAGAATTGTTCCTAGCGTCATAAGCTTCGTACTCTTACAAATCCTTTCAGAGAACTAACAAAATACGTAAAACTAATCATGTCTTGATCTTTTAAACTGAGCGAATAAGGTTGCACTTAACCCTGATATAGGGTAATGCAAGCAACATCTGTATTTTTATTTTGTTGTACAAGCAAAATTGCATCACACCACATCTGCTTGAGGCATATCATTTATCACTGAATTGCATAAACTGTAAAGTCAGATCAAATGTCTGACGATTCAGAAAGAAGCGAAAAGTTTTTACTCGTAATTTGTACTCAAAGTTTGATTTTTCTCGATATTCAGATAGAGTCGCCTCCAGAGTCGGCCTGTTTTTAAGCATTTTTTATATGTTAAAATAAATTACATTTAATTAAAAAGAATTGGAAAAAAATAAATTCGATTCTAGTGTCGAACTTAACACCTCGAAGAGATGAAACTAAGATTTCTTAATTACGTAAATGCAAAATATGAAATGATGTTTTTTGTTCTATTTAAAAGTTAATTAAGGTAATCCATGGATAAAGATAATCAGGTTGCTATGGATGAGGCTGCCGAGTACGATTAACTGTTTAGTTGTCAAGGGAAAATCTTGCCGTAGACTTGAGATTTTGTTATTGAATGTCAAATCAAATGTATTATGACTATTGACTAATAATCTATAAATCGACATGACTTCTGAGTTCGTCATTGACAAGACTTCAATAATATTGCATGACTCATTGAAAAGTTTGGCTTGATGTTTCATATCTGCAGGAAGAATGGCCATCGACATAATCTATATTATAGATCTATCCATCGGAAATTGCCTTTGACATATATTTATACTAGGATTATTATAAAAATAAAAATTTAATGTTGTCTGCGATAGGTAATTGCCTAAACTATACGAACATTAATTATGATTTATGTCTTTTTGAAATATATTTTCATAATAAAAAAAGGTGATTGCCATGCGAATGTACGTCAATGCGTAATTCAAAGTCAAAGATATTAGTTGATATAAAAATCCAGCGAAATTGCTTTCATGTAACGCTGTATTTTTAGTAAAAACTAGAAGGATCTTTAGCCCGAAACACACATGGTTATATATATAATGCCTTTTACTGAGCATATACTGACTATGAGAAATCTATAGCAGTTTAGTTTCATCGATTTACCACCTTAAAGCGAACCGTGGGCTTTACAAAGTCAGTGTATGATAAAAAGAGTACCAAGACTTTTAATATTCTCTTGAAGTTACCGTAAGAAACACTTGCCCCAGTTAAAATCAAAGAAATTTTGAATATGGTTAAGCTAAACTGCCTTAATTACAGTGAAATCTTGTTAATAAAATTCCTGACTATATACGACGAGAAATTCGAGTGTTTCTTTAATTTCTCTTGCATCAGAGAGTGATGATATACACAATATTGTATTCCACCTTTTGTTTTTTTAGCCACATCTGGAAGAAATAAAAAAAAATGACTTGCAGTAAATTTCTCTCTGGTTTCCTTCTGTTTTTCATTCTCTCCACGTCGCGAGCTTCATCTCCGTTCTACGATACCACTACCAACCTCACACACACTTGTCAAATTAGTCCCATGGTTGTTTGTGTTGATGTGATTATCCGAAGTAAGACATGTGTTGATCCTGTATGCTTGATTTACTCTGGAGGAAGAAACATCAGCTCATGTATATCACCTCTAATTAAGGCTACAGAAAATACTGCTAACAGTAGTAATGTCACTAACATCAACAGTACTAGCAGTGCTAACATAACTAATATGAACAATACTTCAAACACAACGGTACAAACATGCAATGGAACCTGGATTTATCCATCCCAAAATACGAGTTTCTGCTTCAATGGCACATCTTGGAATAAAACAATTTGTAGTCAAAACAACGTAACATGCAAGATCAATTCAACCCAGTGCATATTAAATGCAGTTGTATATCTCGGTGGATTCTTCAACTTGAACGATAAAGATGGTTATGGTAATATACCTGCGGCCGAGTTAGCAATAAAACAGATAAATAATGACAACACGACGTTACAAAATCTAACTTTGTCTCTTGTGGTTAAACACTCTACACAGGTACACCCTATATGCATTTTTATCTATTGTATTGCATTGCACGGTAACGGCCACTTAATCGGGGAGTAAGCATGGGTAAAATCTCTGTTTCAACACATTATATTTGCACATATGCGACATTATTTTAGAAATCTGAATGATATTCGTGTGATAACATCCAAGTTTTGGATCGACCGTAATGCATACCATTATTGTGGTCCTGTTCTTTTCTATATTTGAAGTGAGAGATCAATTCCTAACCGACAGTACATGACAGTATTCCATTCAACCAGATCCTTGCATGGAAAGATTATTCTACTCAAAGTCCAATCATTGATTGAGGCATTGGCACATACGTATATAACCTGCATGATATTTGGAACAGACCTAGGCATAAGACGTATGACGTTCAAAGCAATCTATAATAACAAACAAAAAATTGTTTTCAGAGCTTGCTTAGCTATGGTACACAAGCCTTGTATAAATACCTTCATACTGGTCCAACAAAGTTAATGCTGCTTTTGCCGCAAGAAAATGACATTGCGAGAACAGTGGCTGCATACGCTGGTTTAAAGCAATGGGGAACTTTACAGGTCTGTATAACGCTTGTGGTAAATTATGCATGGGCTAAATATAAACTATGGCTAAATTACAACGTATAAGAACCTTGAAACCTTGAACCTTGAAAAATTATATAAATAATTACTAACCAACATGTTTGCCTGCCTGTGTTGGCCTATGACCACTACAATTAACCATTGAATACATCGTCTTTCTTTTTCAGTTTTCATATGGAACAACAGACAACAGTCTGGCATCAGATAAGAACCTATTCCCGCGTTTTTTTCGTCTTAACCCCCTAGCAATTACCTACAACCGTTTACGTGTAGCGTTCGTGAACTCTTACAACACCGACTGGGGTCGTGACGTTGGTCTCTTGTACTACGCTGACACGTACTATACAGAGGTAGGTCTGGAACGAGAACAATTTCTCTGACTGGTTGTTCAGAAGCCGATTAAAATCTTGAAAAAATCTTGTAATGAAAAAACAGCAGGTCAAGTTTGAATTAATTCAACACAAGATGAGCTTTTTGAGCATTGAACAACTGGCCCCAGCGGTTGTGAGATTTTTCCAAAGGAAACAAGGACGGCAAACAACACTTCGTTCATGCAGACTTGCTCTCTGTTAAAAAAAAAGTCACATTTCCCAACCTGTTTTAAGCTCTTGTACAGTGTGCAGTGAAGCAACCGAGTTCAGGGAGGGGGCTGTGTTCTAATAACGGTTTTTGTTCCGCGTTTGTAAACCATTTTCAGGAGTCTGAGGAACGTCCGAATCTTTTCTCGAAGCCTTCCCATGGGAAAGTGTTATAAGGATTCTCTGCAGTATTTCTTACGTTCCCTGACAGTTGACACTAACGTCAAACAGTCAATACCAAAAGAATGCGCTTGTCCCCAGGTTTCGTTAATTGCGTTCTCTCTTGTCAGGCTAATGAGGATCTCAACAAAAAGCTGAAGGCAAAAAGTATAAACGTTGTTGCAAATGTTGGCTTCAAATCAAACCCGGCTGAAGCTCTTTATATATTGAAGGTATAGTGATGTTTATGAAGTCATTTATCGCAAATCGTCTTTTCTCTTAAAAACTCAGTGTCTATATACATCACGATATACAGTTATATATATTGGACTGATTTAGAATAATTCTTTAATCCTTTTTTAACAAATATATTTAGTTCCTACTATACAATAATTCTTTAATATTAATTGGACGTTTTCTTTGTTTCCTGCTAATTGTCTGTTCACTGTCTGTTTGTCGGCTTTGTACTTTGTTGCAAATATGTGCATTTTCGTCTCTGTCATTTCAATCCTGCGTGCGACATAAACGTCGAAACCTTTAGGACTGTCCCCCCCCCCGGGGCCCCTACTTTCTCTAATCTTCCCCACTTCCCTTAACCTCCCCCACTTCCTCTGACTGAAATGCCTAATGAAACATTGCATTAAATCATTTCAGAAAAAAAATGCGCACATAATTTTGACCAGTTTTCCTTATTCGTATGGAAAGAGCATGTTTTGTAAGGTAAGGTAACTCCGTCATTTTAAGCACGGAAAACTTCATTTAAGCTAAACTACATGCAACTGCATGCAGCAATACCTGAAAAGTTAATATGAGTAATTATTTATTTGCCACAGGCATTTCAACTTGGTATGTATGGTCCACACTATGTCTGGATTACATTCGTTCTAATGCCTTTTAAATTTTGGGTTCCAAAACCAAATGATAATTTGGAGTGTACTGAGGAAGAAATGAACTGCATCGCTGAAAATCATTTCTCATTCTATGGAGCCACAATTTACAAACAAAGCAATCTTCTCATAAACAGCGTAAGTTAAAAGTACAGTAATGCAAGTAATGCCAAGTATAATATACGATCTACAGACTACAAACTGCAGCCTAATCTTCGAATTCTTGAATGAGAGTTACTATCTTTATAACTGACACTGTTTAAAAACACAATGAGACATGCGGTGAGCTTTGTCCAACATTTATTGTATGCAACATTTCAGTCGTTATGTTCCAACATTTGCAATATAAGACTTCACTTTAGTAAATTGTTGTTTAATTCCTGATAAAAAAATTAAGGAAATTTGTTCAAATGTTCATATAAACAATTTTTCATTTTAAATTTCAGAATGTAACGTTCTCTCATGCATACAATAATCTGGTTACCTCAACAAAGAATAGATCGAGTGTGGCACCTTACGTTTATGATGCATTATGGACCATGGCGAATATCTTAGAGCGAGCTCGGGCCATTCAAACGGGAAAGAGATTAAATAACTTGACTTATGGCGAGGAAACTAAACTGCTTGAAGACGAGGCTTATAAAACTGACTTCATGGGAGTCACAGTAAGACTGATCATAATTGAATCGTTTTCGCTGAACTTGACAAGTATTAGAATATTTATAAGCTTTGATTACCCAACCAAAGAAGGCGACCATTGTTTTTATTTCGTTATAAGGTCGTTGAATTCTTACCAGATCTATAAATCTCCTGCCAGATTGCTTCATTAGTCCACAGCTTTCATGCATATATAGTTGCTCTCGTGGACGATAGCAAGAAAATCATGTGCGGACTAAGACTGCAATCGAGGCTCACATGACTAGTTATTTTAAACCTAATTATCCTTATTGGTCCGTCTTATTCTAAGAGCGGTATTTTAGCCCTTTAGGTTATACATGCAGTTGCTTACTAGTTAGTAGCGCCTACTCCAGTATCTTAGGTAATAAACTAGTATGTTTCTTACATTGCATGGTCCTAATTTTTATAACGTTATTTAGGGTCGGATCAGGTTTTACGATAATGGTAACAGAAAATTTTCAATGAACCTTCTTCAAGTTCGTGCGAGTAAGTATATATTGCCTTGAATATGGTGTTTTAACCATTCGTTGTAGTAATCCTGAATCATTTTATTTTGCAGATGGCTATGGATACATTGTTGGAAATTATGATGTGGACAAAGAAAGTTTTAATGAAAATGACGAGATTTTGTGGCAAGGATTCAAAGTATCTGAGGGTCAGTAAAATACTGCATATATAATTAAAGGTAACCTAAATGCGATAATTGAAGATATACGACTGTATTTATTTAGGAGGATGGCGTTATAAACGAACAACAACAACACTCAAGTGGCGATTCATAGAACTCGTTCTGTTCATCGTTTGGTGCATCCTCGCTGCTCTAGGAATGATCTACGCAATTTTTTGTTTAGTTTTTATCATTATATACCGCAGACAAAGGTAATAAACTATACTCCCCCAGTTCCAGCATGATCACCTTGGAGTTCTTTATTTTGTTAACCATGCAGTGATTCGCTTGAATGTCATGTAAATTATTACTGAATAGATTTATTTCTCGGCCTGAATATTTCCCTATTTTTCCCTTGGAGACATCGCAGTTCCTCAAGGAGGGTCGACGTACATGCTGACTAAAAATTACTTAAGAATGTGCAAAGCCAGATTTGCCCTGATAACTGTGAATATCGAAAACAACAATATGGTCGCCAAACTTTATTCTATATACATAGCTATATCTAAATACCTTACTTTTGTATCTTAAAGGTCAATTAAGTACTCCTCTCCAACGATCAATGTGCTTATAATTCTTGGTTGTTTGCTCAACTTCATTGCTGTTGTGTTGTATGGAGTAGATTATCAACTAGCAAGTGAATCAAGAATGTCTGTGATATGCAAGGTACACTGAAAAATGCAGTACTAATATATTTTCAACTTATTCCTACATCTATTACTCACGAGATCACCTGAACATTTATCATAGGTGCGTCTTTGGATGTTTTCTCTCGGTTTTACGCTTTGTATTGGAGGTTTATGGGTCAAAGTATGGACTTTATATCAAATTTTGATCGAAAGAAAGGTGTATAAAAAGGTAACTAAGCTGTGATTTAATATGACAACTTAGGGTAATTTCAAATATAGTAGTGACTGTGAACATATATCAGCAATTTTCTCAGCTGACAGCTGCACATACAACCCGCAAACCAATACTGTAGTAAGTTCATGGTTGGGAATAGAATACGTTGTACCATTGTAGAGAAAGATGGAATATTGGATGTTTGCAATTGTCGTGATACTTCTGGTAGTTGATGTTATTTATTTGACAACATGGACAGCTAGAGATGGTTTGTATCGAAGTTTTGAGACAGTCACAGATCAACCGCAATACAAATGCTTTCAGGTGAGCCAGTAATCTGTGATGAAATTTTGGTGCCTAAAAACGCTTCCGTCTAAATTAATGTAAATTATTCAAATGTTTTGGTATTCCGCTTTAGAAGTTATCTGGTAACCCATTTATCGCTACGATCTGGTATATTGAGATTTGTGATTGTGACAATCTGTCGTTATGGTCAGCTATCTTCTTAACTTATAAATGTTTGTTGCTGTTATTTGGCGCCTTTATGTCGTGGAAAGTGCGGAAAGTTTACACACGAAAGTTGATCGATGCTCAATATTGCGCGACATTAATTCTTCTTGCGGTACCGTTTTGTGTGCTTGGTTTGATATTTGCATACACATTAAGGTTATATCCTACACCACATTATGGTTTGTTTGGGATCTTCATCATTCTTTACACTTACATTGTTCTTGGATTTTTATATGGACACAAGGTATGTTGTAGTTCTTGTGCTAATGAAGAAATGAGATGGGCAGAGAATATTATAGACTGCAAAACTCTGCTAGCGAATGATTTATCTATGTTACTATGTCCATATCGCACTACTACTACGTCTACACTTGATCTGTTCGCCTCATGTCCGAAAATGTCCACGCAATTTCAACTTGGTTGAAAATGGTTATTATCAAGCATTAATAGAATATTTCTGTGTTGTTTTAAGATAATAAATATCTTCTGTCGGTCTCGAAATACAATCAAAGTGCGCAGTAAAGATGAAACTGGAAGTGGCAAATGTTGCTCTGGTGTTATAAGAGCTTGCTTGGCTCCAATCGCTACTTGTTTGGCAACAGGATGCTGCTGCATCTGTTATCGTCTGAACTGCTGCAAGTCATTATGGGAGGCCTTGCTACATGGACCAAAGAAGAATCGAGGATCGTATGTGAAAGAGAATGAAAAGATTGATTATCAGATTGGAGATATGCCTAGTGATCGGGAGAAACAGATCATTATTCTGCAAAAGGAAATTGAGAAGGTTGGGCTGCTTAAAATTCATTAGATAATATAATAAATCCAGTCGACAATTTAATAAAAAAGATGAAAGGGGTCATATATATACCTGAAAAACATCTTGTTAATCTTGAGTTTCAAAACAAGACAACAAGTTTATGGTGATATTCAATTTAGTTTGACAACTACTTACCAAGCATAAAATTGTTGTTTTGGTTTTAAACTCATATCTTGGGTTTGAAAGATGTTGATATTTGTAGTATAGATAGGGCGTCAATCCGGGGGGGGGGGGCATTTGAGTGGGGCGATGAATATCTCATTATTCACCCACAATCAACCAAATTTGTTAAAATTAGGCTAAGTACGAATAAGATTGGTGTACGTGACAAGTTTAGCCGAGCCAGGCGAAGTTGGAGTGAAGTGTAACTGTGTAAGCGCACCTTTGAAATGAATTTGTTTTTTTATTGAAGCGAGACGGGGAGTTGTCCCGATTACGTCGTAATAATCGTGCGACGTTAGCTGTGAAAGAAACACAAACCGGGAACTACTTTCATACAAATGACAGTGGGGATGGTTGTCATGGCTCTGGTCATATAAATGAAGGATATAGCGACAATGAAGGAGAAAACAAACAGCGAGGTTCAGGACGACGTGATTACAATCGCTTTAAAGTTTATCACAGGAAGTTGGATTTTTCACATGTGGGAAGCAAGGTACTTTATCGTCAGTTGCGTAGCAACGTGGGGAATGATCCAAAACCCCGACTTTTCCAATTTGTTATGTGAATACAGCGCTTTACTATGGCGCCTGCATGTTTAACACATTCTCTTCTTAATCCAAGCCTTGACCACCATACAGCGGTCAATCTCAACCTTCTTAATCCAAGCCTCTGCGCGCACGTTTCATAATATCAAACTATGTTCTGATATTGGTAGGTCGACAGTGGATTAGACAACAAGAATTTTAACAAAAGTGGCAGCATTCCAATTTCTGAAAATGTTTATGAAGAGCCGTTATCTAATGATTCAGATATCCTAGCACTTCAGAAAATGCTATCTGAAGTGAGTATTCTGAAAGTGCTGCAATGCAGTGCAATGCAACACATTCTGTCGAATGATCGATATTAATGTTTATGTTATGATTATAATAATTGTTTTCAATTGAATTCACCTATATTGCAGGAAGAGCCTTTTTTAGGTCAATATTTGTAAATTTGGGATGGTTCTTTTTAAATACATGCCCGCAGCTGAAAACCACGCTATACTCTTAGTTAATCCTAATAGTTAGTTATATAGAAATTATTTTGGAGTTTAAAGAAGTAAAAAGGAATTCATTTTCAATCTTGTTGAAAAAACATTACCAGTTTAAAATGTGCTAAATTTTTGTAAATATTTTTATAGCGTGAGAAGGAACTGGCTCAACTTCGGGCATATCTTGGAGTGGATCCATCATCAAGTACTGACTTTTCAAGCAAAATAGGAAGCTTGGCAAGCATTGGAGAGGTAATTTTAGGCATTTTCTCTTACTCACGAAGTACATACAAACGTTGAAATATAAATTTGTTTTTGTTAAGGAGCACGACCCTGCAAAAACCTCTGGGGAGAGGGAAATAACAAACACAAATATTAGTTCTGTTGCCATAACTGTGTCAAGCAGTGATTCTGATGGAGAAAGCAGAAAAAACGGAAGTGACATCAGCAACGATGGGAATATTTCTGACGTCAACAACGAGCAAAGTGGGTTATTAAGAGGAAGAAAGACTGCATTGGATCAGGAGATTCAACAAGGAATATTACCGCACAAAAAAACAGCGGAGAGTGAAGTACAAGAAACTTCAAGCGACGACAACAACCAAGAAGACAGGAAGAGTTCGAAGTCTAAAGTTTTGAGTTCTGCTTATGGCAGTTCTTTTGCGTATATTTCACATTATAATGCTAAAAGAGATAGTGGAAAGTTCAAAAAGAAGGTTCGACAATTGAATTCGTTTGGTATCTTCGCAAGAAAATCTGCCGCGAGTGACGAAAATACACCTGAAGAACAAATTGATGTAAACAATGTCCCTAAAATAAACATAGATAAAACACCAGAAAAAAATGACGATTCTCAATCAAAAGAAAGTCCAGAGGATAAACCTGAATCTAAAGATGGAATAGATGAAAAAAATACAAGTAAAAACGATGTCAAATCTTCAAGTGGTAAGGATAATGCCCAGAAATCCAAAAGTAATGTTAAGATATTTAATGCACCATCAAACTGGTCTCATGTGAAGTCTCGTCTCTTTGACGCCAATGCAAACAGTCAGAGCTCCCTAAAATCATCACCAAGTCCAAGGCGAAGATCTAAAGTTGGGATTGAAGATGATGGTGATGTCAAAGATAAAGCTGGAGGAAGCGTTTCTGGTGAAGCCGGTGAAGCTAAGAAGAATCGAAATGGCGTCAAAATTTTTAATTCCTCGTCCGATTACTCTCATGTTAAATCACGTTTATTTGATCCAAATGTTAAACAAAGTAATTCTGAAAATTTACTAAGGCCATCGCCGACCATTCGCAGAAAATCCAAGGTTGGCATCGAAGATGATGGACATGTCAGTGCTGACGAAAAATCTCAAGGCAGCCCACAAGACAATGATAGCACAGGGCAAGGAAAAGAAAATCAAGTTTCAAAAAGCCGTTCTAACGTCAAGATTTTTAATGCTCCATCTGATTATTCTAATGTGAAATCTCGTCTTTTTAATTCTGCGAATAAAACTGACAATAAATTGAAAAAAGAAGCCAAGGAAATGGGTACAACTGGCGCGCTGAGAAGTAAAAATGCGAACGTCAGTGTGGAAGCGAATAAAAGGAAGAAAGAAGAGTCGTCTGTAGTTTAACCATTTGTGCACATAGTCGCATAGATGTTGTAGTGAACATGCAAGAACAAATCGATACAGTATAAATGCATTGTATACCCTTACAAAAAGTTGACAACGTTAGTTTTCTTCGCAATAAATTTTGTGCACATGACTGTATAATGAAAGATTTTAAAACATCCAAGACCTGGTCTTTCCTCTCGTATTTCTCTACTTCCAGTAACTCTTGCAGGGCAAGGATGCCAATACATTTCCCCTCATATTTGTTTACAAACCCCATAAAAACTTTATGCTGAAAATACCTTTTCTTAGAAGCAACAAGCACAAATATATATATATATATATATATATATATATATATATATATATATATTATATATATATATATATATATATATATATATATATATATATATACATACATAAGGCTGTTTACATGAGCCCGGTTACCCGATGTTCAACGATCCCCTAAATCTGACGTCAGAACCTTTGAAGTTTTACACAAGAAATATGGCGGAACTACAATAAAAATATTGGCGAACTTTATTAAATGAGTTATCGTTCCTATTCTATAATGGATGTCGTTGAAATTCTCAGAGCGATCTTATCAAAGTATATTATACATTTTAGTATAATAGAGCGTAAATAGTGATTATTTTTCTATAAAATTGTCAGAATTTCACGCACTCCTATGTATTTGGGGGAGCAATTATAGAATACCCTGCCAACTCTTAACAGTGAATGCCATATAGTCTTATAGATAAATGTACTTTGTTTTATGTTTCTTATTGCATTGGACCTCCAGAGAACAAGAATAAACACTATTTTTAAAGAACGGGGCAATTCAATACTCTAAAATTGTTCCTTAAACAGATCTTTAACATATAAATGCACTATTAGCAGGGTATTCTATAATTGTACCAGGCATAACTCAAAAATGAGGCTCTTGGCAAGACATGAGGTCTTATTCTCATGTTATGGCTTTCTTCCACAACCTTTTTCATGCATGTGTTTAAGAAGGATGTTTTGCATCTTTCCACATAGATCCTAATAGATAAGACTAGTAGTTTGCATCCCTGTTTGTCTATTTTTGTACTTTACAAAGGCAAACCTCTTACAATATACAATAGTCTCATTCAAGAAAAACAAAATTTGATGGACCCTAGCGAGGTATCTTCCCCTCTACTCTGTTCATCATGGCGTTACCTTAAATGTAAAGACAAAGACATAAAAGCTTATCCTGGAAGCTTAACTTTTGAAACTCTTAGGAGTTTTAATTTTAGAGCGCAATTTTCAATTTAAAGGCCACTACGGCACTACCTTGCAATTTCGGGCCTCACACCACATGGTCAAAATGAAAAATCTATCATTGTTAATCACAAGAGGGGTTTGATATAAATAGATGGCCAGATTTTGTATATTATTCTGCAATCAACTGCTTGAAAACAAACTGACCCGTGGACTGACCTATCGTGGTATGAACTTATGGTATAAACAAATACGTATAAATGTAAATTTTGTTGGTGACCAGGTTGTTTGGATATTGTTCGTAAGCAAAGGTTGTTCCTCTTCTTCTGCTACTTTTTTCCCACTTATTCCTGCAAGTCTTCATACCGCAGACAAGAATCTTTCCATTGCACCCTCTAATGACAGGATATACTGTACTGTGAAAGAACGATGTGTGCTGATTTAAAACTTATTTTGTTTGCCAATGACGAATAATTTAAGACATCAAAACATGGCTGCAGGCGTATGGCCTAAAACGTCTGAAAGGCTAGGAGGTTTCGACTCTCGGAAACGCGATTTGCCACACTTGGGCTATCTTTTATGAAGTATTTCTCTGCGGTATTATTCTTGGCCTACATTGTGTCTTAAATACTCATCAATGTATTTTACAGTCAGTAATTTTCTAACCATTTGCAGTTAAACTATTAGTGGTTTAGCCCTATTACCTTGTGACTTGATGTAGGAGTGGTGATGAAATCTGAGATAATTTTAAAAGAATTAAACACTCTTGAAAAAATTATTTCAGGAAATCTTGAAGTACTTCCCTTATTTTTCACACTGGATTGTCACCTCCCAGTCCCAGCCTCCGCAGTGACAGTGTGATTGATGGCAATTGGCACAAGCGCAATGAACTTCATCAGAATTCCTAAATTGGATTTAATTCAATGAAAAATCACGGTATAAATACAATGTATTATTGGAAAGTAATTCATGAAATAGCTGGTTTAAATATGTTGTTTAACTATAGTTATGGGGTTTCTGGCTACTATCAGTTCTACACTCCACATCTGTGAAGAAAAAGAAGTTCTCGAATTCTGGCCGTACAGTTCCTTTTTTATTCCTGACACGTCCAAATCCTATTTTCCATTGACAAGTACTCAAAATCGTAGACAAATCTTTAGCTCTTAATTGATCTCTGCAGGGGCCTTTTGGACAGTTTATTAATTAAAAAAGAGATGGATAACTTTTCAACCAAAGTCAAACCTGTAGAGCTATTCGTGCCTCATCGAACATATGTGACTCGACGTAGCTATATGAATCACATCAATCAAAAGTCGATTTGAAAACTTGTAACTTGCCCGTCATAATCACATCCTCGTTTGCTATATCAATTTTGTATCATATTTTTGTGTATTAAGACAATGCTAGCCTATTGTCAGCAGTTTGTTGATAAACCCGTTATTTAAGGTAAAAGCCGCAGACCTTTGTAGTCAACGTCTTCTCACAGTGATTTTGATCTCTTAAATAAATGAAATCAGGTTCATTTCAAGTAATTATCGGTCTATGAGCGAGTTCAACGAAGATTAATTACAGTAATTAAAAGTGATTTTTTACACATTTCCGAATCACGCACATCAATATAACCAATATGTTCATCTGTTAATGCTACTTTAAAAATATTTTAATTCAATTTTTTCAATTATGATTTGTGTTTTAGAAAGCATACCGACACAGTATGACGGTAAATCTCAGTATGCTAGCGTGGTTGCACTGACGATTGCAGTCAAATAAATAATGATGTATTTTGAAAGATCTTATAACTTTTGCCACAATGAAATGATTGAGGTCTATCAACAAGAAAACTAACATTCGGACATAATGGATTATGAGTGATGGTAAATTGAAGGAAATTTAGTGAAAAACACAGGATATTATCAAAGGCGCAAACATTGCTTTTTGAGTTTGACGGCTACTCGATCAAATGATCAAAAAATCGGTTACTTCAATAGTCAAACAGAACATAACAATTGACGCAGTAGTTATTTATTAATGTTGCGAAACATGCTGAAAATTAATTGTTTCATAAATCACTTCCCAAAAGGATGCATCTATAAAAAGAAGTCGCCGACTGTGTTCGGCTAATGTGAGAACACAACAAGTCATTTTTGCTTCTTTTATTATTTAAAATTAGTACAAATATGTGTTAATTAATCTTCTTGTATTGAAGTATGGCAGTGTCATATATTTTGCGACAATTTTCAAACTCGTCTGGTTATTATATTGTCATAACTTAGAAGAAATTATCTAAACAGTAAACACCATCACTCAGTTCTCAGCATCAGGAGGAGAGGGGCATTCACTGCGAACCCTAAACACCAAACTCATGAGGGAAGTCGCCAGAAAGACTAGATTAAAAAATTAATATGAAATTTCTTTCTCAGTGGTTCAATGTTGAATTACGAATGATTGTGATGTATCATCAAAACAAATATGAAAATTGATTCCAGCTTAATTAAATTTCAGGGTATACGTGCTCGTCGGTGCCGATGAAAAATTCTGTGTCCATTATATTGCCAATTTAGAAAAGGCTTATTATGCCATAAAATTAATAAGTGTACTTTACTTATCATATCGTGATTATCTTACAAGATAATCAAGCAGACTCGGAACATAAATATATTAGCTCGAGATATCAGCTGTTATTAAACCAGACACAAAATTCACTATGTTTCCACTCCGTCTCAAAGCCACTGGCATTGTATGTAATATATTATCTAACGCGATATTCATTTCGACTCTGTCAAGCTTGCATTAATGATAGATGTTAGGTCACATTAACGACTTTATTTTTACTGTTACCGGTTGTAATTAATTTGACACATATTCTGCTTAAATAACTGTGTCTGAATTTAGACTTGAAATTATAGTGATCTATGCACAATGCCTTATGCACTGATTTTGTAATTCAAACGTTAATCCTATAAGTGACGTCATCAAACTGTACAGTAAAATGTAATCCTAGATGGATAAAGTAAAATACACAATAAAAATGTTCAAAGTTATTTCAAATAAATGTTCTGTATTTCAAATTGGCAAACAGTTAATAGTCAAGATATTGAAGAACGAATCTTTAACAAACTCTAAGAGTTCTTCTAACAAACGTTTTTAAAGCTCTTTCTAAAAACTAACAATCATTCAGCTATTTTTTATTGTCCTTGACACGTAAAAGCTGACATTTTTCAAAATTCCTTGAGTTTATATTAATATCAACAACAGATTTTGAACTGCCTTGTATATTCACTTAACAAAGAGTGGCGTACTGTATGAGAACTGTGGCTTTTAGTTGAACTGTGGCTACGAGTTGTGAATGTAGTTTGTTGGGTACGAAAGGAGTGCAATAATATATTGTCTACTTCTATTCATTCATACAATATGAAGCACATTTAGAAACTTGTTTATTACGAAGGAGGCAATGTCAATCATTAGGCGGGAAAACGAATCATGTGATCACAAGTGTCTTGTTCTAAAGTGTTGAAAACTAAAGCAGAACACAAAACAAAACAAACTATTTGCATTTCCCGAATGCCTTTTTACACTCCTTTTGCGGTTTTTACACTCCTTTTGCGGCATTCTCTGTTATTTAATGAAATTGTCTACTGTCGCTAATGGCAGATGTTCCTTGATTCTGTGACAGAATTCTCAATTGTTGCTAATGTTTATACACAGACACTAAAATGCGAGAAAACGACAAAAAGGCCCAAACAGATATTGAAATGCCCTATATTTAGATGATGTAGTCGATATTAAAGATAGCAAGTCCTTATTTGACTATAGTTCTGTACTCTCACAATAAGACACTATAACTCCTCAAAGTTAAGTTGAGTGGTTCAATAGAGACTCTCACTTTCCACAAGGATTGTGGAATCTGGGTGATAGCGTGTTCAAGTTTGTTGGCTTTGCCAAAAAAGTTGTTTTCCATTCCGCTTGGCTGAGCTGAATATTGATATATGAAATATCGAGCGCCATAAATCAAAGTCAAGTCTTTTTACACCCATATTGACCGTGGTGAATGAGGAGTATATTGAGGGGGAAATCTGTCAACGCTTGTAAGGTTATAAAGCTTTTTTCCATTAGGAATCATTACGTTTAAGCACCATTCTATGGTTACCACTAAAAAATGTTTTGAGTTTTTTGTGTGAGAGTGTTCGTGTTATTTCGATTTAAGGTAGTGGCAAAGCAGCTTGGTATTTTCTCTTTGTCTTAGGAATACTTTCTGGTTTATGAATAAAAAAGGCAGCACTCGAGTAGAAACGAAATACTGATATGTCATCCTCAAGGGGTTTTCCTTCTGTGGCTTGAATCAATGTTGACCTTGTTAATCACTAAGTGACAGCAACATGTTTGACTTTCAGATTAAAATAACAAATACAATCTGCATGACTCATGAACGAACCATCAGCAAAATATTATAGCTTACAGACACAGATTTTTCGATCATAAATACTACCGTTCGTTTTTGCGAAACTAATGGATATCGCGATGGGCATTTTCTTAAAATCAAAACGTATGAAGATGATTTCCCTAATTATGGCGTTATATACGGTGAATGAAATGAGAGGCGGTATGGATATGACTGACTGACTGAGAGATGAATTGCTTTAAAGGAAATGTTATTATATCAATGGTATACCCCTTCAAACAATTTGTTTCTTTTAACAGTTGGAGAGCACAGGACGTGATCACATCAAAATCTCGCCATGATTAATTTGAAATGAAAGATATTTGAGGTGTACGGTTGCCAGTGCTAGCATGCGCAAATAACACGCACATACCATCTTTTAATAGAAAATCCAATTAATTTCAACTTCTCCACGCTGTCATTTTAATAATTATATAGTATTGTGCATTTTTTGTACATTTCGTCACAGCAAATTAACATGGTGACCACACTGTGTTTAAAAGTTTGTTTTGCTGCATGTGATTGATATTCCACCAAATGTATTATTATTGACCAAATGTATTGAAGCCTCTATCTTATTCAGTCATGAATAGTAATTCATCATTTTATAAAGTTTGGTATTCTTCGTGAATGCCAATGAAATTGCCTATATTATTGTGGAGTACATGTTGAAAGACGAATACTTAATGGCCGCCATTTTTGAGTGATTAGAACAAGACTCTCACCAGGGTGCAACGTGTTAGACTTACGATTTACTCCGTTTTGGTTCTTAATGGCCAATCATAAAGGGACGGAATGTACTTGATATCGTGTTTTTGTGCCTCCTGTTTTTCCAATGTTGTAATAATTCATGTCATTGATCACCCATGGATTGAAGTTACCGCCCGAGACGGTCAGTATTGGTCAGCATACCGACCTTTACTGAATCGAAATGAACGCGTAATGAGCATTATTATATGGCGTGAAAGATGACAGATCAGAAGCATTATCCTTATGTTTGCTTAGTACTGTATGTTAGCAAACATCCTATATACCACATGCTGGTACAATCTCAGCGTGAACTATATACCTCTCCCACTTTTACTACCAAACCACTTGTTAAGTAGAACGTGATATTTACAAATGCTTCCTACATTCAACATACGTGAGACATTTCAGGTTTTTACACTCTTACCGCATAAGAAGGACTTCGCTTGGAGCAATGAATAACGCCTTTAGAAATTCCTTGTTAATTTAATTTTATGTAAGATGAGAGGAGGAGCTTAATGACGTCATAAGAAGGAAAGTTGAGAGGTTCATGATCAGTGATGTGATGGTGTCGTAGAACATAGAAGGAACATAAAGTTATCTGTCTTTAATAGCTTGTGATCAATAATCATGTCTCGACTTACTTGCTTTGTTTTGCTGCAATTTCTTATTACTTACGCTGATCGTGCAGGTATGTTAGAAATGTTGTATGTCTACTGTTCTATCGTCTTGTCCTAGATCGTGGCAAAACAACGCAATATTAAGCGTGTCAAATAGCAGTGGATACCTACAGTTCGCGCTAGGAGTAAGGAAATCGCGCAAAGTTGAATAGAAAACGTAATAATATGTCTAGGACAGTCTATATATTATTTGTTCAATAAACATACATATTAGAACTCGATGGATTGTTTTCTTATTTAATTGATTTCCTTTTGGCATCTTGGTCGAACTTGCACAATTTGTCTCGATGTGCGTCGAATTTTGCGTTAAATACTCAACAACATTGCGCTAAATTCCAGTACAATTCGCTATAACTTCGTGCGTATTTCTTTCATAAGTTAGCAATTTCCTCTAATACTTGTGAAGTAAAGTAAAGGTCGTAATGATGACTAGAGTTTGATATCTCTCTATGTTATGGTATTTTCAACATTATATATAGTGAACCGTATTTATTTTGCATAGAATCACGGACACAAGATTATGTTTCATCGGGAGATGGCCGGCTACCCAGGTATGGGCCGAGAACGTAGGGTAGTGGTTTAGAATTCTAGTTAATATGCTAACTTTTCCGTTTACTGACACATAAGTACATTGCGTGGCTTGGAAGTAGAAAGTTTTGGTTTATAAACTGGCATTTACTGAGTTGCATGTATGTAACCTAATACTACACAATGGGCAACCAAGAATCTACAACTTAACTACAACCAGCTTGCGATCAATCCTGCATTCTCTTGTGTTTATCACATTTATATTGTGTCTTCCCTCGTTCCAGCCTTATGCAAATATTTAAATTGTGCTTTAAAGCAACACTTGCAGTCAGGATGTTCGTGCTAACTTTGATATACATGATATTGTTTGCGGCGTCTAGCATGACAAACCAGCTAACAACACCGTATGGCGCCTTCCGAATGCTTTTCTGTTATCATTCATTGACTTGAAACGAATATTCCTTTGCTTTATGGTAAAACATATTAGGTTATATACTTAACAAGCTTATCGTGGCCAACATAATGCAATGTTTACTGAGTTACGGGGAAACCAGTCTATTAATAGCGTACAATTACCACAAATTTTGTGTTTCCATGTGGCTCGCATATGGTCATAAACACAGAAATTGGATTTCAACAAAGACCAATATTGGTTTTCTTCAATGGTATTTTTGGTATTATAATTACAATATTCTATTGAGCGTGGATTTCAAACAGCAAGTGCTATCAATTACCCGCAGTTTTGTCAAAACAATCTTAGTAGATTGAAATTTCAGCTTTTCATGTAGCGGATCATTTGATTATCAGAGAAATGACCTTTCTCCATGTCATGTTTGCACTGGTCTTCTTCTCGCGTCATTACGCCAACACAATCCTTTAAGTGTGGGATACAAAGTGTCTTGATAAAGAATTTCTTACGATCCTACTTAAGTAAATCACTAGCTGGGTTAGTAAATTGCGATATTTCCAGGCGGACTTTTCATTCTGAAAAAAATTCGAAGCCAACTTATCAAAATATGAATTAGTTTCATGATGATTTGAAAATTGTCTTGTATTGTATCTTATTTCATTCGCCTCGACAATAAACCGACATTTAAGGTCTTAAGGTATTTATTGTGTTTACTCTTTAGCATATAAGCGCTGTTATTAGTACCGAAGACCATGCAGCAACCAACTTTTAGTAGCTTTGGCATTTAGCCTTTTGGCAGCTCTCCATTACTGAATTGTTCGCCAGAAATACAATCCATGCTAAAAGGTTGGATAGTGACAGTCAATCTAGACATGACTGAATACCAAGTATTTCAGGTTATGTTATGAAATGTTATTTGATTTCGTGATTACAGGGAACGCGTGACTGCCCACTAATTTTCATACTTCCAATGCTCTTAATACCTCTTAAATTTATGACATTGAAATAAGAACAATGTCCTGTCGCTTTGCCTTTAGATCTTCCATATAGTTTTGTGTTATGTTATACAGCCATTATAATTGTGATATTATTATTAGATAATAAATTTAACAATCAATGTATGGAATGAAAAATACACGACATAGAATTTGTCGCAACCAGAGGCACAAATTAGAGTATAACATCGTTGCTTGAAGTGCTCTAGAATGTTCATCAACACATTCACGTTGTTTGCGTTGTTTGCGCTGCTAAAATTAGAAAGCAAAAGCTTTTTGGGTTATACATAATCAATAAGTTCGAAGATTCCTCTGTCCTGGCTTCATAGTTCAGTTATTTAGTTTGGAGTAGAGCTAGACGTATTTTTAAGTCGTCTACAATAGAGTTACCTCATTGGTATAATGCTATCGTATCTTAAGTGTTGCAGTTGTTTGAGGATTATACTAATTTCGTGCTGGGTTGCAAATTCTTCATCGTTGACAACACTATATATGATAGATTGTTATCCCGACCAGCACTTATTGATATACGGCGCGCACAATAGTATAATATATCCAGTATTGTTTGCTTTTTGTCAAGGAACAATTACTTGCCGAGCTCAATTAAAAGAAAACATCTATTTTAATCGTCAATTATCTTTCTTTTGTGATGTATTTTCGATTACAGCATGTTTTCAACTTAGCACTTGTCGTTCAAATAACATAAAATCAAATTTCACCAAGATTAATGATTGTCGCTTTTTCTTAAGTATAGACTATAGTTCAAACATCTCTTTTTGAGACTCACACTCGGTGTAACAAACCGTATTCTTCCTTTCTAAGCACAGTTGTATATGTAATGTTCGATATAACCAACACATTTTTCAAAGGTTTCTGTAACTTTACTGAAATATTTGCACGGTTGGAATATTCTCTCAAAATAATCATGTTTGTATCAAACGCAACGGAAACTTTCAAAGCAGAAAGATTAATTATTGAGACAATTGCAAATTGATTAATCAATGACAGAAATAAAAGCCAACCCATCTATCTTCTCTTTTGTCTCATTTCTTAGGACTACAAATTTTTTAATTCGAATAAAAGACCAAAATAAAAACAATTAGTACATTGTCACGGTTATCGATCTTTGTATGATATTATTTAAAACATCAGCATTGTCATTCTTTGGGGAAATTTTGTAATGTTTATTGAGGATAAATATTTTATAACAAAATTAGATGTTTCAAAATGTATACGGTTAGATTACCCGTATCCTGGAACGTTGGATTGCCCGCGAAGTATTTTTCGATTCTTTTAAATCAGATGATTAATCGAAAACTGCGTGTTTTCATGAACGTCAAGCTTGAACCTTTAATCTACAAAACCTTTTTACGTCGGGAGCTACATTATGACTATGAAACGTCTTATAGGAATTTTATGAACTGATTTGTATAAGGTTGTCAAGAGTATATTACACCTTCGTCATGCACTGTCAGACGGTCCTAACCGTTCGGACCTATATAACCATATGTACCACATGCAGGCACAATTTCTTTTAGTTGTAGAAAGACTTTATATAAAACCTCTTTAAGTTGTTTTCATGTATAAAACACTCCTCAAAAAATGATTGCATTCTAATGTAACATCAAGTCTAAACGTCGTTCTATCACTTTCGTGCAGTTTCTAATTTGAAACATCATATTTCAAACATCGTCATCGACGGTTGCACCAATTATAACTGCCAAATGGGTTGCAGTTTTTATGTTTTTTAGCGTTCTAGGAAATCAATTGGAGCTACTTTGATTTTGTCTTTAAAATTGTGAGAAAACAAGAAAGACAAGCGAGTGGCGCTTGATTTTTAGGTTATCTGTAAAGGTTGTTATGACCATGCATGTATTAATTGACCATGCACATATATAGAATATTTCTTGGGATATTACCGAATTATTGTAATGGGAATTTTTTACGCTGTATAACAATTTACGTTGGTGAATTCTGTTATTCATTGAGTTGATCTAGAACGTGCTTCTGGTATAGCAATGAACCGATAAAATCTGATTGATTTTCCGCCTTTTGTTCCTATAAAAATGTCTTGTTTATTCTGTAGTTAACTTTTGACAGTTCACTTTTGACGATGATGATTAAAATATGTTTTAGATAAAATGTTCGTTATTGAACACATCGTTAGGTATAGTGTGGTTGAAGAATTTATAATCACCTTAAATCCATACCATTATCATCTTTATAATCGTAGCTATGTCACTTTAAACTTCTTGAGTGAAATGGGTATGATTTATGTACCAATCACCACACGACAATGATATGATTTGTTTTAAATGAGAGAAACCACGCCTTAATTTTTCGATATACACTGTAATTCGTTGATATAAACTGTGTAATCTTTGGTTGATATCAATATCATTACATCAGTGATGATAACTAATTGAAGTATAGTTATTTCTCCTGAAACATTAACCATATTGTTCTAAATCATAACGTTTGCTTGCAGTGACACTCTGCTTACTCACCCGAAGGTTGCTCGATTCATGCATTTTACTTCTCTTGTGTGATTAGATATGAACTACCTGAATATATAGAAATCACTTAGAAATTTAAACTACTGTTGTAAATATACTGGCGCCCCACGTTCGTGATACCACCTTCCCAATGAAGCCACGCGACAGATTCGTGCAAATTTAATCCAAGATGACTGCTGTGTCTGTCCTTTCAAATACATAAAATATATAAGAACAATTCAAAATAGAAGACATATTTATCATAAACGTCTCGATGCTTCTTCAAAGGACTGTTTACGAAGAGAGAGACATTTTAAGTTTTCATTCATACTTTTTCAAGTGCTCTGAAGTTCTCTTTTGCAGCACTGTATACCTGCTCGACTTCAAAAGACGAATTCAGTTCGATACATAATTGGTTTACTGAAATTACAGGATTGACGTGCATGGTAACGTTAATTCTGTCTCAAATCGGATTATACCATGTTTTTTGGAATTATTGGCCTCAATTTCTTGTCTAGAATATTAGCCCGATTTTAAAGTAAAGATAACTTCTAAGAAAGTGATATTAAATAATTTACATTTTAATTCTTTAGTTGCGGTGCTCTTTATGCAGATATAATTGTGTTTATATGAAACTTATTTCTGATGAATAAAGTTATGATATTTTTCAATACTGGGCGTCTTCAGGAGGAGTGTAAAATACTCTCAGGCCCCCTAAATCTCGAGCCTTGCTTGATAATAGAGATTCTCACAGTGCATGTGCGTTTTCCTTCACACGTATTGATTGCTTTCATTCATGTTGATTCTTGAAATGCTGCATTTAGTATTGAAAAATTCCAATGCAATGGTAATGAGTGACAATTCTCTGAGATGTGTTCCTCAGCTGGTATATTTTATCTATGTTATGTTATAAAGAACGCAACAATTGTATTGTGATAATTGCCATCAATTGTCAGCCTCTCAATAAATTGTTGAACTTGATTGGTTTAAAACTTAAGAAGATTCTGGTCTTTCAACTACAAAGGAGATTCTCACTGAACCGCTGAATACTTTCCTCAAATCTGACAATATGTCATCAAATTGGAAAAAAAACGTGTGGTTGTAGGCTATACTTATAAAAGGAATGTTAATTTTCGTAGATAGGTATGTTTAGTTAAAAATAAAAAAAATTAATAGATATTTTAGGGTGTTGTCTTTATTTCTTTTAAATTAGGCACCAATTGAAACAGTAACAAGATCTTTAGGAAAATAAAAAAGAAAATCATTTTATTTTTTTCAAATTTTGGAATCGGAATTAGGCATCATCACAAAAGGGTGATTCGGTAGGATTGGTTCTAAAAATTGAAATTTTGCCACCCATGAACGTCCCATTTCATAAACGATGACATTCCAAGTCCGCCGGAGTAATTTCGTTAGAACGAGATACAGTCTAGAACGTGGCATGACATTTTGGAAACTATTAAAAATATGTTCTGATTAAACGTTGTTCACCAACTGCTTGCAAAACACTTCTCGACGATTCGACCTAAGCCAAGGGCCTACGTAGAAATAACATAGAAATCTATTAGTCCATGTAGAAGAGGAGTGCTGATATCAGCATATCTTATAAACATCGGGCACGCCCCCCTCTTAGGGATGCGTAAACAGCATAAAATGTGCACGCTTTTTTGCTTGGAAATTAAAACACGAAAAAGATAATATAACGTACTAGCAGCCTGAAACGATTTGTTAAACCTGAGATAGGAATTCACAATTTTCAGTCTGTTTACGAATCCACAGTTTCTGCAATCGTTAATTGGCACCTGAATGGAAAGTTTTTAAAAATACACATTCAGACTTGTGTAGCGGTAGTAGTTGAATCTTCAAAACGTGATCTTACCACTGAGGGCAGAATAATTTTGAGCAAGTAAGAGACAGGGGTTTGACTTACGTGCTACTGATTGTTCTCCAGTGGAACATTTACTTCTTCTACAACAACTCTGAATTCTGGTAATCTAGAGGATCAAAATTCAAATTTTTTTAGGCGCCGAGCATTGTGGCGCCTCGTAAAGTTAAGGTTCATTCCATGCATGCGCGCGTATTATTCTAATATTTCAACATTTAGAAAATAACTTAATACTCAATTTTACGTTCGTAACAACAGAAACGTTGTAATCTCGCCCTATTGATTGTAATATAAATTTTCCCCAACATCTTGTTAGGTTAGTCTAGTTGTGTGGCCGACTGACCTAACAAATTTTTCATTTCTGCGTGCTTTTACCAACCAGGCTAAAACAATCAAATAAGATTAGAATCAAAGAGAATAGAAATAATCACAAAGAGCGATGAAATAATTGATAATATTGCCTAATATATATGTGTGAAAGTGTGCGGTCGCATTGTTAATAATTTAGATGGCCTGCAGCACTTTCCTTGTGGGGGTGTATCTTGTTTATCGCTAATAATGTGTATATTTAAAGCTATAGTCCAATTTCCTTGCCAGACAGTTCTTTGTTATAAATTACTCAGTCTGTGTTCACGTATTGAAAAACGTAATCCATACGGCAGTATTTCTGTCTCTTTAGTAATTTGTGTCTAATAATTATTATAAAGTGTTGATGAGACTAACCATCTGTGTATTCGACAGGTAATGCATGACGTCACCCGTTCACGATATTTATTCCTATTTTGCGCATGACAAATAAATGACAATACAGGAAGAATATTTATGTAGCCTTTTTAAGAACACGAAACCGCCATATGATCGGATTGTTTTAATTCCCTGACAAACACAAACCATTCATATTTACAGTCGGGTGGTCTCGCCAAGAGGCACAGGGTCACGGAGGTCAGAATAGAAATACTTGATAATTTAATTTGCTGTATAAAATGAAAACGATTTTTCTTAAATAAAGGTTTAATAAAGTGTACATCTTCATACAATTATATATATATTTATTAACTGCTAATTCGATTAATAAAGGGTTTTTCCAAATAAGTTTAATACTTAAATTCATCATATAGTATACCGGTTTCTTTGAAGATATAATCTCATTATGTTGTTATACGCTACAAAGAAGTGGACGCGTAGCTTTTGTTTTTGGTCGTTTTACAAAATTTGATTTAAACTGCAGATTTTCCTCATTTGTATGATTTGACCATACAAGGAAGTTGAGCATAATGCATAAGATGTTAATTAGTTCCACTATCATGCACACTTTTCACTAAAACTTATATCGAGGCTCAAATCTTGAACGTGGTTGTACTGAAGTCCAACTTGCGTCGTTTTTCTCGTGATCGCAATATTAGATTCTTATTTGGAATTTGCTAGTCGTGTTTGTCTAGTGTGCATGTGTATATGATCTAATGGCAAGGAGCCCCCTTGTATGTGATTGGCTGCATGTCATACCATAACTCATGTGGTATAGCGCATATTTTTGTTTAAGTGCTTTTTCAATGATACATTAATTGCATATGTTTTATGTCCATCACTTGAAAGATTCAGTCGATTTCATTGTAATATTTCAGCTCTCAGCAATGAATCTTATCTACGCAAATGGACAAAGGTGAAGCACGCGCGCGGTCAATGTCTTGCCGAGAATAATTGAACCCAGTCGGCTATTCACAAAAATATTAAAGTTTGCTTTAAATATTATTTAAAAGTTTTTCACAAATCTTCTATCCATCTTTTGATGTTATCATTGTGTTGTAAGACTTCAACATTTTTTTTAAAAAATATCAAGTTATGTATTCTCGTGTTCCATAATCGTTGATAACTGAGACCTCACACCTTGATTTTTCATAATGATTCTGCTTTAAATATATTCATTGTAGATATTAGTAACGTAGCGAGGCTGGAACGAATGCCAAAGTACGCCTAATCTGTTCAAATGCCTTTAGAGAAATACAACATATCTAAAAATTAGAAAACCACGAAGATCTTATTTTATGTTTAACAATGAAAATATACATTCTGTACGTAACAGACGTCATAGTTGCTGGGTCATAATTCAGTTAATGAAATGTTTTTAGGAACGACTGAAATAAAAAAAACAGTTCATGTGGAACCTTTCTTGTCTGCCTTTTAAATCAGATAATTATTTATACGCAAACATTTGATTAAAAGACATGCATCTCCCATGAGGAAGGTTAACACCAGAAATTTCCTTCGATTAACTGTGATTAACTAAACGTCGAAGTTCTCGTCTAGTTGTTTTTCGTCTATTTTTATACCCGCCTTTATTCGTGTTCTAACTGACCAGCCGTTATAACATATGTATAATACAAGCCTTGCTATGCATACTTCAGTTAAAAGGTGTTGTTCCGTTTTTTACTAAGATGGTTGAGTAGTTTTGTCAACATTTAAGCTCCACAGGGCAACTATATTCACACATATACAAGTCATAATACTATACTCAGTAAACAGTTATTGACCGAACAACTTTACCCTGGAGAGGTAACCATATTGCTCAGTTTTAAAATGTGTGTAATTTATCTCGTTGTGTAGCAAGTGTGAACTTTACGCTGGAAACATATGCTCAAAATTCGTTGGTCAACAGTCTGTGTTTGTCAAGCCGCTCGAAGCACAAACAGCGAAAGAGTTACAAATGACCGCGTTAGTCCGTGTTTTTCCTGATTACATATCATCGCAATGTCAGCCATACGCTTTCCAGGCCCTCTGTTTGTCAGCATTTCCGCCTTGTGATTTGACTGTGAACTATCCTAAACCTCGTATGCTCTGTCAGGATGAATGCAGAGCATTGGAACAATTTATCTGTGCAAATGAATTCCATGTCGGTAGAGCTAAATATATGACGTCATTCGTGCCACCATGTTCAAAATTACCCAGTGTTAACTCTCCAGAACACAAGAAATGTGTTCGTCTTAATTTAACAAGTAAGTTACTAGTTTATTTGTATTCAAATTGTTCAACATTCATATTTACCTCCTAGAATGGTAAAAATAAAAGGGGGTGTTCTAGGAAGCTGTTCTCCGGAATAACGAATCTCCGTCCCGATTTTCGCTACCAACTGGATATATATGCTTCTTCCACAGGGCCGTACTGAAGGGGACATTAGCAAAGACGCTGTAAAAATGGCGTGGATGTGACTTAAGCACAACCACATCTTAGACGCCACGTCAAATTTATTTATTTTGGGGATACTGCGCCCCAAAACTTTATCCCAATGTTGTGCCAACATAAAGCTTCTTTTTGACAGACATTTAATCTTCTCTTCCCCGCGGCATCCCAAACCTGTCAGAGCCAAGGTAAAGTGCTGTTCTTTCTTCGCATTTTGATGTATGTTTTCCTTCGATTTTAGTGGATAAACCTGAATTCAAATTGGAATTGAAGAACAAAACAGTGACAGTTGGTGACACAGTAGTTTTTAAATGTAAAGTAAAGCCAACAGACATACCTCCAACTATAACTTGGTATAAAGATGGAAAAAACATTCCAGCTGGCCATGCATTTTATAAAACCCACTGGTTTCGCTACAGCTCAAGAATGAAAATGCGACGTATTAGGACGCAGGATTTTGGAAAATATACATGTCATGCATCCAACTACATTACAAATGTTTCAACACACAGCTGGCTCACTGTTCTTCCTCGGGCTAATTTGTCAAGTAAGAAAGTCCGTGTTATATTGTTTAGCTGAAAAATTTCATCTTGATTTCTTGAATCCATATATTGAATCTAATTCAATTTTGTTAAACTTTTAAGAACATTCGAAGACTAACAGCAAGTCCAGGTAGGCATAATTCTGAATCAGAAATTATTTCGGATCGTTACAAAATATTTTTCGCCCATACACAGATATTTCATCTAACGATTGGTTTCTCTGCCTTATTTATTTTAAAACCAAATTTATTTTTTGGAAGTATGTATATTTTGTTGTATTTTGTGTAGTTGTGGTTATTTTGGAGCAAGCTCAGTGTGTGGAGAATATTTACGAGGAAAAAAAGTTTTTTTTCGTGATCCAACAAAAACCGACGAACATGAAATTCTGATTCAGAATACGCTGTCCAGGTCAAACATGTCAGCCGAATGTCACAAGTTAGCAACTGCTGCCTGGTGTTATTATATGTTTCCATCGTGTGTCAAAAATGACGTAATGAAGCACAGACTGTGCAGGGAAGATTGTCATAAAGTGAAAAGAAAATTTTGTAAAAACCAAGTTCCGGATATTTTCCCAGAATGTTCAACCTTGCCAAAACGAAATGGAAGACGAGGAAGACGCTGTGAAAAACCAAAACCAAAAAAAGGTGAAAATGATTATAAATAGGAGAAAAAACCCACAATGAAATGAAAGATCTGCGTGTCCTCGAAGTATTACGTGTGTGTTTCTGCAACCCATTAGTTCTCCTTAGTCATGAGGGCCAATAATCATACTACGTCTTTTGACCATTACCTCACGCAGTAAACTATATTCTTAATGATCTGAAGTATTCATAATTATTCATCACACAGAGAGAGTCTGTTTAAATAGGACCATTTTTCTTCCCATTTTTTATTCACGAGTATATTCCAGTACAACGGCTCGTATCGATTACGTAAGCTTCAAATAATTTCTTTTTTTGTTGATTTAGTGATTATTGAACTGAAGCCAAATATGTAAGTAGTACTTTGATGCGCATATATAAAAGCGTGAATAAGGATAGTTGTTGAATATATGGATAATAGTTTTCATTTTCTTTTAGGTGCGGCAAATACAAGGGGAATGGCTTCTGTAGCAAATATATCAAAAATGATACGATATATTTCTACAAGAAAGGTTATCAATATGAGTTGGAGGACAAAATTTCAACCAGGATCGAAAAATTTAAAATTTCCGAGAATTGCTCCCGATTTGGAATTCCTGCGATATGCTTCCATTTGTTCCCTATTTGTTCGCACAATGAGAGAAAATCGCGATTGTGTCAGGAAGATTGCACAAGGCTGAAGACTGATGTATGTCGTGATGTTGTGTCATATTTAGAAATGATTCTCCCAAAATGTCAAGAATTGCCACGTGCAAACACAGAGGAAGGGGCGTATTGTGTTGATCTTGGAATATTTAGCAAAGTTAAGGAAAAAACTTCTATCAAACCGAATAAAAGAGAAAATGCAACTTTATATGGTGAGTTTTGTATTATGATTTACTGCAGTTTCACCTAGTACGGCCATTATTTACGTGTCGTAAGCCTTTTAAGAATTGAAAAAAAACTTACTCTGATAAACAGTTCGCCTCTCCGTCATTCACTCTGAATCTCTACTTCCACTTGCTCGACTAACCAAGTAATTGCTACACATAGAACCAAGCCATGAATGCTACAATAACTCTGGCGCAGCGTATCTTGGAACAGTGAATGTTACTGTGTTTGGCAACTTTTGTATCCGTTGGAATGAACGACGCCCAAGCTATTCTTGGAAGCATAATTTTTGTCGCAATCCAGGAGGTAAAGCTGAGTCTCCATGGTGCTATGTCAGTAAAAAGGGAAGAAGAGAATACTGTGCTGTAAAAAGATGTGATAATCTATCTTCCGGTAATTAGAATGTTACTTTTTCAACCTCAATTATCAGTAGTGGCTCTGCGAAGCAGGGGGAAAATGTATTGTTGTAAAAAGTCAGATAAAGAAATTAAAGAAAATTCTCAATTCAAGAAAGCCTCAAAATTGTCTAAGAAATATAGCGTCCAGTCTTGTGAGAGACACTTTTATTTTTCAGCTTTCCATAAATCAGGAGTTGAAAGTACATCGTTGGGAAGAACAATCTACGTCGTAATTGCAATCGTCGCAGTAATCTTGCTGGGTTGTATTACAGTTATTGTGTATTGGAAAGTTCAAAACTCTAAAGAAAGTGTTGATAATTCCCCCCAGAATTCTGCCACACCGTTTGCAAAATGCAGCTCATCTCAGCTCATTGACGTCAGGGAAAGTACTTCAGTTCAATCCTTTGTTTTGAACGAGGTAAGTGACATATTTCTGTTACAATTTCTCTTAGTGTGTTACATCTGATATGATATGTCTTGGAAATATATTGATGTAGACGACTTCGTAAATATTACGACAATATTTTTTCACGTCAATATATTTCGACGTAGCCAGGCATCACCGTGCTTGCATATAAGCAAACAATTTTTCAGAAATGTGATTTGACACAAACGGCCTTTTCGGAAATTTGTGCTTACCTTTGATTATTTGGTGTGGCTTACCCTTACGTTTTGGCCAGCTGTTGGTACTATTGATAATCACAGATCATTTACTTTTATCGTGATCTGCTAAGGTTCTGAAACATTATTGTCCATTGCTCATAACGTAATTTTTTTGTATTAGAAATTGACTCGAGGTCGAGTGAAATACATCAGTGTGATAAGCGATGGAAAGTTCTTTAAAGTCTTCAAAGGTGTACTTATCAATGAAAATGGAAAACCAAACATGGATATTGTTATCAAGACTTTGTCAGACGATGCAAGTTCTGTCGAAAAAGAAACATTCCGTAGAGAGACAAGATTATTATGTCCCTTGCAACATATGAATATATTAGGCTTGCTTGGTTTATCCCCTGGGGAAGGCATGGAGTTCGTGGTCTTCGAATATCTGAGCGAAATGAATCTTCATCAGTTCTTGAAGCAGAGTGAAATTAATCCATCCGAGGATATTCTCGTGGATATTGCTTGCCAAATTGCTAACGGGATGAAATATTTATCTGAATTTAGTTATGTTCATGGTGATCTAGCTGCAAGGAATTGTTTTATCTCAGCGAATGAAGGTAATTTCAATGTGAAGATTTCCATGCTGGGTATTGGAACTCATAAATATCCATCAGACTATGATTGGTTGCATCAGGATAATTCGTTGTTCCCAATTCGTTGGATGTCACCTGAAGCACTCGATTCACTTGTTTTAACAAGCGAAAATGATATATGGTCATTCGGGGTGTTGTTATGGGAGATATTCTCTTACGGGCTACAACCATATCAGCAGTATAATAACGCTGAAGTCACGGACAAAATCCGATCTCTGGAACTTTTGCAATGCCCAGTTCACTTGTCACAGACTATCCGAAATTTGATGAACAATTGCTGGACAGTCGCGCCTTCGTCACGACCAAATTTTGTGACAATTTATGACGTACTAAATAGCCAAAGACGTTACGTTGTGCTTGATGACGTCATACAGGAAGTACAAGTATGACTTGTGAGAAATGTAGTATAGAGTTGCACTACATGAAAATGTATTCACAGGAGTTTACTGTTGCTGATATAATAGACACACCGCTGCTGCAAGTTGGGCCTGGTTTAGGCACAGAAAATTTGACAGTGTAAACCAGGTTTTAAGAATAAATTTTACTGGAAAATAATCTAAATCAATGCAGCCTAAAATACAAACTTGCACCTTTGAATACGTTATCATATTTTTAAATATATATTTCCTTTAATTTATAAGCCATGCACCATACAATATATCCGCACACAATGTAAATATTTTTTGTTCCTTTCGTTATTTTCGTACGTTATTTTGTGCGCTTCTCAATAAACGAACACTATAAGTGAAGTTGTGATTCAGTAGCTTCTTATGTCGTCGTTGTTGTCTGAAAAAAGAAATTTCTCCTGGAATCACAAACTATGTCTTCGCATGCAAGTTTTAATATTGTGAAAATCTCTACCCCGGAGTGAGGGAAACGCATCTTTAGTACCCTAATTGGGTCCCTAATGGGAATTTTAAATGCCCAGTGCTGTGGATCTTTGAAAATTCTATTCATTCCAGGAGCAATACTTCATTGTCGTGGTCTTTCCATAAAAAACTAACTCTCATTTTTAGAATGAATATTGTATTAAACACCCCAAAACCATAGAAAGCGATACGCAAATCTATTGGACTGTATTGCATGGCGGAATGATGTTAGCCTCTTGGATGACATTCCTTGGATGACATCTCTTTTTATAAGTTCAAATTGTGGGAGGTGGAAAAGTTTACGGTCAAAACCAAATACCATTAATAACATTTTTACCTTCACGCTCCTTTTCAGCCCTTTTAAACTCAATTAGAGCGCAAAAATTATCTAGATTTAGACAAATGCATTTTTATTACCATTCTCATTTTTCTACACCGGAAACAATTTCACGTAAGCAGTATTTGACAGGATCGACTAGGATAAAATTATGGAGCCACACCTTCAATGTTCGCCTTTAGATTGGCCCTACAGGGGGGTACAGAAAAAGCAATATTCCCCGTGCCGCAGGTTTTTGGAAGAAGGGGGGGGGGGTCAAAATAGTATGGAAACAACAATGCTAATAGTGAAAGCATATAGTCTTCTTTCCTAAACGTTTATAGAGATCAGGATAAGTTCTTGTTTTGAGGCGAAGTTAAGTTATGCAATATTTGATTACGTTAAATATTGTAAAACTGAAATATCACCCGACGAGAATCAAATATGCGCTACTCTAATTTTTTTTAGAAAGACACTATGTCTAAGACGTCTTGAAAATGGCGTGAATATGGCGTAGGCAAAACCATACATGGGCATATCTCCTTATATCCATCATTGACATTTTCACGACATCTCAGACTCGCGTCTTGTGTTCTAAATTTCACTATTAAAACCCTGGCAACGCCACTCGAGCATCCGACGATGCAGTATTTCATTGAAGTGGTGCAATATACACAAAATTACAAGAACTAATTATGCTATTTTTGTGACTAATTTTTCCCGGGACCTTGGCCCCATCCTCTCTCGATAGGTGGTGCCCGTAATAGGGCTCCTCGAAAATTTCTTCTAAGGAATGAAAACAGTCTGGTAAGCAGTAAATTCTCTAAGACCGTAGTGGGAATCGAACCCGCGAATTTTGGCCCTAATTTTTGTTAGCTGGTCAAAATTGGAAGAACGTGCGATTTGCCTAGCAAGCTCGCAATTGGATTCTTTAACTGTCTTCTACAGTTCTACTCACAGTAACACTAAATATTTTTTACCGAAACATACTAACCGCAGGCATTGAAGGTCTTTGCCCCTTGAAATGTCGTCTCAAAATTAATTAATCTGTCTCAAAATTTGGTAACATTTAAACGTACATTTTCTGAGTTGCGCGAGCTTAGCGTCTGGGTTATGCATGATAGGGGCCCTTGCAAACCTGGATCGGGTATCGCCCCTTCCCCCACCAAAGCGACGCTGGGGATAGGTAGAGTAAAACATTGTACTCGAGTTGTGAGTACAAAATCATTTGTCAAAATCATTCTGAAATCATTCGTCCGCCCCTTCCCCGAAAATTTAGGCATGCATGAAGTGAGGGCGTATATAAGATCTGATATCTTTTTATACACGCCCAGGTGAAGTCTAGTGTTTCTAAAACCACGAAACTGGCGAAAGGTAATATTTTAACACAGTTGACAAATGACTATGAATTCTTAGGGTATAATTTAGAAAACAAAACTGGTAAGGTTTCAGGAAAGAAATAATTTTTTCTTGGAGAACAGCTCAGATTTGTCTGATAGCATCTGCCAAACTGGAATATTGCCTGTTGAGGTCACTCTTAACTCCTTATAAATTGCATTATTCTGATTGGTAAATTCGGATCACATGACATTACATCGCTGCTATTGATTGGACCGTGCCATACAGCAGACTTGCTAATATATCATCTGTTTGACAGACACTGTTGGATTTTATTACTTGAAATTTGTAGATATAGATCTAGACGTTTTTAAAATCTTTATTCAGAACCCAGCTACTTCGTACGTTCTTGACTGTTCATCCCAATTCTAAGACTATTTCATAGTGCAAACTGTTAATATTCTCCGAAGGCCAGACACTGTAAACACCGGGCCTTTATATGGAATTGTTTTCATGTCAATAACGATTTATTTTAAACTCGTATAATTAATGGCAATAATAAAGAAGCCATTACTAAGAAAGGAAAAAGACTAAGAGATCGATAAGTTTGTATGGCGCTGAGCTTTTGTTTTTGTGAAGCGCTTGTTTGCGGACTTGCGAAACTTGCGTGTTTTTACGATAGTTTATGTGACACAGGGGGAGGGGCTAGTGTGTGTTTTTGAACAATTTGAGCTCGTGTAATTAATGCGAGGAATGCATCATGCGGGGTCTCATATTGTGTCGTTTGACATGAAGCGGCTGGATGTCAGGCAGAGAACACAGATTTTAGACACTCGCCAAGCGAGGAACAAGCTGTTTGTGATGGAGTACAATATTATCATCGTCTTACTCACATTAGTTTTAACTACAAACGGTAAGTAAGTTTGTATTATTGCTTATTCTTCTCGCTAAATGTTTGTTTGGTTTGCGACCATGCTCAATTTGCAGTATAATTATGGAATAGGAACGATTTCACCACCTAGCGTTAGACATGACATTTAGGAGCAAAACAGAGAAAATGCTGTTCGCTAGTTTAGCTAGACTAAAATACCACCTCTCTAGACAAGCTGTTTGTTTCGTTCAATCGCTTGAAACCAGTTGTACTCGAAGGAACATGGTTCTTTATGTCGCCACAGCTTGCTGTGAGCCTACAGCGAGCAGACGGCCTTGTTGAACGCGTAAGCAGCAATGATTTAATTTTAATCTTTATCCATTTGTTAGATGTGGTTAGCGGATCTTTAAAGTCAAAGAGCTCTGGTTCATTGTAAGTTTTTAACAAGATTTAGCCGATGTTTAGACTGTTCATTAATGCTTTTAGAAACTATGTTTGCTTGTTTAATGTAGCAAGTAATTGAATGTGACTGTATATTTGAATCTAACGCAACATCCCTACTGAACAGCCGTAAATATTCTTTATTCTTCTAAATTAAATCAATCGAATTCGACGAAGAGAAGAAGATATTCGAATGTAATGGCGGAGGCGGTTAATTGCGACATAAATTGGGTTCTAATATGGCGAGGGAGCACAAAGCGATATTTTTCGTCTAAAGACAAACTTCTAGATTGCAGTGATCATATTTCACAAGCGCCGTTTGTATTTATAGCTTGATTTCTGAACGTGTGAGCCATTAGACTAGCATACCTGCCAACTTGTAGACAGATCTGTATTATAAACGCATTATATCATTGGGGGTTACAGTCTTAATTATTTGCCATTATTTTACTATCACAAACGGCCTTGATAGATATGTGGTTCTAGTCAAAGAATTATCTTCATCCCTATTCTATACATCCCTCCACTTATTAGAGTGTGTAGTTTTTAATTTAGCAACGAAGCATACCAAACATATCTATTATTTCGTGACATTGACTTGTTGGATATTTGATCTGTTCCATATTTTTTCGTAGTCTACACTCGCAAAAGATTACTTGCTATGACTTTGCTACCATTACTTCACGTGTCTCCAAATATCTCCTAGAATTTTGCTGCTAAAAGAAAGCAAGTTTTGTAATTTAATTGAAAGCTTAGGAAGTGGCAAATATCTTGTTTTTCAATGTCAATACGCCTTTGAACTTGTAGCATTTCTCGTCTTTGGTTTTCTCGCGTTTCAATAATAATTGTATGCTGTTATTGCTGTATCAGTTATGAATTTTCCTGCGGTAATTGTAGGTTTTTTTGAAAAGATTTTGCCGAATTCTCGTGCTACGTAATTTGTTGAAATTTTGTGAAAATATTTCGCATCTATATGTTGTTTTTTTGATAGACCAAACATCGCGCGTTGCAGGTGTGACTAATTCAAACAATTTCATTTTGTCCGCTAATGGCGATTTCGTATTGATGTTTCGCGCAGTAAGAGTTCTTAGATGCATGTATTGCTTCCGTTTTTACGTGAGAAATTGCCAAATTGTTTGGGCGAAGGGATTGCGTTTGTTTTCGCATGTGAGAGTGGAACTACAAGAGTACATCATCACTCGCACATTCACGCAAAGTAAAACAAAGCCTTGTCCTCGGCCGCCTCTAGTCAGGGGTAAACTCGTTTATTTTGCTTCTCAGAGGGAATATACTACAGATGTAAATAGCTGTGCTTCTTAATGGATAGTCAATGGAGTTGAACGGACTATATATTGTGCCTTAACCTTGTACCCTGTAGTTGATTTTAATTTCTTTTGTCTTTTTCAATTTATATCAAAAGCGCTGCCACGTCTTTATTTACTTAGCAAGGTTTTAACTGCATTCCTCGCAGCAAGAAAGCAGCGTTATTAATAGAAGCGAAATATATTTCCACCACAAATATTGTCGGTTTGATTCAATTTAAAAGGTGGGAGGGCCGATAACAATTTGGGAACATGAGGCTTTACTTGTCTTACTATGGTACACAAAACCACCATGATAAATCACTGATTGTTTTACCCTTTCATTTGCTTTAGATTGTTTCTGCTTCAGTTCAAAACAAACTCAAAGATTTTATGTAAAACATGCTTTTGTCTATGAGGGTTGAAATCTGGGCATTGGCAAATTTTTTTCATCTTTCATCAGTATTTTGTTTTCTACCTGTATGATGACAGGTTGCAGAATAAACATATTATGTTGATTTCTTGCATACAAAATTTCTTTTTTAATGGAACAAAATACTGTAATGGTTTTGAAGTTTGTGCCCTCCCAGGAAATCATTATATTGCTAAGAAAAGCTCATTTCCTGAGGATTTATGCTTGATGGCTTAACAATATCCATCAAAAAGATTAATGCCAGTTGACACATTTACAAAATGGCAAAATAAATACATGTCTGTTAGCATTTGTTAAGAACAATTTAATCTCTTTAGAAAAAGACAGTAGTTTGGCATGCATTGCTTGCCATGTTAAACTTGACTTCATGACAATAATATCAAAACTTCACACACCAATAATATCAAAACTACATGTATAGGTAGCTAACCAACGACTTAAAGACTTTTGGTGCAAATGGCCCTATTATATTTTAGTTGCCTCAATGTTTAATTTTTCATAAATTCATGTCTCTTAGAAGTTAGAATTCTAACAAATGTAATATTCTAAACTTAGGAAGTGAGATGTACATGCCCCCTCCACAGGCATTGCAACTTGCCTAAATTGACAGCTTTGTTTCAAAGAAGACTTTGATTTTGGTGCCTAATTTTAGGATAAAACATACTGTCATTTTATTATGTATATAATTTTTTTTAGCTTTAATGCTATGTAGAAATAGTGAAATATTGTAGGACTCTAGTGATAGTCAAGTTGTTTATTGTTTCAAGGCTAGTTCATTTTAAGTGATCTGCCTCATTGTCAGCTAAGGCTTTGTTAGATGAGTTAGATGTTGACCTGGCACCACCACTTCTTATTCAGCATATTTGGGCTCATTGCCAGGTGATTGGATATTATTGCATTTTTTTGAAAATTTCTGTTGGTTGTATAACGTATATTGCCTTCATTAGGTTATGGTCGATTTTAGAAGTTTGTTTTTAGCTGTATAACATAGTATATACCAGTATAACACAGTATATACCAGTATAACATAGTATATACCAGTATAACATAGTATATACCATGTGCGCAATCCGCTAAGGTTTTCTAATTGACAGTGTATCTTAATATGTGAATTGATCTTAGAATCATATTTGGCTTTAAAGTAGTGTCATCATCCCCTGCACCTGCAGTACGTATTGATGCCCATAGCCCTACTTTAATCTCAACCATATATACTCTTAAGCTACAAGTCTATTGTGCTGATATGTGCTGATACTTTGTTTAAGAATGGGATGAAACCTGCTTCTATATTTTTGAGCCTACTTATAGTTCAAGCTGTCAACTGTTAATTTATTCTATAAATAGTGACTAGTATAAGTAGTATTGCTTTTTATGGGTAAGTTATTTGGCATTGATTAATGGTCTATATATGTGGTGTTTTGGGCAGGATTCTTTCTCCTAATTAGTATCTTTTTAAAATCAATGTACTGACTACTGTCCAGGCATGCAATTCATGTTTTTGTTTTGAGGTATATTTTGCCAGATAATTTGGTATGATATGCAGTTATAAAAGAATGGTGATGAATAGTTTATAGTAAATATTTTGTAGGAAAACTGCAAAAGAGGGCATTTCACTCAGGAGTTTATAGTTCATTTAGCTGTATCTACTCTCGCCTACCACTGAGCTAAATTTTTTTTGTGTGAATGCACTCCAACCAATTCTTGCTCTAAAGTCTTTTCAACCTGTTCTGATAGACTTTAGCTATCCTAGTCTCGTTGGATTTCTTTTACATGTACATTAAAAAAAATGAAGTTGAAGGCTATGTCTAGGGCAGGCCAAGGATCGAAGTGTAAAATGACTTATTTCAAGAAAATATGTTCTCGTAAGCTCTTTAATCCCGTCCATTAACAGATAAGCTAAATCTGAAAAAGAAAAGTTATAGGATTTGGGGGATCTTTCTCTTTTAAAACGTTAAAAAAACTTACATTAATAAAGAAAACTTACAATTTCTAAGTTAAAATCTAAAACAGCTCATTTTGATTTTGAACTTACTTTTGTAAAATCGCTGCAATTTCAATCAGTTGGAGACCAGACATTCCTTGCGGTGAAGACATTATTTCTGACAAGAAGATTGATAAGGACACACCTATGGATAAATTGCACCCTCCTAAATTGTGAACAATTTGTTTTTTAAGAAATGGATTGTATGAAGCTGATGACCGTCTGCATACCAAACTGCATGCATACAATTCTAAAGTTAGTTAGTAAACAGCTTATTTCAGCTCACCAGTCACGACGGTGCTTTTCATCCGACCGACTTTTCATCCAATTATTTCTTGTGGTATATAATATCATTCAAATTCGTGTCTGGTCGTAGTACGTGGATGACTCCCGATGTTTTTCAAAAGTGTTGTTTTTGCAAATAAAATGAGAACTATTTCTGTTGTTTTTTTTGAAGTATAAAACATGTGCCGTCTGTATAGAGTCCTACGTCGTAGAGTCAGATATATTTTATGTCTATACTGATCATTGTAAATCGTAAACGGTCTTGCTTAGATTATACTGAACGAGTATTATTAAGTATCTTGAATTATGGACACATAGAAGGATATTATTGGTTGGAACTATAGTTACCTGTTACGATGACGACGTGGAAAATAAGCCGGTCATGAAATTTCTAGATGCACTTAATCAAATTGTTTTTAAATTAGAAGTACTCGATAGGTTGATATATTTGCATGACTACTTTTAATTGCGAAATAATCATCCACAATCAGTGATACCCCACTATATAGACTATAGTATGTTAGCAAATTTGTATATTGAAAATTAATATTTTTCTAAATGGCCTAATGATTTATAAAACACCTATAATGAATTTATAAGGTTATAGTTAAGCCATGAAGGGCAAACACCCCTGCTGTGTTGAATGGATTACTACTGTGTTTAAAACAAAGTGTCTCACCGGCTTAATGGATTAATATATATGCATGAGTACAGGTAAATAGTGAATTATGCAATATCCACACTTATGCGTTTACAGCTGGAGAAAGATATTACATATTTTACAGCTGGAGAAAGATATTACATATTTTACAGCTGGAGTAAGATATTATATTTTACAGCTGGACATTTCATGCAGCAGCTAAAAATCAAGAACGCTCATTCGTAAATACAGGCATAAATTTAGGTTGTTATTTAACTTATTTTAGTTGGTAATTCACATTTTTATTAATCGCTGACACTGATGTGAAAGATTAATCTGCAGTTTAAAAAACGGTATTACAACTGAAATACAGTATTACTCTATACACTTTTCTTTGTTGATTCTATCGATCGCAACCTCTTCCTATAATGGCGACATACCTATTTTAGATTAAGGCCTTCCTGCGACTATTTAACCTGTGTAAATATTCAGTACCTCAACCAGTAATAGGTCAACCATGCAATGAAGATCCTGTCTCCCAAGTTATATTTGTGTTGTGATAAATGAAATTGATGAATGAAATAAAATGGAATGAAATGAAATTGTTGATTGAAAATAGATAAAATGAAATAAAATTGTTGAATGAAATGAAATAAAATTAAATGAAATTGTTGAATAAAAATAAAAAATGTCTTTAAATGAAACCATTTTGTGAGTGATATCTTGTTCTATATTTGTAGTTCCAAGAGTGCCAGGGCTCTTTGTACCACATGCAAAGGTAGGGCTCCTCATTCATGCATAAGTCAGTTACTGATGATGTATAAAGAAATAAGAATTGTTTCACTCAGTCTGCCTTATCAAATAAATTGATCAATTTAATTGGATTCTCGAGCATATTTTTAAAACCAAAATGTCCCTGTAGAGCCAAAGCCTCGCATCCCGTAAGTGTTCGCATTGACGCGTCCATCTCACTCCTATTAATTCCTTGTCAATTTTCTTCAGTGATACGGAGAGTGGGCAACCACTCAGTTGAACCTGGCGAAGCGGTGAATTTGAAATGTGCATTTCGAGGCGTTCATCCAAGCAACATTACTTGGCGTCGAAATGGAAAACGACTGAGGGAAACAAAAAATGTCATTATAAGGTAAAAAAAGACGAGTAAAAAAGAAGAGCGATGAATATTTTTCTTGTCTGTTAGTGAAAATCTTAAACCATTAACACAGAGGCATCTATAGACTATAGGGCTATTATGCGACCCTTATCATATATAAATTATTTTGCTATATAGAGAACTAAATTTTGCGTCGTTTACTGGGACTCTTACAGTGTTGAACTCTCGTCAAAAAATATTCTTTCGACCTTTAATCATTTTTTTGTAGTGAATGGTCGTCGAATGGACCTAATGGTCGACGGAATGGTTCGAAACTACGAATAAGAAGCCTGACTCAAAAAGAGACTGGTACATACGTTTGTGTCGGTCGTAATAATAAAGAGCAGTATATTAAATTAACAGGATATGTCAAGTTTGCCGCAAAACGTAAGTGCACATACAGCTGCTAGTGCAATAAAGTTTCAATCTTTTTGATAAGTCCCTCCGAGGTAGTAGTCTCTCAACATGCAAAAAGGCAAAGTAAAACTGAAGCAATGATATAGTTGTTGAAAACGTGAAATTACCTTAAATCTTTATACCTTTACTTCTTAGAAAAAGTGTCAAAAATCATTCAAAAGTAAGTACCTTACCTTTCATTAACTTGCCAATCTTATTGCTTTTGGAACTGAGAGTTAAATTTCATGGAAATCATATCAGTGGTTTTAGTTTAATTATATATAGAGCGGCCACTGACTGTATCCTAGTAATATTTTGGATATATCACATGGAATCCATGCAAAACAAATCCAACTTTTACATCAATTACTTTTGTCTTTTTAAGGTCTTCAAAACAGAAAACAGGCCGTTGTAGAATGTACAAGGGAACGATATGTGCGCCATATATTCAAGACAATGTTCATATATTCGTCGAAGACGGTTTTCACAAGAGTCAAGCATATATTGAAGAGAAATTAAGATTTGGATACCAATACATGAGCCCGAACTTAAGTAAATCGTGTAGTCCAGCAGCACTTCCACTTTGGTGCCACCATCATTTCCCCGCATGTACTATTGTGAATTCCAAAGCAGAACCAAAACCCATATGTAAAAGTGAATGTAATCGTATTGAAAGTCAAGATTGTAAACGAGAGTATGATGAGAAAAAGAAGGCAGAGAGTGCTGATAAAAAGAAAGCGTCTTCACAGAGCAGTGATGATGATCTGTTCCCGGATTGTACGCTGTTACCCAGTGAAAATCCTTTTCAGCCAACGACATGTGTTTCTATCAAACGACATGTTACCTCGTTACAGACAGGTATTAAATAATTCCCTTAATTGTAGTTCTCGCTTCTTTAGCGAAGATGCAAATAGCGAACAAAATAAGTTCAAAAAATATGTGCAACGGCCGTTAAAGTTAAAACGGCCGTTGAACCTCAAAATATTTCATTTGCAAAAATAGAGTCCGTTCTCTCCTCAATTCAGTATCTGTTGCGAATTAAACTATAGTTTATGCTTTTTATTATAGGTCCAGATATCAGTCCGGCAAGGTAATGCATTTTCCACCCTTTGATATATAGATCTTATTTCAATATATATATATATATATATATATATATATATATATATATATTTTTTTTTTTTTTTTTTTTTGAATCAGTTTCATTGCCAGTTTTCTCTAGTTTCATGCTATTTGACGCTAACGTTTTATTCATTTTTAGTGGTCAGTGCAAAGTTTACAATGGTGACGTGTGTAAAATGAAAAATGGCAATAAAGTATTTGTCAAAGATGGCATGGAAATATCAGATATTGAAAAAGTAATTAAGGAAGCATTGGAGAAACGAGGTTATCTTTCAAACCAATGTCAATCTTACATTAAACCATTGCTCTGTCAATTACATCTGCCTGATTGCGACGAGTCATCTTCCATTCCAAAAGGAAAACCAATCTGTAAAGATGAATGTCTAGTTCTCAAAACTAAGTTTTGTAAGGGCGAATATTCAGATCCAAACAAATTGCGCGCTCCAAGTATCTTCTTTGATTGTTCGTCCTTGGTATACTTGACCAGCAAAAGTGGAAAATGTTCATCGTTGGGAGTTCCTACAGGTAGGAAATTGCTTAGTCTGTGAAAAGATGTAGTTTGGTCCTGTCTAGGAATATATTGTGTGCACAAAAAATGGAAACCAGTGTGATTTCAAAACTGATGTTATGCGCGCTCTTTCCCCATCCATGAATCCATAACTTAAGGCTAACAATATGATTTTTTTCTTTTTCTAGCCAACCTTCCAAACGTGTAAGTAAGCTTAATGTAAAATAAATATAATACTGCTGTATCTTATTCATTTCCATATCGCAAATCATTAGTATTCACCTAGAAAGTACAGATGATCCATTCATTTCTAGCAATCAGTTCTCTCACTAAGCTGCAGAGAATCATTTTTGTCCAAATGTCCAGTGTAGCTTTAATGATTTACATCTTATACATTTCTCTAGTCCTGCAACAAAAAGACCAATGATTGGAACCTGTCAGCCTTACCGAGGAAATATCTGCAGAGAATATCTTCATAACAAAAACATTTTCATCGAAGATGGGAACCGTCAATCCAACATTGAAATAAAGTTAAAAATCGCTATGACTGATATTGAGAAATTCCCTATATCTGCAAAATGTGATCCATTTGTGTTACCTTTGCTGTGCCATCATTTGTTTCCATTTTGTGAGCCCGAAGTCGAGAGTCTTAGACCAAGCAAAATTTGCCGCCAGGATTGTGATCGTATTCGTCACGAGTTCTGTCCTTTTGAATACACGATTGCTGAAGAAGAATTTTTAACTGGATCTATTCTCTTTCCAAGTTGCCATGTTTTATCTGAGTCAAATAAAAAATGCATATCTTTACAAAGATATTTCATCACTAATACAACAGGTAGGCGTGTTAATTAGTTAAATGTTGGTAGCTTGATATTCATAGTGGGGTTACAGGTATCATTGGCATTGATAACAAGCTCTTGTGGACAAACGTGGCAAAAATCTGTGACAGTGTAAACTGCAAAATAATGAAGGCCTTGGTTTTAAATGTGACCCAGTCCCAAACAAAACTATGCCTTGATTGTTACCCTTGGAAGGGATTAACGGTATTTTTTCATTCCATATAGTATCTATCCCAGGTGATTGTTACCATGGTAACGGTATGTTGTACAGAGGTTTTACCAACACCACAGAATCTGGAGAAGCTTGCCAAAGATGGGATGAGACCGGTACATTGCACTCTAATCTGGAGAAGAATTTCTGTCGTAACCCAAGAGGAAAGAGAAGTAAACCGTGGTGTTTCGCAGACCAAAGGGTCCAACTTTGCAACATTCCTAAATGTGGTGAGTGTTCTCGTCATTGTTGACTTGTTGTATGTTCATAATAATACAGTTCTTAATTCTTAGAAATTCTCCCTAGATTCCAGTGACTCTCCTTTCAATGGCACTGGTGAAGACTACCTCGGCACATTAAACACGACAGTTAATGGGAACCATTGCCAACCTTGGAATAAACATGAACCAGAGCATAAATGGGCCCATAATTATTGTCGTAATCCAAAAGGAAGTGAGGAAACTCAACCCTGGTGTTACGTCGCGAAAGGCAAACGGGAGTCGTGTGATGTTCCTAAAGTTTCTGCCAGAAAATGTAAGTTTTCATGCGCGCTTTCTTTCATTTTGCAAAAGAAAATGGAGGGTTAATATGGTTTAATTGGGTTAACAGACTGGAAGTTCTTGATTGCAGTTCATTATATCAATGTCCCTTAACTGTTGTAAAAACATTAAAGAATCTTCATTTGACAATAGGAAGAAATGTTTTGATGCATTGACGAGAAATTGATCCAGAATACAGTAACTATAAATTTTTTCTTCTATTTGTATAGTTCCTGAAAGTGGTGGACATTTATCAAACCTCCTTTATACGGTAATACCATGTGTTGTATTCGGCTTGATAGTGGCTGTTGTAATTATTGCGGTATGTTGGAAACGACATAAACAAGGCCCAGATGCAATCAAGAAAAATACCAGAATGACCGTTACTGTTTTATTACCTGAGGTAAGCACTAGGGCGATTTATTTCTAATTCTGTTTTCTAATTCAATCGTAGCGTAGCGTATTTCATTCTTTGGAATTCATTAGTTCAACCCGAGTACTCAGGAAAGAATGGTATGCGCTACGACTGTAGTCGGGTAGAGATTTGAATCGAGAGGAAATACAACGATAAAGTGCTGCCGGAGTCTATTTAATAAATATCGAAATTGCAGCGTTATTGGTTTGCGTGTATTTACGCCATATAAAGTCAGTTTTTTTGAAGAGATACACAAAAGCTGTGTATTTATAAGTCACTTTTTCATTCTAGTTGCGTACTATCCCAGGCGAGAACATTCTGTTACCGAAATTTATGGGAAATGGAAAGTTTGGCTCAATGTACACTGGTGAGATCCATTCTGAAGATGGCAGTCACGTGAGCAGGCTAGTTAAAGTGGCCTCGAACGATTCTCGTGAAGAATTCATCGATCAAGCGAAGAGATGGTCACAATTCCATCATCCTAACCTGCTGATCATAGAGGCGATAACCTCAGGAAGTGAACCTATGACCTTGGTTTATGAACCAGCTGGGCATGGTAGCTTGCACCAATACTTGATCTATCATTCACCAAACAACCCCAACTTCTCTAAAGATCATGCGTTACTCGATAAAGCAGGTCTGTTGGACATCTCACGTCAAATCGCTGCGGGAATGGCGTATTTATCTTCTCATGATTATGTTCATGGTGAATTGATGACGAGAAACTGTCAAGTTGCCCATTCGTTGGTTATCAAAATAACTGACTTCACCATTGACCGTGATGCCTGTTACTTTCGCCGACCAAACAAACGACCTATTGCCCTTGGCTGGATGGCCCCGGAGACCATACAATCTGAGACGTATACAATTCATTCAGATGTCTGGGCATTCGGGATCGTATTGTGGGAAATCTTCACCTATGGTTTTCAACCATACTTCGGTTTTATCTTCCCAGAAGTGCGGGAAAAAATCTTGAATATGGTGCTTCTTGAACAACCACGAGACTGTATTCCAGTCGTTTATGAACTCATGAGAAATTGCTGGACGAAGAATCCAACACATCGTCCACAGTTTGTCGATCTTCATGAAGATTTGAACACTTTATGTAATGAATATCTTGAGGATGATGAACAAGATAGTCGTTATGTCACTGAAGTAAATTTATAATATAATATATTGACTTGTAAATATATAACCTACCATAGTGGTAAATGAATATAATATTATAATACCCTGTTCATATTAAACTGCACATATATATTTCTATTGCAAAGTTCTTATTATTTGTACATATTAGAATGTTGAATTTAGTAAATGTTCCAGTCAGTTTCGCGTTGTTGTGAAGATCCATTATGTGTACCGTAAAGTTAGTCCAAGATATGGTTCCAGACATTTTTTATTGTGTGAAAGTCAGGTAAATGGACAGCCAATCAGAACTGCACTTTTGTTTTTGAAAGAAAACTCATTTTGCACTGCAATCAATTTATTATTAGCATGAGCTAAAATTGGTGCCTGTGTTCCAATAATTTTTTCTGTGCTTATGTTTCTTATTGGCAATCAGTGCATGGTTCCAGTCAATAGCAAAACTTGCCTGACTACTTAATATCATTTATACTTGATATATACCATTATATTGACTAAAATCCATTTCCTGGTAGGACTAGATATTTCCTCAGGTGGGCTGTGCCACTGAATAAGTTCCAAAACTTGTTAAATTGATATTAGTGCATTTGCTGTTGTGTATGTCTGACCACAGATTCATGCATCATGCTGAAAACAGTGAATTCAACTCCTGTTAATTTATGATATTGTTTAATGTCATTCTTCAATATAAGGCAGACTTTTATATGGCACACATTGGAAAGTTTCTAATCTGCCATACGCCCAAATAAATAGATAAAAACTTTAGGTCCAAACAGAAAGTCCTTGATAAGTTAAGTCTCTCATATCTCCGGAGCACAGATATTTTCATTTCTTGGTATAGGAAGACAGGAAGTTGGGAAATACATAAGTATAAAAACACTGATTGATTTCTGAATTCTTTAAATATCATTGATAAAATATTTCACCATGGTGTAGTCATAGGCTGAGGATTTTGTAGATATGACATCACAACAGCTGAGACTGATAAACTACAAAAGAAAATTTGGTTCTATGAGTGCTTTGCCCCTTGAGCTGAAAAATAATTCAAGAATCACAAAAACTTACAGGAAGCTGCTAAACATTTGCTTTGTATCTTCTGATGCTTTGGAATTAGCAAAGCTTATGAAAGCACAATACACTGCAGCCCAAGCAGCCCATTTCATCTATGAACATAAAACAGATACACAATTACATCTAATTGTGAAACGACTCGCAATATTTTGAATTAAAAACTTTTTGTTAGAAGTAGTAACCCAAATTTTTCGGTAATTTGTCTATATAATGTAATCAAAAGAATTATACAAAATTCATTGCAAATTAAACTTGGTATAAAGATTTTACAATAATTTAATTTGGATGCTTGAAGCTGTTTCCTGTTAACACTAAAGGTATACCTGTCTAGTGTCTATTAAAATTGAAAGTCTGAACTCTGCACTGATGTGTGTGCTCAGCTGGACAGTATTTAAATACTTTCATTCCTATAGCCTACGTCTATCAATGAACAGGAGACTACAAACTACAAACGGCATATGTTTTACGTATAAAATCTTTTCCACGGACACAGACACGCATACTATATTTATTATTTTAAATATATTATATATATACACATACTCTCATCATTAAACCAAGCATACTAAATATCATTCCCAGCAAACTGACATAATCAGGTAAAGGGTCTTGATTTGGTTTATTTGTAACTGGAATATATCGATATACTCTGTTTTCCCGACGCGGGTCTTGGTTTGAAGAGAGATTTGTTCCTGCACTCATACGAGACGACATCTTGAATTTTTTCAATCAAATTCAAGTGATTGTGGAGAGCAACGGAGCTAGGCCCTGGGGATGAGGATCAGTAAACTGATTTGATTTAGATGGATCCCGGAATGGATCCAGGCGGCCTCGCCGTACATTTGCGTCGACGTCGTTGCTCCTAATTGCCGAAAATATGATAGTATGAGTCCACACTTAAAAGCGACCTTCTAACAGTTGGATGACTCGGATCCATGAGTTTGACAAATCGGATGGAGCTAAAACTTGCTCTATTTTCATTGGATCCGACGTGATCCGACCAATCGGATCGTGTGAACAGGCTTTAAAACAATAGTTAATTCAATGCCTCATTATCTATTGTTGTTTATGCGTTTGCACAGAAGAAGCACAACGTTTGAACAGGCCAAACTGTCGAGTGCTTTCGATGCATAAAGCGCATTGTCCGTTGGAATGTTTTTCAGGTTATAAAAGGTGGTTGAATTCGAGGGGAAAGTCATGATCACTCGAAGAAGTTGGAAGAATCTTTGCTCAGGTACATGATCATGGTTGGGTTAAACGAATGTGTGTTGGCTTGATCTTTGGCTTTGCCAATCAATTTACCGCCGTGCCAGTGTTGATTTGAATAGCAACAAGACATATCTTGTATCACTGCTATATCTTGTATATTTTGATTGAAAAAGTAAAATGCAAGTGAGCTATTAACTTGATTTTGTTTTTCCTTGCTTATTTCAATTTAGAACGAACTATGGCGCCGAAAGATGGGGAAGGAGAAACGTAAACGCTTGCTGGCAGCAAATAATAGGTATTGTTATATATTTGCATTTATGACTTGAAATAACACGTTTGTACACGGTGAGCGAAGCTAGAATAAAGTTTAATCGAACGTTTTAGGACTTTATTCTAAATTGCAATGCGTTTTTCAGACACGATTGTCGTATCGTGAACACTCAGTCAGAGCCTAATGTTAGTTTTGTACCATTTTGTACAGGGAAATACCGGTATAATTGGTATATGCATGTATGTACTTTATGCTGCATGGACATGACGATTGACGATGTTGAGTTATTTCAGCCCGGCTGTCTATTGTAGTTGTCTACTTCTAAATTAAAGGCAAAGTATCTTATCTTGCTGTAGTGGATTCCTTTGCTTGAACAGAAGTTTTCTGTTTTTAGAACGAAAGAATCGTCGGAGACGAGAGATGTTGGAGCTGCCTTGGGATATTTATGCACGCAAATACAAAACTCAATTTGATTTCGATGAAATATCCATGAGTAAAATTGCATGGGATTTGGCTTTTTTGGTTGAGATATGCTGGACACTCTTCTGTTTACCCCCTTGATTTCAATGTTTCGGCTTGCGGTTTTTGCATGGGTTAAGTAACGTGGTCGTATCAAGCGCATGCGGAGTAAATACAAGTGATTCTGGGGCCCCATCACTTGTATTTTCTCCATCTTGAACGACAATAGTCCGGAAAAAATATCGCTAACAGAGCGCCTAAAACATGAAAATGCATGGGGAATTGTATTTCTAGAAGGGGATAATAGTCGAGTGTTTTCATTTTCTCAGACCATTAAGAAAACGATGAATATTTCCTGCAAAACGTGCATGTCTGCATGACATTTTGTATTCGCGTGCGCAATGCGAAGGCCTTGGACGAGTGGCGTAGGAGATGTTGAAGGTCTACAGACTACAATCGGTTTTGAGTGATCATTTTATCCTGAATATTTTCTACAAAGGTGACATTTCTCTCTTGGGAATTAATATAATATTTTTGTACCTACGTTAAGGCATGAGATGATGAAGGATCGTCGCAGGATCAGATGAAGAATCGTCGCAGGATCAGATGATGAAGGATCGTCGCAGGATCAGATGATGAAGGATCGTCGCAGGATCAGATGATGATGGATCGTCGCAGGATCAGATGATGAAGGATCGTCGCAGGATCAGATGATGATGGATCGTCGCAGGATCAGATGATGAAGGATCGTCGCAGGATCAGATGATGGACGACGAGACGGCCGGACGGGTGTACAAGCAGAAGCTGGTTGAGGTATATACTATATGTATACTAATTAGAGTAATGCATGATTAATGTTAGTGCATGACTTATTTTCGGATTGATTCCTGCTGGTGGTCTAACCTAGTATATTCACACATCAAGTGATTACTCAAATTATAAAAAAGTTATCAAAATTATCTTTATATTTATTGTATAAGACCACCTTAACAGCTGCGGAAGATGCATAGATAGCTTTAAAACGTTGAAATGAAAGTAACAAAATGCAGTTAGCATGGTCGACGCGCACGCAACGAAAAAATATTCCAATTCGTATTGGCCTAATTTTAGATTAATACGAATGCAATCGCGAGTACTTATATGATTATATAAGTTCTCTGTTCAGCCTGTTATAATGCGACCGTTTTGAAGAACCGTCTGTCAGTGGCATAAAAAATTATACGTTAGTCTTTAAAGATCTAAACTTAAAGTTTTGTTTGAAATGAAGAAATAATAACTATTGGATGTTGAGACACTATCACTCTTCTGTTTCCCTTGTTGATTTTAATTTTTCGTATTGTAGTTTAAGCTCCCAAAAATACGGTTAGTCTCAAACATGAAGGAAATAAACGTAATCTAATAATTTTGACCGACTTGATGAAGTTTGTATAAGAAGGAAAATATATATACCTTCTTTATTACAGGATATATATATCACATTGCATGATAACTTTAATGACAAAGAATAGGTTAATATTGTATAGTACCCTCTTGCTTAGAAAGTAAACCTTTAAAGAAAACCCTTTTTATTTTGACACACTTACTATGTTGTTTAATTTCTTGCACGGCCACCGTCGAGATGTTGTTGAAGAAGAAGAACACAACTGTTTGGAATGGAGCAGTGAAGCAAGTGAAATTTGGTACACTGTTTTTCAAAGAGTAATTATACAATTCGAAAGGTAAGGGAAGATCATGGTTAGCCATTATTCAGTAAGTTGCATGTTGAGCCCGATCACGTTTATTTCCTTCGTTTTCGGCCAAATGAAATCCAGGAAGTATAAAAAAGATAAAAACGGTGCATGTCTTAAGAAGGGATAGCAGAAGAGTGTCGTTGTCTACATTGGTTTGATATGAAAAAGCATGCAAGTCGTGAATACGAAGCATTTCTTTATCGATTTAAGTAATTTTTGTTGCCACTGTCAGACAAAGCGCAGTTTAATTTCTAAGAGCATGGTGTTTTCCAACAGACGATATGCGCGCTGTGCACGTTAGACCACCAGCAGGATTAAATTGACGAAGCTCAAGAATTGCATGGCAATTCCTGGGACTCGATTCTGATGAGCGGAACTGAAACGATGAACTATATATAGCTAATAAAACCTGAACTGTCATTACGAACGATTTCTATTGAAAATACCAAATTCGGACCGCCGGTCATGTAACCTGAAATTCAGGTTACCTTTGGAGGGTTTTTCACCGGGTACTCCGGTTTCCCTCCTTTTCGTTTGGCTTTAAAAAACAGTGTCCATGCCTGGGGCCAAACCAAAACGTGTTCGTTGATAATGATAAAAACGTGTGTGTGGCTTCTGGGTTCAATCCCCAGAACACTGTCGGAAAAGATTAAAAATATGGTTGTGGAATCATTACGTAATTAGATTTAGTATGGCAATTAGATTTAGCCTGATGTAATAGGGTTAAAACTCGTGGTCCTCCTGCAAGAGCTTTGGTTTAACTAATTCTATCTTGTGTTAACGTTTTTTGTCAATGTAGGGGCTCTTTTCCAGCAATTCCCTTAAGTTAAGGGAAAGACATTTCTTAAATGAGTAAAATACTTAAAATCGAGTTCCCTTGCAGCCCTGATGATACCCAATGGTTTCATAATAAGGTAAATGACTTTGTACATTGGGTTTTTTATACCATTCCAGAGAAGTCAAAGATTTCAAGAGCATTGTTTTTTCTCTCTGCACTAATAAAAAGTTTGGTGAATATTAATTATACTTGTATTACAAGTGAATATAGTTTTTATTTACTACAGAGTCAATTTGAATATTGTACAAAATGCCCACACCATAATCACAATTAACACAGCAGAATTATTTTGAATAGCACAATTCTTTTAGCTTGCATATACTGTACATTGTAACCATGAAATAAAATACATAGCAGAAAAATTATATTTCTATATTGAAAAACTCTCACCACAACCACAAGTTCCTTTGATATTAGGATTATTAAAAACAAATTCACTAGATAATGTATCTTCAACAAAATCCATTTCTGTTCCAAGCAATGTCAACTGAGCTTTAGCATCAATAAATATTTTCACCCCTGTTATGAATATAAAATTTAAAAAATGAAATTTGTAGGCAACAAGGTGCATAGGATGAACATATATTTAGACTAGTGTTTCATAACATAAGATTGATAAGAAGAGCAAAAATCATAGAAATCTTAAACAATCTGCGACTCATTTACCCCTTGTTTAATTTGGTTTGGTAAAACCAATTCAAACAATATGATCATATTTCTTACTTACCATCTTGCTCAACCTCCTCATCAAATTTTTCTTTCTCCTTCACATAGTCTAATGTGTATGATAAACCATTGCATCCACGTTGTCTAACACCAACTTTCAATCCAATCTATTTAGTTAATACTTATTTAGTGCAAACAATTTTTAGTACAATATGTGTGACATGCAGTGTTGCAATTGTATGGTGTATTGTATTGTATTGAGTCATTTGGATGGTGTGCTTTCTTACCACATCTGACTTTCTTTTTAATATTTCTTTGATTTTGTTTACAGCACTTGGACTCTAGGAGAGAAGTGATACATTAAAACATTGACATTTAGAATATGGTGAATCAAATAGTCACATGTACGATGCGAATCGCCTGCTACAGGTAGCAAATAGGTTATAAATATTTTGTAAAGTTATACAGTGTCGTAATGGAAGTACTCTTCCTGTACTAAATTTGTTTTTATGCATTAATTTTTCCATGCATTGGAATTTATTTATAGATCAAAATAGATAACAACCTACCAGTGTAAGAGCAGCTCTCCTTGGTATAAAACGTCGTGGTTTACTGATAACTTTAGCTGTGGCAGAAATTGTAGCTCTTGCTGCCATAACACAACAAACGTTATTACGTTTATTACGTAATACGTATTACAATCTTCACTGTTTTCCATACCAGTAATAGCGAAGTCGGAGATATTCGGAAAACGGGAGGTTGACGAAGAGGAACCGAGTGCCAAACGCATGGCCAAGTTTAAATAAAAAAGTATCAAGGTTTTATTGGGGTGACTTTTGGTTAACTTTGAACCTTAATCGAGGTTAAAAGTGGTTTGTTTTGTGTGGCCACAACTATGGATGATGAGACTGAAACATACAGGTTTTGGAGGATAAGAAAAACTGTTATGCAGGTAAAAATGTTTTAATGGAGTATGATTGTTATACTGTATACTCTGAGAATCTCATTTCACAATACTCTCCAATACAACAACGAAGTCACCAAAACGTGTAAACTATTAATTTGCATGGTCTCTGCAACTTTAATTCTGAAACAGAGAGTTTTAAAAAGTCAATCAATGTACATGGTACAATTCTCTGAATACAAGCACAAACTACCTGTCCATCATTCAATTCTTTGTTAACATCTCCATAGATGTGTCATGATCGAGGTTACTTGGTTACTCAAGACGAATTGGATCAAACATTAGAGCAATTCAAAGAACAGTTTGGAGAAAGACCTAGGTTTGACTTGTCTGTAATATATTCTGAAAGATTTTGCATGGTGCATGTAATAATTGAATCATCATTGGTAGAAAACACCAGGTGCATTTGTTATATATGCAAGGCGTTTGGTCGGGTAACCAAGACCTTCAATTGCACTGATGAAGGCTTGGGTTAACAAACGTTTAGCTTGATAAATAATTTGTTGTGTATGTATTCTATTATGTAGTGAGGGTCATCCAAACAGAGCTGATTTATCTGTATTAGTAGAGCATAATGATGACCCTTCAGGTATTTGATGTTGGAATTCACATTAAATTTGTGAAAGTAAATAAATAATTTTCTGACTAATTCTGGTAGTGCATGGAAATTTGAATGGACATTTCTCTCAGTTTCTTTGATCTTGGCATTAAATAATTCTTTTTCTATTTCAGATAAGTTATTTGTGTTCTTTCCTGAAGATCCTAAAGTTGGGATTAAAACAATTAAAACGTATGCAGTGTTTTTAACTCTATCATTATTCTATTTATTACTTATGTCGAAAATTAGCAGTGATTTACTTGCGCATCACCTATTGGTCTTCTAAAATAAGGTTTCAATCAATGTAATCTTAGATAGCTATACTAAGCACAAATATGTTCTAATACTCCACATATAACAAGTGTAATTCTTTTTCCGTCTGAGGGGCGCCCTCTTCCTCACCAACTTTTCTAGTCAGTTCAACATCCTGAGTGACTTGTGTGTTTTACATTATGTTAGCTATTGTACAAGAATGCAAGAAGAAAGTATTACACGTGCGATCATTGTTGTTCAAATGGGCATGACCCCATCAGCAAAGCAGGTTCTCACTTCACTTTTTTTTTCAAAATAGGAAAGTAGTGAATTCCTTTGTTTTCTTCCTTTGCTGTGTTGTTGTTATTCTATATTAATCATTCATTCATTTGTTTTTAGGCCTTGGTAGACATGGCACCAAAATATATCTTAGAACATTTCATGGAAGCAGAATTATTGATTAACATAACAGAACATGAGGTATGTCTATGGTTAGTCAACCTAACCATTATAAAATATTTGTTTTAAATGCACTATCTGGTAGATGTTATGAGAGAGTGATCTTTAGGCCTGAATCATCATGGTTGACAGTATAGTGAGTCGTGTTCCAGCATTATTGTGTCATGAAGTTCTTCAGTACACAAGCTATTAATGTGTATGTTTTGTTCTTCTTAGCTTGTTCCAGAACATGTGCTTATGACACCAGAAGAAAAGAAAGAATTACTGACACGATAGTAAGTCAATTGTTGTTTCTATTGAGTCTCTTGTTTCTATAGTGTCTGTAGGTCGAAACTAAGCAAAATATGTTTAAATGAAATTGTTTATCTAAAGCTCTACTTTTGTTTGTTGCAGTAAATTAAAAGAACATCAGTTACCACGGATACAGGCTGGTGATCCAGTCGCAAGATATTTTGGTTTAAAGAGAGGACAGGTGGGTCTGTGCTCCAACAAAAAACAATTTGCATTTTTTAAAACCATAAAACCCCCATCAATATAGACTTTCTAGTATCTCTCTAGACTTTCTAAAAAACTTTTTAATGTGTATTTCTGAGATTGTGGGTCTCTTGCACTGAAAACTATCATGGTGACATGACATATTTGTTAAAAAAGATAATTTATGTGTAATTTGCGAATCAGAGAAGGTAGTTTTGTTGATCGTTCTTATTGTGAACTATACTAATACAACATCTTCTACTGAAATATTTCTTCCTCCAGGTTGTCAAGATCATCCGTCCAAGTGAGACCGCTGGCCGATATATTACGTACCGTCTTGTTGTATAACTGATCTCTGCATGGTAATTGGATTGTCATCACAACAGTTTTCTTAAGCAATTCAATTGTGAGTATTCAAACAAATTTAATGTTTCAGTAGACGGTGTTTCTAGTCATCACAGCGGCTGTGGCGTTTCATGTCGAAGCAATTAAGACAGCAGCGTATCAGGGTTTGATTTTTATAAAATCAAAAATAATTGATAGCTCATGTTATCTACACTGGAACAATTTCTAGACGTACTGCCTCGTATTATGAAAGTCAACTCCGTTAACCGATAAATATAATGTCTGCCTTAATTCATGTAAATATAATATCTAGTGAACGGCATGCAGGCCTCCGTTTTCTCTCTTCACTGGAATGACAAAAAAACAACATTGCCGGCGCTATTTTTATAAATGTTTTTCTCAAATTCTCCAATTGTGAACTCGACGATGATGTTAAATTGCTATGTTTAAAATCCGAATGTTTTTCAAACCAGAGTTTGCGGTTGGTTGAAAGACGAACGTGGTGAAAAAGTTTTGCAATTGATTTTTCGTAGGCGTGCATAGTTGGTATACTTGAATAATCTGTATTATATTGTTGCCGTTGGTTATTGACCCATTAACACTGGAAGGCCAGTGCTGACTCTCACGGCACAACACCCTCTCTGTTACAGTATTTTTAAAATTACGTACGTACAGCATATTCTGCTCATTCTGATACCCGTGCTCAAAATATTAGTTTTCTTGATTTACTTTAACAAATCTAAAATGCTGGATGTCGTACGTTTTTTGGTGATACCTAGCTACAGCTTATTGCCGAGAATTCTTGATATGATCCAAGTCTAAAACTTGGGTCCACTTTCAGAAGCAATATATTCTCCAAGTGGGTTCATGGTCTTTCATTAGCTTCAATTAATATTCGTTTCCTGATGTTATAATCTCAACGAGCCACGGTGTCTCACTTTAGCCTGTCATACAGCCTTAACTGCGTTTCCAGGGTGGTGGTACATTCCAATCTTCATTCTTCAGATGTTTTTACACCACCCAGGGTACTGAAAACTAAATGATAAAAATATAGGCCGTAATGAAATATAAGAGTATTCTCATTCTGTGACTTGGTTATTCGTATGCAAAATACGACTTTCTCAGGAATTTGCGCAAAATTCCTGAGATAATCAGCAAGTTGTTCGGAAAGCCAGGTCAATTTTTTGATAGAGTAACTTTGAGAAAGAAAGGCGGCGCTTCTGCGAAAACCCGCTGGAATGTTTGAGTTCAAATCATATTTACATGCGTCAAGAAGTTCTCGTAGATTTTTTTATTAATTCTGCCCACAGTGAAACTGTATTGTGGTAAGGTAATTTTGGCCCTCTTGAAGATGGCGCCATGTCGTATGTTTGTTTGACAGCGTGAGGTATCCTCTGTTTCCTTTTTAAGCTTCTTAAACTGACAATAATCATTTGAAATTAAAGCCACCCCCGCGTGAGTGGTTACTATGCAATACAGGGCTGAGAAATGCGGAATAAAGTTATGGTATGAACTATAGGTATAGTTAGCGGGTATATTAAACTATATTTAAGATTATTCGTAATGTAAAGTAAATGACCACCTTTTTAAAACGCTAACTGCTTTTTGTTGAAAAGAGTGGCGGGGTTATTTTGCATACTTGCCGTGAAGCTAATATATATACCCTATAATTAAATAGATTTAGAAAACTATAATAGTAAAGTAAAGTGTCTTAATTAGAAAGTTACTCCACCATTTGTATACTAATAAACCGTTTTTATCTGGTTGAAAAACGTACATTCTCCTGAAGATGACTAAAAGATAACTATTTACGAAGTGTTGTTTTGGGTTTCCTTTTTTGAAATTCCGGCTGCAATTTCTTCCAGTTTTTACGATAAACGTTTAGTGAATTGTATAGTTCCAGACCCCTTCCGTCGAGTTGTAGTTCGAAGCGCAGAACTCCAAACGTCGTTTATCTCATTTATAAACTAGCTATGCATGTAGCTATGTGTATATTGAACTATGTATGTTGCAATGCTTTTACAAGTTGCATTTTTTTTTGCAAAAAAGTCCGTCTCCAACAAGGTTTTTGCTTGAAGAGGAGGAGCCTTAATGGTTCGTTAAACACTGCCGTTGATTCATTAGATTATAATAAATATTCGTGCAGAAAGGTTTCCTGTTTACCTGGACCGCCCTATCCGTACACATTGTTAACCATATAAGGATTTCGTTTCGCGCAGGTTTACGAGCCTCATTTTGTAAAAGCAAGAATCAGCACGGATATTTATCAGCGCAAAAATGTATCTCGTGTCGTGTAAACGGAAGAAAGAAAAGTTAAAATTTCTGCCAGTGGCTGGTTCAGCTTTTTATCGAATTGTTAGTTTAATTTGTCAGCCTGAATTAGTTTTAGTATATGATGTATTATTTTGAAAATAATATAGTTTATTTTATGCATGTGGGGTTAGCGCATTCCGTTTGTTTTAACAATACTGAATTTAACTAAAATTTAGCCAGTTGGGGCTTGGAATTTTGTGCATTGTGTAGTTAACAAACGTGCTTGAAATCTCGAGATATTTTGGTTACAAACAGGCAGACACAGAGACGAGAACAGATGAATAGACCAACATAACTAAACTGAAAACATAACTCTTGCATGCCGTGGTACTGTAACATTTGTAAAAGTACAAAGTCCAGATTTACCTTTCTTCTGCTTGCTTTGACTGTTGTACGCGACACGACAATATTACGTGGTAAAAAGGGTGTTCATGCGTGAGATATCGATCTGAAAGTTCAAATTTCATACCAGTTTTTTTTCCTGGGTTTTAATTCTTCATCGGCCTTGCATATATAATCGCCTTGAGGTAATTCTGACCCTCTTGAAGATGGCGCCATGTCGTATGTTTGTTTGACAGCGTGAGGTATAGCAATCTTTGAGAATCAAAACTATTCCCGGTATTATGCATGTTTAACTTAAAAGAGCTTTACTATAGTGAACATTATACAAAGTTTATAGTGCATGTTAATAATATTGCAGCTGTAAGATACATGCAACTTAGGCGGAGAAAGGAAAATATTTTAAGTTTGGTCAATGAACATTGAACAACATATTTTAATCTATATGTTTGCAAACTACGCAATTCAAAAATTAAAAAAGAACTTATGAAAATATTCAGCAGACTCATGCAAGAGGGATCTTTAAGACTCGGTCGCACTTCCAATCTTTCCTGCAATTTTCGGTCCTATTTTCTTCTTTGATAGATGGGTTACGATAGTTTCCTCTTTAGCATCGATCAAAAGGAAGAAATCGCACCGAAATAAACGGGCTGTAGCTGTAACATAGCAAAACTCGAGCTTAAACGTCTTACTTGTTCTTATCATGTATACTGTACTATATATATGTCTATAAACTATCCGTAAAAGTGGTAAAACCACGCAGCTGCTATACCAGTAACATTCGGGGTGCCATGCAAGTTTGGATTGTAAAAATTAGTATATTTCGGATTGTTTATTTTGACCGTCAATATATGGAACTTATTGCTCATTGTTATTGATATACGTTTATTTTTTACTATGAACACAGATGATTGTGCAGGTTTTGTAATTGTTATAATGACTTCTAACAGTATGAAACTTCCTGTTTCCATTAGTGCAACCCAGCTGGTGCGTGCATGTCTCAAATCTCTCTCAAAGAACTTTAGATATTTCTTAAACAAAAGATTGACGTCGGCATGGAGGAAATTACGTTAACTAGGTTAAGTTGGGTTGGTAAATTAAGAATTAGGAATACACAAATATATACACAATTGAGAAAAATAACACGTGCTTATAGCAAGTTGTACCGGTGTGGAGTAATTTACATTTAGATTATTTTTCAACAATTGTATTTTTTTCAACTTCTTATTTAGCTATATATTAAAATATGTTCTTAAAATACGCGTTTGAGAGGTTGTGATAACAGTCTATGACGACACGTCGTTTCTATATACTCTACTACGTCGGTTTTTTAAGAAAATTTATGCAATCGATTATCTATAAACACAAGGATGAGAAGTAGAACTTCAACGCAGCTTTCGTTCGTGAAAAACAAAGTACAATTTCAACTAAAATTACAGCCCTGGCTTGAGTGACCTGTGGTTAGGCATAGATCCGTAGGCCCACTGCCCAGGCTTTATAGGGTCTCGATGTTTTTTAAAAAAATCCATGTAATCATTTCGCAATCTTATGATATCACCAGTGTTTGCAAGCCAGCGTCAAAAGTACAACACTCATTTCAGTCAAGATCTTGTTAAAAACTGAAGACTACCCACACACCGGGCGCGATTTTGCGACGCAACGCGATAATCCAGGCCTGACCGGCTGCGTCGCAGTGTACCTCAACTATCAACATTTTTTCCTCGTAGCCATCTGCAAATCTGCAATAAGTACGAAATTGCGCTAGAAGGTAACTAGTAAGGCACAACCGCTGAAAATTTATACCGGCTGATTAGTGAAACTTCTGGTTCATCTTTTTAAACTTCACAATATTCTCCACAATCAATATTTGTAGGCCTCAATTTCTAGACCCCAAATCATGCCGCTGCGAAATGTGACGAATTTTGTTCAAACAGCTATTTGGCTTAGAAAATCTGTTAACGATACAGCGTTGCTTGTTCCTCACACCTTCTTTGTCTTTGGTGTAACTGTTGCTTCACGTTATATAAAGTAGGTGTACTAGCAAATTTAGATGAAAACAATTTGTTAACTTTGTCTTGAGATTCAGCGGGGTCACCATGCACAACAGAGTCGTGTCATATTCTGATAGTATATGATGGCAAATAAAGGCTAAAGCAAGTGTCATATCGTAGCTATAAACTTATATAACGCAGACCATGCACAGACCAATATATAGTGAAACTGCTAGTATGACCTGTGACATAGTCTGTCATATATTGTTTACTTATACAAGATTAAAAAAGGGCTAAACTGAATGCACAATACGAAAATTTTGTCGGAAGTATGTAAGTCAACCAACGTCATGCTGCGTATTATAAGACGTCTTTATAATTGCAACAAGTTACAAATAAATCTTTATTTTCTTTTTTCAAATGTGTCTGCCTTTGTTACGTTTATTGAGTCACGTTTTTGGTACCCAACATTAAACAAACAAAATAATTTCTGAAGAACATTCAACCTGTAGAAATAATAAATAAGCTTTTAAATGCACGCTTTCCCATTAATACTCGTTTTGAACTGATTCAAACCTTTAAATAAACCTGGTCGGCCTTTGTTCGCTGCTTTTCAACGTATCTTAAATTAGAATATTGGCTCGGCAAATTGCCGAAAATGCCTCGGAATCGTGACCCGGCTTACCGATGACCGAACGTGGACTGGTATAGACAGTTTATAACCCGGAATATATTATAATGAAGTGACATATAGAGTCATAATAAGTTTGATCTTAATTTTCAAAAAAGGCTCTAGTTTTTACTGGACGGATTGAGGAGGGGGGCAGAAATTCTTGTGGAGTTTTGTAGGCGCACTCTGGACAAATAGTGTGTCTGACATACTGCAAGACTCGCTCTGGTAATACGATAAAACGCCGATAACCTATTAAACATATTTTTATCTCGTTGAATTCGAGCTTTATCGTACGTCGCTAGGTGCTCCTGCGAACTTGTTATCTGAGCCGTTATTACCGGCACGTCATTCAATCTTCCCAATCTACTCTACCTTCAAGACTTTCCTGAAGTAAAGTTTCTAGTGGCATTTTGTGTATTTATAATTTTATATATCAAATATAAGAATAATTTTGGAGTAAACTATAGACTGAAATATGATAATTTGAGAGGAAGACGTCGAGGAAGGCATGTGGTAAAAGATCTTTTGAACTTTTAGGAATCCAATCAATAAACACATAAAAATATGTCAAATGTAAAATACCGTCAAAGTCTTGGTAAGTGGATGTGGGCTTCCTCTGTATGTTTATGATTGGCAAAAACGCGAAGAGTTGGCAAAACTGTCATAATTTCAGCCCGATTTTATGTACAGTGTGTATAAATTAATTTGCTTTTCTGACGCCCCGACAAACATGATACCAATGAATTCAAAATTATTAAATGCGTAAAAAACCGCGTATTTTAATAAGATCCTTTCGCCGCATTGAAATTTGGGCAGATTATGCCAAGAGATGAAATTTCTCCCATTGGCATTTCATCGTAGTTGATCAGGTTCAGATTTATTAGGAGAAATATGAAAATCTCAGCAATTTTGCACTTTTCTCATTAAAAGCATTTCCCGCTCTCAATTTTGCAAGGTGTTGACTTTGTCTATATCAGACTTTATTGTTTGTATTTGACTATATTGAGTACATGCATAGGATACACTTTTGTGTCTTGCTCTAGTCTGAGCGTCTTTTGACCACAACGTACGCAAGTTTTCTCTTTCATATAAATCTTTAAAGCGAATATCACACAATAATAGCTGGATAAATATGCCAGGTAATATGAAAGAAGCGGACGGAAAATATAAGAGATTAATTTTTGACGGCTTGTCATTGGGTTAAGAGAGATGGAGACTGAATGTCTGAGAGTTCCGGGCCTCCTGACATGCGGATGATTGCTTTGGATATTTAAACACACAGTAAATGAATTAATACACGATATATGTGGTTGAAAATCGACAGGAGACCAGCTTAGACTGTGTTAGAAGGTGGTGTGGCCTTTGCCCTACGTTGTGAATGCGTTATTTCTAATGCTTAGTGTGAAGTATATTGTAGGTTGGAACCCGGCGCCATGTTGTCGCCCCTCTCCCGGAGTGTCTTAAATGGGAATAATTAAATAACTTCTTCGCTGGGCGCCCTCCTAGCTTCTTCTATTTATATCAACATAGCGTTTAGAAAACTGCAACTCGAATGTTCGTGAGAGATTTTACTAATAAATATATTTCATCTTCACATTTCGTGTTTCAGAAGAACGCCCAGCCACCCACAGTTTGTCACGTGATAAAACATGGTTGTAATTTGATTAGCCATTCTGACACGTGCCTTGTCCGCTTAAATACGCGGCTTAAAATATTGGGGCAATTTGCTACAATACATGATCGCGGATAAAAATTTAAAAGAAAAAGAAGGCGTATTTTCAGTTCTTTGTTGGTCGGATTTTAGCTGTAGTAAATTATTAAGCCAATCATTGATAAAGAAGGTGTCTTGTGTGTTATTCAGAAACAAATACAGCCACCAGTTTTGTTAGTTCAATGTTGACAAACATGTTCACGAGGTCTATACAAAGCTGAAACACATTACTACCTGCATTCACATTTTTTCCTCGATCATATATTTTGTGCTAAAATTTGGTATACGGTGTTTTTTTGTAATCCGCAAACGTTTATATGCTGGCTTCTAGGCGAGATTATTTTTAGTACGTCACACGGAGTCCCAGACATAGAGGCGAGCGAGCTGGCTTAATAGCTCTTAATATGTTAATGAGCCAGCGGGGAACCACATTTGTCTGCGCGTGCGCCTGTCTCTGTGTTTATATTAGCAAGGAAATGTACGCGAGGTTTAGTTAGTCGAAATGACGCGAGGTATAAAGAGGTCTCGGGCCAGCGCTCAATTGAGTGACTCTGAAGAACAAATTACAAAGGTTTCTAAAACCATGAGAAAACAAGAAATACAACAACCATTACCACTGCTGGATTGCTGTGCTAAAGCTGTTGCTAGTAAAATATCGTTTCAAGAGATAGAGGAGACATTCACTTGTATACCCGAGCCGGTTCAGCTACGAGTTATATACTGGTCATTTCCTTATGATGAACGAGAAATTCGTATGTATTCATCCTCGGCTATACAACATCAGAAGATGCCATTTCATCAAGGAATGAAATTACTTGAGAAAAATGCTGTAAATAATATTCTACAAGTTGGTAAGTTTATCAAGTTCTTCTATAATAATATTGTTCTATTGTTAGTAACTTTAAATTGCCAGGTTGAATTTATAAAGTTAGCAAAGATATAATAAATTCTCCGGGGCTGTAGATGAACTAGTCTCGAGATCTTAAGCATTTTCGTGATATTTTATATTATTTTTTCAGTGATGTTTGCATAGATAAAGCATGTCATATTTGTGAATATAAGTTTTTCCTCCCAACGGAGAGTTAGCGCCACAGTGTCTGCGGCTTTGTGCTCTATGCTAATGAGATCCTCTGAGGCTCAAGTGCTTGTAACTATCACTAAACATACACCTACATAACATACTAATCTTGTTTCATTTTTAATATAAAATTTGGCCGTTGAAATATTATTAAGTCTGGTTTTCCCTTATTTTAAATAAAACACCGGTAAGGGTTGTTGTGAAACAAGAGTAGGCCTGGGTTTCAGGGGGGTTATTTACTCAAACGCATTCGAAGTGCTACGAAGCGAGTGACATTTCTAACTCTGTTCTATATCGTGTCTAAGAAATAAATAATTTAACCAAAGTTAAAATTTTCGTGATATTTTTTATCAATATTGTGTCAGGTGTGCAATTATTTTACTTCAAGATGAGATATGAAACAGCAAAAGCAAGCAGTATAATATAAACAATATCAATATGACGTTTTCGGCTCTAGAGGGGAGCTCAATACACCGTGTCTGAGCCGCCAGCCTGGCGCCAGTCAAGGGATAGTCATTTGCATGCTTTATTACTATCGTTGCAGGAGCAAATACACTTGCGGTACCCAGCTATTATCAAACTTCCCCCGTCCGAGTTATACAATATATTTATTTCGTCGCTTTATTTTAGCTTTGGACAAGACTTTCCTAAAGTCCTAAACTATCATAACAATTAAAGGACGTTAAAAAGAGTTAATGATTTTCAATATAATTGTAGAAGATTAAAAGTCTATTGATTATTGCATTTGGCGTTCACAAATGATCTCCTAGCCAGTCAACTCTATAGCACTATCGCTGAGTTAAATACCCCCTTGGCTATATGTTATTAAGCTGGTGTTGGTCTTTTCATTAAATAAGAGTATTTTTGAGATGCTGAAAATGGGAGATTGCTCTGTTGTAGCTACCAAGGGACTTACTCAAACGTAAATTAATGACTTTTGCGAATTGCATGTGTATTCAGTCTTTTCTGAACTTTATCTGTCGCTTCCCTTTGATTTTGGTCCATTAATTCAATATATTCTCAAGTATGCTTTTTTCTATTCAATTCGGGCATAATTTAATCGATTTTTAGAACATTTTTACCATTTTAGCGCATATTCAGCAGTTAAGTGTATTGGCTTTGTACTAAAAAAAAGACAGGCCATAGCTCATACTATAGTCACAGCTAGCCTAATTACTGTATAATAATCTATTAGTTGTCTTGAGTATAGACTATAGATTAAGATTTTCTATAGCTTTTCACAAGAACTGTTTTGTTTAAAAATTAGAGCTTCTTTCTTAAAATGTTTGCATTATATGTATGACTAGTTGAAAGCATTTCTAACAAATTGTTTGTCGTTTTTTATTTAAGGTTTTCATCTGAGTGGCAGTGTCCAAGATGAAGGCGAGAATTTCAAAGTTTCTGTCAACTTTGATCGTTGTAAAATAACGAGCGTTTCCTGTAGTTGTGGAAGCAAGGACATATTATGGTGTTCCCATGTTGTAGCCTTATCATTATATCGTATTCGTTATCCTAATGCCGTCACTCTAAGAGTACCAATATCGGAAACATTACTCAAAATGAATCGAAACCAACTTCAAAAACTTGTTCAATACCTAATAACTGCGCATCATACCGAGGTTCTACCCACCGCACAACGCTTGGCTGATGAGATACTGCATGCAAAATCAGAAATTAATCTTCTGCAAGGAGCCCCAGATCCGACCGCTGGTGGGGCAGTTGAAGATGACAACAGATGGCATTTGGATGCCGAACAAGTTCAGGAACAAGTCAAAGCATATCTATCTCAAGGATCTTGCACAAATAATGGAAAGCAACTACATAGCATGTTTGCCAAGGTATGAATCTTATCAGGCTTGCGATGTTTAAAAGTCAAAAGGTGGCCTGTTAATTAAAGTGAGCACGCCCTGAATTCTATTTTCCTAAGATGTCTAATTCTGGGTAATTGTGAATTTTTACAATAATTTTAAATGTTCTGTGTGGAAAAAGTTTTGATTTCTAAACGTTTTGTAATTAAGTAAAAAGAGATGCTATAATCTTCATATATACGAAGAGCCGAGCGTGAAGATCTTATCTATTCGCAATAAAAGCGAACAATACAGAACTTAAAGCTGTATCCATATTTTCGCCTAATTTGATAAATTCTTTCAATTTTATTTTCCTCCATACTTTTCGCCTCATTATACCTTTATATTTCTTTTTGTTAGGTGCGAGAGTTACTCCGGGTTCAAGATTGTAATGGCCCTAGAATGTTGACTCTGATTACAGAACAATTTCTCGCCGATCCAAAACTGCAACAAAACGTTGCAATGACTGAAAAATGTCGACAACTCTGGGATCATCTTGGCGCTCTTTGGATGTGCATTGTATTGAACCCGAGCTGTGAATCTGACGAGAAGCAATCATTAAAAAAACAGTTACAAGAATGGAGTAGCCTTGAAGTTTGCCCTATCCTAGGTGAAATTTGCGAGAATTCAGGAAAGCAAACCGTATTCTCGCGTGCAATATCTGCGTGTGATCTCGACTGGAAAAGTCAAGTCCTTCAAACGATATTGAAGTCTGATGATCAAAATTTGACTTGGTCAGGTAAGAACATTTACTCGGGGATAATTCTATTTGTCAAAATTTAATTTATCTAAATTTTTATATACGTGCATGTAGAAGAAGGTGCGCATGCAGATATTGTAAAAACCTTTAAACATGCATTTTGGTTTGAATAACATTTTAGTTTATTTTCGTTGTATTTAACTTCATTGTCTATTTCTTAATTTCAGAGGAGCTATGTGTTGCGGCAGCAAGAATCGATGCGCTAAAAACTCACGGTTTTCAGACAGAGGCTCTACGTTTAGCTGTCGCTGTTGCCAACGGGATGAAGCAAAAACAAGATGAAACATTACGTAAAATACGTCAAGAAGGATTCACAGCTTCAGTCGCGCCTTCTGGATGGATTGGAAATGTCCTCGAGCCTATTCCAACACTTTATGACACGTTGATGGGTGATGGCGAAGATAATAATATTACAGAGAAACGTTACTTAAACTTAGCTTTAGAAGTTGCGTTAATTGGACTTAGTCAACATCGCAGAATGCCCAAATCATCCTTTGGTCAACAGAAATCAAGAAATGAAGAGGAACAACTCATCGCGCAATTGACTATGTTGAAACAGGATAATCAAACTTTGAACACAATTCATGAACAAGCGTGTAAAATCCTTGAAATGAAATCCTCGGGTGGTAGTGGTTTATGCGTAGATAAGACCAGCGTCCCACTTCAAACATTTGCGCGGTATTTATTTAACGTTTTATTACACGAAGACAGAGAACTTGCTTTCGAGATTGGAATGAGCGCATTACAAAGTGACTTTTTGAACAATGAGACGTCTAGTGAAACGAAATGGCACACATTTGCACATTTGGAAGCTCAACAATGTGAACTGGCTGCTTGTATGATAAAATCCTGCAAAGATGACAAAAATAAACTACAAAGTCTTTTGATTCTAATCAAGAAACATATACAAAATGCAACTTATTTATTCCGTTTGGCTCAAGACACTTTAAAACTGAAATCAGACGATGATCGTGATGTGTGCGAAAGTGCTTTAGATCTTGGCTTACACATTTTAACCTCATCACTCAATAAAACAACATGCAAACGACGTGACGTTATCCAGTGGTTGCTGGCGTGTTCCTTACAGTTAAATAAATCTGTTTTAGTGACTATCCTGCAAAACTGGCAGTCCCTTTTCACTCCAATCGAGGTAACAAACTGTGTCGCACCAATCGCTATGTCACAGTGTGCTTACCAAGAATTAAACCTCAGTCATACAGAACAAGATTCTCTTCGTGCCTACATCCAAGCAATAATACTCCAGTGCATCAATAAAGATCCTCAGTTCTGCGCATTGTCTGCACTAACACTCTGTGAATCTGAACCCAAGACCTTCGAGACCGCTTACCGTACCATTGTCGAGTGTGCTGGCTCAATTTCCCCCACACATTTGTTTGCTATTGCAAGGTACATGGACCACAAGAACCATCCAATCAAAGCGTTTAGACTGGCAGCACTAGCTATCAAACATTCAACTGTTGCTAACAATGAATCTGGTCCTTCTGTTGGTGATGTTCATTGGTCCTGTGGCCTTGCTCATGCTTTGGGAAGAGCTGAACTTGGTCATATGATTTTACTCATTGTCAATGCTGTGCAATGCCCATCTGTTCTCTCTGATCTACTACACCGCTGTATATTAACACCTGCTGGCGTGGCTCAGATTAATCCGCAGTCAGATGGTCCAACCCATTTGACCTATGACGACCCATGCCTGCAACCTCTGGTTGAAGCTGCCATCAATGCGTATGTGAACTGTGCACATAACAGACTGAATCAAATAAGTCCTAAACATTATACTGACTTTACTGACTTCCTCTTGAAGGCCAAAGAAATCTTTCTTCTGGCAAGTGATGGCGACAAAAGATTTAACGCACTCATTGAGAACATGAAAATCCTCTATCGTGGAAAGAGAAAACTAATGACTCTTGTTTCACAGCGACTTTGCTGAACTTGATAACTTGAGAAAACCGTGCGTCCGAGCATTGGTATGATTTTAATTGCAAATATTAGTCTTTTTATCACATAAGCAAAGAAACTTTTCATATATGCTTTGGGTAAAAGACGTAGTATATTTGCATTTAAAATGAAACCATTCATTTCAAATATATCAGTACATAAAGATGTTGAAATTATTCCCAGGAAAGTTTATTTGTAAATATTGCAAAGGTAATTAATGTACATAAAATATTTATTATTGTGGAAGAACAAAATTTACAGAAAGGAGTCTATGAATAAATGAGATTTTTATTTAAAGTTTTTTTGCGTCGGGTCTAATTTTTGGGACTCTCTGTCAGTATAGTTAATTGGTGTACTTTACAGAAAATGTGACGCGTTATTCTGCCAACTTTAGAGAGAAACGTAAAGGAGCTTTTGTATTTGTTTTAATTTCTTCTTAGTCATATTTGGAACTTGGAGGAGCGACAAATTTTTGTTTTGAGGCGCACCCGAGCCACGCCTACTTTGCCTGATGCTAAAACCCAATTATTTTGCCTTTTAGATGTTTCTATCAAATAACATAAGAAAAAATCATATCTTTTATTAAATTCCCGAGTCACAACTTCTTTTGTAAACTACTTCTTCAAAATTTAGAGGCTGTCTCCAAAACTAACTTCAAAAGTACGTCTATTTATTGTATTGAATATCCTCATATAATCTCTTTGTTAATGCAATGAAACGTCAGGCAAGTTTAGAAATTTGGTGTGAGGCGAGCATGTTTTGAGCATGGCCACGGCCCCACGAGATATTCCTGATGACATGATGATGAGAGATCCATGGATGTAAGGTGACACAGCCAAGTTTGTACCTTATCTGGGGCAATGGAAAAGATATTAGGATAATATATATTAATGTTGAGAACGAGTGAAGAGATTTGAAGAGATTTGCAGGAGGCGAAATAAAGTGATTTTGACCAAACAATGAAAAATGGATTCATGCCATGATATGGTTCTTACTTAACCCAGTGCAGATATTGAATTTTCAGTAAATAGTGTAACATCTTCTTGTATCAATGCAACAGTAAATAAACGCTTGATATTTGCTTGCACTATACCTTTGGAATCCGAGTTAGTATTACCAGAAACATGCAACGTTTGGAAAACCACAAAATTCAGGAAATTCTGTTTAATCTGAACTGGTCAGTTTGTCGCTTTGTGGTTATCGTTTATAGAATGAGGTTCCTCTAAAATTCAACTATGTTTATAGGCTATTTCATGGCCATTTCAAAAGTAAAAATCTCAATGTACAATATTGGTACACGTGATTTGCACTATGACACTCAAGGCTTCGTTATTTATTGGCATTATTAAATAAATCAAGACACGATTCACGAATTTAAAACAAATTGTCAAATCCTCAACTTTTTTAAGCGAGGAATAAATAAGATGTAGCTATATACTAGAAGTTCGTGCATCTCATACGGCTATTATACCTCTGAAGCAGTGACGTGCTCTTGTATATCAGAGTCATTGGAATATTCACAACGCCGGAGTTTCAATTATTTTTTTCACTCGCTGGACCGTTGTCGTTGAACTATTTCATAATGAAAACAATAATTTAATCACGCTGCGCTATATATATTACAACCAGCAGCGTATATGCCTGCACATGCATGAGTTTCCCACACAGAAAGCACGTGTTGAAGCGACTTTTCGGTGAGTATTTCATTTTTTGTTATTTGATTAGACAATGACAATGTGTTTATTTACATACGCCATAAATACACAACGGTGGTTGGCAAAGACGGTGGCTAAAACTGTGAAAATAGCTTTACACCTCGAAAAAATATTTTGCAGATGACGTTCAAATCTAGCCTAATATTATATTAGAGTTAATAGAATCACAGCGGTGTCATGTGCAACCACTGCATGGTGACTCATTGACGGAACTTGAACCTCTTTTTCTACTCTCCGGAAAATTATTCTTAGCGGTGTCACAAAGAATAGATCTATTGTCGCTGTATTTTCATAGTGTATTGTACTTGGAATTAAATTTGTGAAGTCGACAGGAAAGTCGTTAAATTTCCCGTTTCCAGCTTCGCCTTGGTCTATTTCGACTAATATCAAAACTATTGTTTTAGTTACTGAAATTAAGATTTCCGATATAACCGGTTTGATCACCCGGGTTTTAGTTTACATCCTACGACTACGAACACATTCCAACTTCTCAGAAATCACTCTTTACATGCATATATTCTACACTGTAGTATTAAAAATCACTAAATATTGCAATAATTAAGCTAAAAAGCAGCGTTCTATAGAATTTACTGTGGAGAACATAAAATATAAATAAAATATTTTGTTGTTGCTTCCCACATGCAGAGTTCTCGGTTGTTTTGCTGACTCTGCATATCACCTGTGAGCCCTTGGCTTGGACAATGCTATACAGAGGACAACTTTTCTGATTCATTTTGGCAGATTACATGCATCCATCAACCCGAGTTGTGAGTTAGCAACTCATGATCTTTATTTCACTTATAGTCTTAGCTTTTCAGCTTTCTATTTTTGTCTTAAGACTTTCTTTTTGAATCAAGACTGATAAGGAATTAAATCTCTAAACTACTGAAAAAAGTTGTTAAATAAACATGTTAACACAAACTGCATGAGTAAGTTTAGGGTGATCTTCTGCAATAATTTGGCACCGCGATACTTGCATTACAAAATATTAATAGATGGGCGATAATGCCTTGAAATTTAGGATCAACAAGAAACTAATTTAAAACAGATTCTTCAAAAGTCAAAAGTATTTAAACATGCAGTGTATATCTATTCGATCTATATATATATATAGTCGATCATTTCCAACATCAAAACTGGTTTGTTGCGTGCAGTTGTGTATCAACTGATCGACATTTCCGTCAATCTTATAATTGAACAATATTTACCCCACCCCCACTACATACCAAAATTTTACCCACACTGCGACTGCTTATATGGCCTGTGCGACATATTTTCAGTCTGTGATACGAACATCGTGGAAACAAGCCAACATTGGCAACAATAAATCATAACAACGCTGTTTATATTAATAGTCCTTTCCAGTATTCCGGGACATAAACATGGAATGACAGTAATTTCGAAAGAAATAATCTGTGAAACAAAAACTTAGTCAGTTTCTCGCAGCAGGGAACACGTGTTGGTGTTTGTTTTTTGAAAGAATAACCCTACTATAAAGCTGATATTCTAAACTTCTACGTGTGTAAGTAAGCCTATAAGCAAGCTCCATTTCCCTTTTTTATGTTTCCTACTACGTCTTGCGTTCGTCAGAGAGTAATAAGGATATAATCTAACACTCACTTTACGATAAAACTTCAATAAAACTTCTTTCACAGAACCATGCATGTCATTATATATGTTGAATTCTATACTTATGAAAACATTGACTTTCATCATCGTTCATTCCTCACTTACAGAGGATATTTTATGCATGTATGGGGAGATACATACATACTGCATCACCAAGTGCATGCCCATTGGCGATGTTAATGCAATATTCTTGCTCTCGTGAACACATGAATAATAAATATTAGTTAAGGTTGGTCGGATCGGACTTCCTTAAGTTTGTTCTTTAAAGTTCCCAATCATGCAAAACAAATGCAGGAAATTGCCCAACATTGATAAACCAAAATGAATGTCGAAACTGACTGTAAATAAAGTCGAACCAAAACCACCGGATCTAGACATGGCTATATATAGGAGTTTAAGAGATGATGAATAAGCCTCAAACCGTAAATGAATGTTCGTTACATTCTCTGACTTATCCTTACGCATGCACTAGCTGTTATATCTTTACCAGCACAAAAACGAATATAAATGGAGGCTTAATTTCTATCTATAAAACCATGTTTTAGCATTCGTAAATTAGGTACAGTCTTCTCCTCTTGTATCACATATTGCAAGCATAACGACCCACGGAATCTTCATCGCAGCTGTGCGCGGTGTCATATAAAAAAATGATATTGTATTCATTATTTTTTATTGTACTACGAGTGGGTATAGATTTCGAAATCATTAAAATTCTCATCTTGGGTATTGTCACCTCAAGTATATTTGTTCAATCAGCCATTGGGGGCAGCGTTGATATATCAGACCGCGTTTCTACTATATATATAGTTGTACCGACACATGCAGTAACACTTTAACATCATTTTTCGAAGTTTAGATTGCCTAAACTTGGAATAAAACTATACACCGTCCCCGTGTTGGTTGTATATGTCACTCTATATAGCTTGGATGCTCGCGACTATTTTCGATAATTTGTTGGAGTTAAAACGACTGGCTGTTTTTTGTTAATTAATCAGGCCTGTATTACTGAATCCGTAAAAATCCATAAAGCGGCATGTTTTATATGCCTATAAAAAGATGGATAATTATTTTGCTTATTTTTATTTAAAGATATTCATACATCATACATAGATACATCACCATATCCTGTTATCAGACTGACCAGACACATCTAACAAATCTCATCTGCAAAAGCAGTTTACAAGTTTGTTTTCATAAAGTCAAAATTGGCAGCAGAACATTTGATGTATATGACTGAGTCGATGCTCTCTCGCTGATGCATTTTCTTCCTCTGAAACACCGTCTGTCGTAGTTATAACAAAGCTTCAATGTCGGGAACAATATCCTAGAAATAAAAACGCTTCTTCAGAGTTTTCATATATGTTCAGAACAAATTATGTATGGTGTAATGGTAGTGATAGTGTAATGGTCTTTCTACTAACTTTCAGACAAAACGTCTTAGCTTAAACGTGAAAGTTTTTAGTAATACAATTTTCGAGTAGTCTATCTAATTCAATGCAGACAAATTAAGAGCAAGTGTCCCAGTTGTCAATATATTTTTAGTCGTTCTAGCCAAACCACATGTGTTACTTCTCGCATACCAGGTGCTACAATTGTTAGAATAAGATTTAAATCATTCTGAAAACAAGAATGAAACATCTTAACTTACAAGTGGCGGGGTGGTTGGAGAATATCGTTTAATTGGTTGTCCATCTCGATTACAAAGAAACTAGAAAGAATGCGATTTGATTGTAAAATGGTGGGTTTATAAAACGGAAGTAAGAAAACAACAGCAAGGGACCTACCTTGGCAAAATTCCACTTAATGAAGCTGAAATGAAAAAGTCACATAAATAGAATTCTTCGAGAAAAATCCTGTATATATATTGTTGACGTCATATATGTAACGAATGAGTAACAAATTCTACTTCTTCTGATGTGCATGGAGCTCTCAATTGAAACTGACAGACAACAA